TATCAACATTTCACGTGACAATTAAATTAGGTTAATTGGAAAATAATTAATGAACAAAATGAAAGATTGCTATTATTAAATCTAGAAAATGTTTGCTTTTGGTTCAACTCTTTAACTCGCCAATAAATTACAGAAAAGCTTGAAATCAACCTTTTAATGAACCTTTCAATTAATTGTCAATGATTATCAATTTGTAAATGTTTCATTTCATCTGGTAATTTCATACTAGTCAATATGATTAACATTGATTTTGTATACGGAAATTAACCAGAAATTTGTCATCATTTATTTAGTGAAAGTTATTACTTTTGGGTTGACTTTTGGCTCAAAATATTAATAACATTAGTTGGTAAATGTTTAGTTAAATCAACTTTTGGGCTGATAATTAGCTGGTATAGTGTTTCATTTTCATGATGATGGAGATAATCAGAGTTGATCGAAACAAAGAGTGTAAATATTAATTTATTAATGAAAGGCAAAAGTAATTGCAATCTCGAGTTGAATCGTTGCCTCTGTTGTGTCTGAGACACAAAAAGTTGCTAATCTTTTCTTGGCTTAAAGCCATAACTTTACAGTGAAAGTTGATAATTATGAGCATGAGAAAGTTTCATGTTTAAAGGGTGTTAATGATGATGACTAGCAAGACAATAAGTTAAATATCAAATGATCTGTGATTAGGTTAATTTAAGGGTTGCTTAGTAAACTTTTAAACCGTGAAATTAGTTGATTATTAAAGATACTCAAGAGACATTTTCAGGGGAAATAATGGGCCAAGATTGCTTTTGTTTCATTTGGAGAAGACGATTTTAAAAATGAAATAACAATCAAAATGAATTGAAATAAATTATCCTGCATTCAACTTTACTGTTCATTTTTACCAGTTTTTATGTTTACTCACGTTTCTCTTGGTAACCAGGTTTCACCGAATCTGGATTGACCATTGTTGATGTAGTTGTGCATGTTTAATTGACTAACAATTGGATTGAAAGACTGAGTTTGATCAAGTCTCATGATTAATATTAAAGGAGTGATGACCCAGAATACAATTGATTCAGTTGACTATAAAAGTGTTTTCATTCATTTTCTGGTTCAAACCTACTTTGGAAACAATCTGGTCAATAAAGTCTCATGAATTTTATCATTCACTCACTTTTTCATAATAACTTGATTGATGTGACATTTTTGCTGCAACAAATTGGTAAACCAATTAACAGATTAACAGAATTGAGTTATCTTCAGATGCAACAGAAAATCATCATTTTAATGTGTTTCTCGGTTGAAACTTGAAATGTTGATAATTTTCAGAATCAACTCTCAATGTTATCGAAAGTGATGAATATGAAAAATGAGAATAAAAGAAATGATTGAAGGTAAACAGATGATTGATGATTATAAAGATGATAATCATTGTTGAAACTAATTATTATACTTTTCCTTCCCTGTGAGTTATCATAAAAACTTGAAAAATTGGAAAACACGAAAATTCATTTGTATCAATATAAATGCTTATTGGAATCAAGTAAATGATTTATTACAATTTAAATGATTAAAAATGACTAAACATTTTTTTGGTGTTTTCAATTGAATTAAGAAAATGTTGAAATGAATAAAATTTAATCACACTAATTGCATGTGAAATTGATTGCAAGTTAATGTTAATTAACTTGCTGTGAGACAGTTGAATATGTTTCATTGAAAACATTCATTATTAATGTTGTGCTTATTGAGAGACAAAAGTTGACTAATTGTGAAACATAATATTTATGTGATCACAATTTATAATCAGCAACAATAATTAAATGTTAACCATTTGCTTTAATTGTTTCATCTTGCGTTTTATGGACACTTATTGTTGCTCTAATATAAGTTCATTATTGTCTTGTCGCCATTCAAGATTGATTAAGTATTATCTTAACCAAAAAAACTCATTTACATTCCTGGAAACATGGTAACCTTGTGATTATATCTTCATCTTACGACATTTTCATTCACTGTTCATCCTGTCATCATTATCATTATCATCAACAGACAATTTAACTTGATCAACATTTTTAACTTTAAAATTATAATCAACTCAAGAACAGTAATGATCACTTAAAGGCAACAAAACAATGTTTCAATTAATTTTGCACAATTTGGAGTATAAAGATTAAATTACTAATCACTGGAAATCAAATTTAATTAAAACAGTTAATTAAGTGTTGAGATCAAATGTCTTCATTGGTCATAAGGCGAGCACAAAATCATTGGTTTTAAATTCAAATGAATCTTGTAATTAGAAAATCAGAATTCTTGGAAATTGTAAACTTTAGTTTTCATTGAGGGATATGAATAATTTTAGTTGATACATCTCTTTAGCAGTTTATCAGTTTGTTGATGGCGCTTATTGAACTCATTTATTTTGTACAATTGCTTATGGCAGTAACATTGAGTTCATTTGGAAATTCAGGGTTCATGTGCTTCGAAGCTTTCATATTCACTCGAGTTAGTCAGACTGGATTGAATCACGTCAACTTGCCAAATATCTTCATCACAATCATGCTGGTTCAGTACATTTGCATTGGTCAATGTAATGCTATTTTCGTGAAATTGAATGTGTCTATGAATGGTTGAATGAAAATCATTTTTCAACTGTAAATGTTATGATAAGCGATCTCTTCCAGTAGACAGAAAATTGCGATTTCAATATCAGATAAGGTTGAGCTGAAATGCTCTCAAGTTCACAATTTATGTTACTTAAACTCAGTGGAAGCTCTAAACTGTATACAGTATTCATTAATAATGCAGAGCAAGTCTGAAGCTTCATTTGTTTTTGGGTTATTAAAAGACTCCCAAGGCTATTGACAGAAAAAAAACTCCCAGCATTTTCTTGATAACTTTAAAATTTGCTCTTATTCTCATCTTGAGATGTTACATTGAAAATGGATCGATCTTGTTCAATGATTCCTTCGTCCTTTCCAAGCGTCTTAATCCATGCACTTTCAGCAAAAAAATGACAAACATTTGACTTCATCAGATAAAACATTATTGTTGGATAACGTTTAGAGCTTGAATTGTTTAGATTGACACTTATTCGTTTTCATTCATTTCGCTCTCAAATTCGTACATTTTCATTCACTTTATCCACCATTTTCATGGTATATTGTCATTCTCAAGATTAACATATTTACAGTTGGATAATAGAGGCAATAAAGTAATGACATTAAAGTGAAACTTGATCTGAACATCAACAATTTGAAAAGCTCAATACAATCAATAATATCCCAAAATAGTGTAAATAATACAGTTAATATTGGCTATTGATTTTGTTGGGTAAAAAAAGTGTGTAATCACAATTTGAGTTAACAATTTTGCCCATAAAAAGTGGAAAGCATTGTAAACAGGTTTCTGCTGTTAAACTATAATTTGATAAATTAAGTGATCAAGTAAATTTCAATTAAAACTAATCGTTATTTTGGACCATCATCAGTCATTAATGTCAAGTAAGGTAAAAGTGAAAATAGCTTTTATCAAAATTAAAAGTTGAAAAAGGATGGAAAAGACAAAAAAGGTTGAAAAAGAAGAGATGAATTTCAATTTACAATTTTGAACAAGTAAACCAACATTGATTGTAATTAAATGTTAAAACAGTCGACTAATAATATCAATGATTTATCAATTTTGATGGAACCCAAAGTAGGATTAAAAGTGAAATGGTGAAACTTGGTGATAATCAATTTTAGTTTCAAGTAAACTTTTCATTTCCATTGATTGTAATGTTGAATGTTGTTCAGCTTAAACATCATCCATTTCAATATTAACGGTTCATCTGAGTGATATAAATATATATTATCTCAATGGTTACTTAACATTGTAACAATCAATGTGTTGACAAGACTATTAATCAACATTCAACCCTGTTTCAAATAACCTCCTCATCCTTTAGCCTTTTGTCAACTAATTTTTGTCTCTTTTTTTTGTTGCTCATCTTACAAGTGATTCATATTGTTCAGTCTCATTCACGAGTCAACTTCCCTTGAGGCCTTGGGTTCAGGGAAGGTTCAGTTGGCTATCATTAACAGAATGCAGGGAAGATGGAAAATTCATGGATTCAAGATGAAAGGAAACGGAAATTCTTGAGAGATTGTTACATTTCCATAAAATTGCATCGTTTGCTTTTCTTTCAGCTTCTTCTTCTTCTCCGAAGATTAAATTTGATAAGCTGATCAGCATGGTGATACCTCATCATGATTCTGATCATGTTGATGTTTCATGGTTAATATTTGTAGTTGTGAGCATCGTTATCGTCAAGAGTTAACTGGTTATTAATGATTACCTGATACTTGATTTGGATGTGTAAAAGAGCTCATGTAATGGTGAGATAATGGTAGTCGATATGAATATTACAAAAGCTAACACAATCATTATCCTCATCAAATTGATTATCTGCAACTTTCTTCCATCTCATGATTAAGTGGATAAACAGGCAACGAAAAGGGAATCATTTTGATAACCTTTTCAATTAGATAATTTAGTTTGCTTTTGCGTTTCATGTCAACTTGCAAATGTACCTAAATGTACCAAAAATTAGGTGACATTTAAAACTGAAAAGTTTCCATGTAAGAATCTCAATCCTTTTGTTGAATAAAGATATTGCATGAAGAGGGAAAAAGCGTAAAACACACAAAAGGAAATGTATTTTGAAAGAAAATTTGAGTGAAAAAAGAAAATTCAGAAAAACTGTGAAACGAAGACTCAGATGAATATAAATACACATAAACAGTGGAATAATAAAAGAGGAAAAAAATATCCTTTTGAGTTTAAAAAATGAAAACAACTGGGAGGTTACACATTATAAAACAACAAAATGTATTTATATTATAACTTTTAGTTTTCCTCTTTGATGTTATTATTGTTGTCGTTATGAACAATAATAAGCATGATTATGTTAAAGATTACGATATTAAAGATTAAAGAGAAGAAAAAAGAAGAAGAAAAAATTGCATTTTAATGTGACTCACCCAAGGGTTGTCATAGTGACTATGGTGTACCAAAAAGCTGCTGGAATGCTGGTGAAGGTGGTTCCTTTTTCATTTTTTTCAGCATAAAACATAACCGTTGCAAATATGATTATGGCCATGGCCAGTGAGAAGACAAGGAAACCCAATTCAGAGGCACAACTTTTCAAAGTGTAACCCAAAATTCGTAGTCCTTGCGAGTGTCGGGAAAATTTAAATATACGGAATACTCTGAATACTCGAAGAGTCACAAAAGCTCCGGACACATCGTCGTTATCCTTGATAACAAGTCCAATGTAATAGGGAAGAATGGCAACCACATCGATAACCGACATCACTGATCGCATAAAGTTACACCGATTGGGAGCCGCATACAAACGAAGCAAATATTCACAGGTAAATATGATTACACACGCAGTATCCAGGCAAAAGAATGCAATCTTGTAGGAATCACCACAGGAAACTTTATCTGAGGTTCCCTCTCTAAAGCCACAGGGAACCGTTTCAATGACATTGGCTCCAACGGAGACGGCAATGAAAAAACCAGTCACATAATAAAAGACGAGGGCAGCCGTTGAGGTGTGAGGATTCTCAAAGGCTCTCCACATTTGCTGGCGAAGGCTGCCCTTTTCGGCATCCTTTGGATTCTCGGCTTCCGATGATTTGTCGTCCAACATTCGCTCGGCATTTTCTCTCTTTCGATCACGATAATCTTCATAACAACAGTCACCAATAACGTCTGGAATGATACCAAAAAAGGCCAACTCTTCGTCATACTGCATGAGACACTCGTGTTTAGGATAGTGCAGTTTACCGGTTCGATAATAGTTTAATATGTGACGGAAAATGTCTGGATCACGATCGAAAAAGTATTCCCGTGTTTCCTCGTCGTAAAAAAATTCACGCTCATTGGAACCTAAAAGTGTGTCTGGATATTTTTCAACCGTGTTTCTCCAAGTTTCAAAGCGACGCCCTGAAACGTTGATGATGAACTTTTCATCTTCCCTTTTACGACGATCTTTGGTCACTGGAGGAGCGGGTAATGGATTGTTTGCTATTGGAACCCATCCAATGGCTGCTGCTCGAGCAAATGGAAGCCAAGCTGCTACTGAGGCCATCACAGTTGATTCAGTCAATTGTTACCTCAACTTGATGGTCGAGTAAATGGAGTTGTTTTTTTGTCTTTATGTCTTGTTCAACAATATTATCAACTACAATTTATTATTTAATTTACAGATTATTTGACAAGATTAACGAGTATTGATAAAGTTGATTTTTCCTTTTCTCTTTTTCTTGTAGGAGATGAAAAAAATTATCATTGGTATTTATTGTTTTTTATTTTTCAGGCTTTTTGTTTTGCTCAGGTTGATGGAGATGATGATGAGGATGGCAATGATGGTGATGAGTTGTCGTGGTAATGTTGATAATGATGAGGTTGGTTGTTGTTATTATTTTTGTAGCAGTTACTGATACGTTGAGGTTGATAATAAAGGTATGAGATTACACTTATTGGACGCATGAGAAGATGGAAGGTTATTTATTTCATTTTTTTCACAATACACAAAAATGATTATCACTGAGAATTGAAGGAGGAAGAAATTGTGGTGAAATATGAAGATAATAATGATAATAGTGGTGATGTTTAGGTTGTTGGTGATGATGATGAGGGCGGTGATGGTGAAGATAATGTTGATGTTGAAGATGCTTTTGATGAGTTGAAGATGAGAAGAAAGAAAACAAAGAAATTCGTTTGCTTTCGCATCCTCCTTGGCCTTTAACAGTTGAGATCAAAGGGAAAATGTTGATAATGATGATGAGTGGGATGATATTGGTAAAGATGAGGTAAAGCAAATCCATAATAAACATACATAACAAACTCTTATTACAAAGATTCACGGACAAAACGAAATGAAAACAGATAAAAACAAAACCATTATAATCACCAATAGCAACTACTATTACCAATAACTATCAATATGAAAGGAGAGTAATGGTGAAATGTGAATTAATCAAATTGTCCTCGCAAATGGGCAGAGGAAAGTCACAGTTAACACCAACATTTGTCCAGTTCTTTTGGTCATCAAGGGAAGAGAGATTCTTTGATTGTACTTCAAGTTGCCAGTTGAAAAAGTCTTGAGTTTGTCCATTTCAGGTTTCCATTGTAGGTAAATTGGTGGTTAAATTTGGGTTATCCATTGGTGGTCAATTGGAGATGAAACAAGTGAATCCATTTTGTAAAGGAAAAGAAAAAAAATAATAGAAATTAATTTCACAAAAAGACATGTTCCATGTTCAAGTCTATGGTAAAAAAGGGTTTGGAGAAAGGTTCAAGTATGGCGCAACAAGTTACCGGTTAAAAAGCTGGTTCAAGATAAGAGAGATTTGGTTGAATCACAGTAGCCAAAGAAACCAAGCTTTATTAATCCAAAACCAGTTTTAACGGTTGATGATTGTGATTGTGAACACTGAGTAAAATACTGGAGTGAAGGACTGGGAAGTGGAATTTAGTGATCACCTTAAATTGTTGTTAATAGAAAGACAAGGCAATGAGAAATTAAATCTGGCTTTTCCTCTATTCTTTAGCTTGTTTCTTTTGTTGTTTAAAATGGCTTAATTTCTGTGTCTTTTCATGTTTGTTTGTGTCTCTCCTTTCTCTCTCTCTCTCCTCTCTTTTTCAATCAGTCTTTCTATTAATTTGCAGTTAATTGAGTTTTCTGGTTAACCAGTTTTCTCTTACTTGTTAATTTTTCGCGTATCTTCTGGTGACAAATAAAATGCTGGTTAAAGGAGAGAGAGAGAGAAGGAAGAAGATGATAATAGTGATGATCCTAATGAAGATGAGATGGTGAGAGTTGACACAATTTTGCTAAAAATACATTTGCAGCTTGAAAAAATGGGTTTTAAATGCGAAGTGAACATTGGTTGTTGCTGTTGATTGACTTTTTGTTGGTGTTGGTAGCGATGTTGATAGTGTTGCTGTAATAGTAGTAGTTTAATCATGTTGTTGGTTGTTAAAGATGATTTAGATGATGGAAGCAGATTGGTTGGTTGAAGTTAATTCCAATTGATAGATGATAATTAAGATGGGGTTAAAAATTTTGATTCAAATTATACACTTGTTTGTTTATAGCAAACCATGTGTTTAACCAAACGGCTGCATTAAGAAATACTTACTTGGAACAATTTTTACATTTTAACAATTTAATAATTATTTCTCTTGATTCAGACGATTCTTACTAATCCCTTCATAATTTTGGAATAACAATAATTTACTGATTATAAAGGATAATTAACAACACAATTAACAAAATAGATGTAACAACTGTAAAAGGTAAAAGACTGAGCCAAACATGAAAAAAGAAGTGGCTCTTGGTTCAACTCTCTCACTCAACGCAATAGTCTTCAGTTTCGCTTCTTCTCACTTTCTTCTGTTTTTAGTTTTTTTTTTGATCGTCTTCTTTCTCAACCCTCTGTCGACTCAATCTGAATCGGTTCTGAGTCTACTGAATACTCAGGAAACTTTCACTTTCTCCCTCATCATCATAATCATCAGTTTCTCTGTCTCTATCTTCACTCTTTAACTGTACTCTTTCGCTTTTCTGGGTTAGCTGGTTCTTTGCAGACTTTGACTCTGTCTCTTTCATTTCTCAGCTATCATGAGTTTAATATCGTTCATTGGATAGACCAAGAAGAGAGACAGAAAGAAAGAGAGAGAAGAAGATAAATTAGAGAAGAAAGAGAGAAAAGAGAGAAAAGAATGACATCTTCTTTGGAGCAAACTCAAAAAAAATTATGATAATTTGGTGAAAATTTTTTTCCTCTTTCTTCTATTTCTCAATATTTCACCATGTTCTCTGTCTAATTATTTCTTCTTTTGTTTCTTCTTTTCATCTATCTAGCCTTTTTGAATGATTACAGGCATTTATTTCTGATTCACTTTCATGATTTATGTTTATTTGTTTTTCTATCTCTATCCATATTAACATCAACATTTGATTGGAGCCATATTAACGATATTATTTTCACATTTTTAATATGTTGTCTGTTTACCAACAATATATATTGTACATATATACATAACCCAGTAAATTATTGTACCTAAACTAATTGTTTACCTAAACCATTGGAACAATATTGATCACTGCATTTACATGGAGTTAGTTGTTGCAATCTATATGTTACCTGTAAAGGTTAACATCTCTTTACATCTCATCAACATTATAATGTTACACAGAGTAGAGATACATTTTATTTATGGCTTTCAGCTTCCTTTTAATTGTTAACAACAGAAGCAGCCTAAATGATCAATTCAATGGCAACCAATATATGCTAATATGCTATTGTGAAAAATAATAATCAATTATATTGAACACATTAAACCCAATCCTTTGCCCCAAAAATTTCACATTATTTATGTATAGTTTTAGCTCTTATGTTGCTCACTCGTCACTTGTTCACCATTATCATCATTTTTTACTTTCATCCCTTTCCTTCGTCATGATTAGCTTCATTTAAGTTAATTAAACTAATTGTTTCTCATATTTTTTGCCTGTGAACCATCCATAGTAAAGCAATTCATCATTGTAACTGTGTTATACACTTTTTTGACTCCTTCAATTTTGACTTTCCTGGATTCCACATGAAGAGTAAATTGCTTTTGCTTTTCATTTTCCTCCATTTATATCTCTTTGTACATTATTACATTGACTTGTAAACCAGCCTTTTATAGATTATTATTATTGGTATAACGTTGAACCTGATAGAAGGAGAAATAATAAAAATGGAAAATAATTGTGTTAATTTGAGTTTAGTTGAGATGAGATGAAAAAAGGGTTGCAGATTAATTGATCAAAATTTGTATCACCAAACTATAATTGAACCAAAGATACAGTCAACTCCATTAGAAATGATAGTCATTAGTGTTTTTGATCGATGAAAGGTAGCATCAGTTAAATCCAATGGTAATTAACGAAGGTTTGGGTTGCTTTGTTTCCAATTAGGGTTGAGATGAGCCATGAAATTTAAACAAGACTGGACGCCAAACAAAACTAATGCATACATAAGAGAAACACAAGAATAAACGTTGAAAAAAGGACTCTTGATAATGTGATGAAGTTTATATTGAATAGAGAATCAAATTATAATCTGATTCATATTGATTATTTTGTTAAATAAATTTTGTACTCTAACAATTTGTAAGTTTAAAAGAGCATTTTCATAACTGTAAAGGGAAGAAAAATTTACCGCCAGAAATAATTGTAAGGATTTGGATCTTACCGGTTTCACTCTGTATCTAAATCCTTATGAGTCCTGATACCATGTGATCAACTATTGTTACCAAATATTGTTAACAAACCTTTATTCGGTATTTTTATTGTTTAATTGTGTGACATTTGTTGAATTTAATTGTGAGTTTTTGTTAATATTTGATTTATCCATTTTACTAGACAATATGGAAGTATCAAATTTCGATGATTTGCTGCAGAAAGCTGAACAACTTCAAGCTCAAGTTGATTTACCCTTTCCACGGATTGAACGCAATATTAAACAATTATATGAAGTTGGACATAATTTATGGACCCGAACTGGCTATCATGCATCCAGGGATTCCAATGAAGCTCGTGCCTCTGTTTTACTCGGTGCCAAAGGTTATGATCTACAAAAGGCGAACCAACAACTGGAAAATTTAAAGGCAGATTTTTCTACCGTCGAATCATCCAAAATAAGCGATATCCATGGTTTTTTGAAAAATGAGAGAGAAAATGCCGTTCTATCTTCTATCGAAGAGGTTAAAAAGAACACTTTCGAAACTGTCGATAAAAAATGTTGGGCCAAAACAAACAAGGATTGGGAAGATCAGAAGATGAATATTTTAACCAATCTTGTTGGTGATGATAATGATGTATCGGATGTGTCAATGATGAGTGTCTCGAGGTCAGCAGCTACTCCGAAGATTAATATGCGAGATCTTTCATCTAGAGTCATTCAGAAAGACTTCACCAGCTATGTACCTATATTGGAAAAGATTAAGAAAGCGCCTAATGATCAAAACATATCTGCTTTGTCAAGTTTATTGAGAGAAAATAAAGACTTCGAATCAGTTCTTGGTTATAAAAATAGGGACGGTAACAGAGTAGCTGGTTTAATCGATCAATATCACGATGATCCGGTGCAAGTGATCCAACATATTGCCAATGATTGTGAAGAAACGGGTTCAATTGAGGAAGCTGTCAAATTGCAAGATTTAACCAGAAATGATGAAAAATGTTTAGAATTACTCATCAAATATCTCACTCCATTAGTGCCTCAGAAGAAAACATCGGGTGGATTAAGAGATAAATTGGAAAATCTGGCCATAAATATTGCAGAAAGGTATCACAGCAGTGGTTATAATGCTAGGCCAGAAGTGGTTGGAATTTTTCATCTCCTGTTAGATTTAATGGCCTTCTTCGATAATTATCATAAGCAAGCTTTTGACGATGCCCTAGAAGTAAGTAGTAGCTATTTAGTTAATTTATTTAGACAATTGATATCAATTTTTACAAAAATCTTTTCATAGGTTATTGAAAAACTGAACATTTTACCGTTCCGAATGGAGCAAGTTGATGCTAAAGCCAATGAATTTGGTTCATATGCCGATGAAATCCGACAATTGATTCCAGATGTTTTAGTTGCGACAATGAATATTATTCATATTCAATACAAGAAAATAAAGTAAGTGACGTAATACTTTTTATTCTTAAAACATCCTATTAATCATACTTTATATTTTTATTTTCTAAAGATCAATTGTGCCGCTAACATCAAATAAATTTGGAGTCATTGCGGAAGCCAATGAAAAGGATGTGGTAAGAAATTCAAGAATCATTTTAAGTATTGATAGTTTAATTTAAAATGAATTTATTTCATTTTTCTTCCAGCTTCTGCAATCTCTCAAAGCCAAAGCACGTTTATTGATCACATATGCAGGAATGATTCCTTACAGAATGCCCGGTGATATCAATGCTCGACTAGTACAGTTGGAAGTCACCATGAATTAAACCAAAACTCAAATTTTTGATAGTATAATCACCAATTCATCAGTTATCTAATACTGAATTTTCTCATTAAAATCTTCAAATAAATCACTGACATTGTTTATCCATCTTTGTGTTCAAATCTATGATACATAAATCCTCAAAATAACAACATCTCATATACCACTTATGCTAATTACCATTGCCATAAAGTAAATTTATAAAAAAAATGTCATCAAGTTTAATGTTGTTAATTGGGATTATAATAAATTTTTGATTTTTAAGAATCACATTTCTTTTTATTTATGAAAATAAGCTTAAGATTCTTTATTAAGTTCCTCTAACCGGTCAAGGTCGTTAGCGTCAAGCATTGAAATCTCTCTACCATAATGTTGTTCCAGTTTTTTAATCATTTCCAGTGTTCTTTGTGAGTCAACCATATTGATAGCCAATCCAGATTTTCCGAATCGACCAGTTCTTCCAATACGGTGTAAGTAAGTTTCAAAGTCAATGTCTTTTGTGGTGATATCAATGGGCAAATCGTAATTGATTACAACAGTCACCTGGTCAACATCTATTCCTCGAGCCATTAGATTGGTGGCGATCAATACTCTTTCAACACCATCTCGGAATCTGTTGATTACTTCAGTTCTTTCTTCTACTGTTAAGTCCCCAGTGATTATTCCAACCGAGTGACCGTCTTTTCTTAATTTGTCGGTTAGCCACGCAGCTGCTTTTTTGGTCTGACAGAAGATAAAAACTTGACCTATGGTCAGTGTTCCAAATAGATTCGCTAAAGCTTTGTACTTGTCAACATCGGAATTACATAGAACATAGAACTGTTCAATATTTTCTAAACTCTCTTCTTCCTTTTTCAATCGAATTATTACAGGATCTTTGACAATTTGTTCAGCAAATTCCATTACTGCGCCTTCATAGGTTGCTGAGAAAAACATGATCTGACAATTAGAAGAAAGAGCATTTTTGATTCTAATTGATTGATTACGATGCCCTTGTGTGTCAATCATCACATCAGCTTCATCCAAAACTAAAACTCTTATTTTACGAATGTCAAAACAGCGATAACGAAGAGCTGCGTCCATAACTTTGCCTGGAGTTCCTAGAATAACATGCTCTTGGATTTGACTATCCCGGTGTAATTCAACACCACGAACTACGTATTTAAATTTAATAGTCTTCTTGTGTTTAGCCATAAATTCAGCAACTTGACCTATGAAAATATAAAAAATACATGAGACATGATTGATGATATTGGTCAGAAAATTGAACTTTGTGAAACAAAAAAAAATGCATGTACTAACCCGTTTGTAAAGCTAACTCATAAGTTGGAGATAAGATTAACACTTGTGGGTAGTTTAGACTATCATCAACTCGAGCCAAAGATGACAATAAGAATGCTGCGGTTTTACCAGTTCCAGATTGAGATTGAGCGATAATATTAGTTGGACTAAAAATTAAACATTTTTAATTAGCATTGACTCTAGATAATAAATGTCTCAAACTGTTATGTAACTTACGGATTCGAGAGTAAAATAGGCAATACAGTCTCTTGAATTTTACTAGGAGCAGAAAAGCCCATTTCATAAATTCCTTTGAGAAGTCCTTCTGGCCTGTCGATTGCAAAGTTAATGAACAAGAACACTATTAGAACACAATTTCAACATCATGAAAATAAACTTACAGATTAAGCTCTTCAAAAGATTTTACAGAATGCAAAGGCGAATTAGGATTAGCACGAGTGACTTCAACCTCATTACTTTTTGACTCCAAGATCCTGTTGCGAGTCAATTTTCGCATCAAACTAAGAGTAGCTAAGTCGACAGTCTCATCATCGTCATCTCTGTTGTCCTCTTTCAAAGACACCTCCTCTACCTAAAATGTAAAGACAAAGAATGAATTCATAAAAAACTTTGACCAAAACACAATCAAAGAAAATCTTACCTTTTTAACTAAACCATCATCAGACGGATTGGCAGCTTCAGCCATGTCGAATTAAAAAAATGATTCAAATAACTCGGAAAACTAAACGTTAATCTCTTATCTATTATAAGAAATGAGCTGCACATATGTTAAAAAAGCAAGTAGCAATCGATACAAACGATAGCTCATCGATATTACAGCAATACTATCGTTATTCAAAGTTATGCAGCAATTATCGAAGATTAAACAGTAAAAAAGGACTGAACTTCTGTCACTTTCAATTAAATGGATTCCAAGATAATTTTGAAAGAGTAAAGATAGTCTTCAACAATTTATTAACTGTTCAGTTCCACAGAGAAAGATAGAGAATCATCAAATTACTCTGTCGATCTAACCAAAGTCTCGTTTTCAGGGACTTTTTGATATCATTTTTAATCACAAGTAAAACAATAGATGGCACTTTACTATCAACTTAATTCCTAAGAGTTTATTTACAGTTCATGACTGAACCGGCGTCTTGGAACTTTTCTCATCAAATAAAGCTAGCAACAAAATCATTATATGATTCATGCCTTTTCATCCTTCAATAGTAACTCTTACCTGAGATTAACACAAACATGAGAAAAGTGTGAAAAGTACAAAATTTTCGAGGTTTTACTTTACTCTTAGAGCTTAAATTGTATCTTCCTTAATAATCGGCCATGGATAAAGTGAGTATTATAACTAATTGACAATCAATTTTCTTTAAACTTAGTTTTTAACTTCATGATAATCAAGATATTTCAAGATACAAAAGTTTATTCACAATTAGTTTTGGATTTTAAAAATGTAATTAAAATATTTCCAGTTCATTTACTGGCATCGATGTGAAAATGCGACTTGATCTTATTTTATGAATAAAAGTGGTTTCAAAGATGATTATTTGTTGCTCATTGATTTAGTATTTCATCGAAATTTAAAGAATATTGTATTTTTTTGTTTATCCATACAAGATCCTACCTGGACTTTATCTGGGTGGAGTTCGTGATTCCCGTGATGCTGAACAACTTCGTCTAAATGGCATAACCCATGTAATATCTGTCCATGAAAATCCAAATTCATCTCATTATCAGAGTCAAGTAAGTTCATTGAAATCAGTCATATTTAATGAAAGAAAAGCCAAAGTGTATACTTATTATTGATACAAACTTTTCTAAGTAAACTGAAGCATGGCTCCTGGAGTTTCCAAGTAAATCGATAAAATTAATTGTTTTATCTTTCATAATTGTATTCATAAATAACCAGAGAAAAGTCCATTCACCTGACCTTTCTCTTGTGAAATAGTTTCCAAGAAAAACAGAATGAAATTTTTCGCAAAACTCTTTTCGTTTGTTTAAATCCTAATTTGATTTCAGTTCAAGGTTTAAAATTTCAGTCAAATTGAGCATGATAATGTCAACAACCTTTTTAACTTATCAGAATAAGATTCATCATTCACTGATCTTTTTGTGTGGATCTTTAAATTTTTTGTCTCGAAATTCGCACTTTAAGTTCTAACTGATATCAAGTAACTTAAGGGGTTCGAATCAAAATCAAATGCAATCAAGGAATTACTCTGATCAGCAGTTTTCGATAAAATAGCGTCGCATTTCGCCCTTCGATCGCTTCTTGTATAGTTATGGAGCAGATTTTTGATGCTGAACAACATTTCGACACGCTTTTGTCAAGAATCAAACCCAAAAGTAGCTTGATATTATATTACCCTTAAAGAGTTTGCTTAATTTAGCTGCTCAAATTAACCTAAACCCAAATTCAGAGCTTGTTTCTGGTGATTATTAATATAAATTGGATTTTTCTCAATTTTTCAACCCGTTTATGTGAATATTTTTTCATAATTGTTCAAATTATCTCCGAATAAACAGAATAATTTTGCAGATTTTTTATTTCTTTAAAATCCTGCTGTAAAACGAAACAATTTTGATTGTTCATGACAAATAAAATCCAATTTTAATGCTTGTATTTCTAACGCCATAAAAGTGCACAAAATTTCTTTAAAATACTCTTGAGGAGAGAATCTTTATGATAGCATAATGGGGTAATACGTATGGATATATTTGATGTTAATTTTTTCAGTCAGAATATACCAGAATCAGAAATTTACTAATCTTTCGAAATGATATTTTCTAAGGTTTCGAACAAATATCAATTTTTCTTAGCATAACAACATTTTTTCTAATGTTATCGGTTATAACGCAAAATTCAATTCGCAACTCTAAGTTTGAATTTACAGATCTTTTTCATTCTTGATGTGAATTATTTGCTGTAAATTAAGTTTTTCAAATTGACTTTGTACAAAAGGTTTCTGGCTAATGTTGTCAAATCCTTCCGAAGTGTTCATTACCAGAGTTAAAACTGTTGGATAAAAGCTTTTCAAGTTCAATCTTGAAACCTTGAATTTTGTCAATCAGAGCAAAAGCCATTAATGGGTTAGGATAAACAAAAACAAACAAAACAAAAGTCTCTTTTTTGTACCAAAAAGCATTACAAGCCAATTGTTTGATGTCAACTCATTGTCGACTCATGAACAGAATAAAGATTATCCAGAAATATCTTTCAATTACAAGACAGCGATAGAGACGATAATATTGAATTTTGATGATAATTTGGTCCACAAATAATTTCCTCCAAGCATCTTGTTTTGAGGTGCAAAATCAATGTTTAATGGATATGAAAGGAAAGGAGTTAACATTGTTAACAGTTAAAAGCTTTTCATGGTTATGCTTTAAAAAGTGATAGAATGTGTTCAGATTCATTCCTTGATCATTTTACTTTTAAACATTTTTTTCTCTTCTAATCAAATTGTAATAACACTAATGCACTTTATGACAAATGTAATAATTTTTCACCCAAAGCCTTTTAAAACATTTCAAGTTCAATGTTGACAGTGATTTAATTGTTCATCTTTTTCAACCTTTTTTCCTCATTTTTTACCCAGATTTGTGAATATCTTTGCATCAAAGCTTCAGATGAACCAGATCAAAATTTAAGCCAATATTTCAGTCTTACCAATGAATTTATTCACTCTGCTCGACTCAAAGGAGGAAATGTACTCATACATTGGTAAGTTATTCATCAAATTAAGAGAAAATGTTTTTTCTTCAATCAACATCGAAAAATATTATTTAGTAATTGATCGACTTGAGCACTTACAATATCCTGCATTGTCTGATCATAAGCGATGTAATTTAATGGATGAATAATGAAATGGCATGATAGAGAGGCTAGAATAGCAAAGAAAAGAACAGTTAGAATTGGGTTTTTGCTAAAAAAGACACAATTTTCACATATATGCACTAATTGAAACAAAAGGGCACAAACTGGTAAAATTTAATTTCTTTCAATTCAAATTCTATGGATCTTTAGGGAAATAAAAACTGAATCTATTTGTGCAATTCATGAATTTCTCTAATCGACCTTTATCGAGAGAATCGAATCCAAAGTTGAAACTTTGATCGCTTTTTGTGCTATTATGAGAAGCAGATTTAGTAATGCAACTGATTTAACTGATGAAACTTTTGATTGCTAATCAGAAAATGGTCTTATTTTGTGAAAACAAACTTTCCTTTTTCTGTTGAACTGGTAAGTTCGATTTTGGGTTAAAGTGGCCTCATTCTGTGACTATAAGAGTTAGGGATCTGAAACTTACCATGTGTCCATAAAAATTGTTTGCCCACATCATGGGTTGAATACTTTTTTCAATTTCACAACAGATTTTGTGATTTTAGCTATTGGACTTAAAACTTTGCCCCTCGATATTTCGAGAATGGCATAACCTAAAATGATCATTGTTTGACCAAACTTTAGATTTCATTATGGACTGTGATATATTGAAATATTGAACTAATCAAGATCTTACAAAAACAGTTATAGTATTTTAATATTTATGTCGTTAGATTTGAAACTTGCTTTAGTAAGTTAAAGTTTACTCAAACATAGATCATTATAAATGAATTAGCGTAGATTTTTTTCGGTATTGTTTTATATTATGCTATAGACCATATTAAAATCTAACGATTTGTTAAAGAATAGTGTTTGTAGTTGATTCCGTTTTTGAGATATTGAGGCTATAAATTTTTAGTCCAAAGGCCAATATTAAGAGAACGGTTATTAATTTGAAAAAGGGATTTGCTGCATGATGTGTACAAACAATTTTTATGCAGAAATAATAATTTTCAACTGTCTAAATTTTACATTCACAGAAAGAGTACAGTTTAAATGAAAATCGAACTATCCTTTTGTACACAAAACAGAAAATTATATTTCTCAAAATAAGTGCATTTTCTGGTTAATCATCAAAAGTTACTCAGGTAAACGAAGTCTGATGAAAAAATCTGCTTCCATAGCTGAATAAAAGACGATCAAAGTTTCAACTTCGAACTCTATTTTCTCAAAAACGGTCCATTGGATGAATTATTTAATAGCACCAATGGACACAGTTTTTATGTCCCTATCAACCCAGCAAGTCTCAACTTTTAGCTCAAATGTTCGAGCCTTTGGCAGTAACTTCTGCATTACATTTGAATGTTTAACCAGAAAGCTGGTTTATTTACCAAGAAATGGGTTAATATGAGATTGTTTTGTTTAATAAGCTGTTTCTTGTACATTTACAAGCCAAATATCGTGATTCCAAGGCACTGATGGAAGGTTATTAAATTGATTTAGATTATTAATTAGCAAAGAATTCAATTAGTGAAAGAATTCTGATTGTAGGTTATGCCATTCTCGATGTATCGAGGGTCAAAGTTTCAGATCAAATAGCCAAAATCACGAGATCTGTTGCAAAATTGAAAAAATTATTCGACCCATGATGTGGGCAAACAATTTTTATGGGCACACAGTAAGTTTTAGATCTCTAACTCTTATGGTCACAGAATGAGGTCACTTTAACTCAAAATCGAACTTATCTGTTTTACAGAAAAAGAAAAGTTCTTTTTCTCAAAATAAGACCATTTCTTGATTAGCAATCAAAATTTTCATCAGTTAAATCAGTTTCATTACTAAATCTGCTTCCATGATCGCACAAAAAGCGATCAAAGTTTCAACTTTGGATTCGATTCTCTCAATTAATGTCGATCAGAGAAATTTAAAAATTGCACAAATAGATTTAGTTTTCATGTCCCTACAAACCCATAACGTCCGTTTGTGCCTTTTTTGTTTAAATTAGTTCATTAATGTGACAATTGTGTTTTTGATAACAATCGTTAGAATGCATTTGTATGCAATAAACAAGAAGTGTTTCTCTTTCTTCAACGTTTTGAGATACAAATTCAGCATTTCTCTGTTTGGACATGACTTCATAGAAACTTGAATTACAAGAAATTTCCTGGTTTTTGCCTGCATGTAGTCAATTTGTTTCCATCATTTAGATAATCAATAATTTTTCAAGACAAACGAAACGATCCCAGTTAAAGTTGCAATAATAAATGTCATTAAAATGTCTGTGCAACTCCATTTCACTCTCGTTCGAACTAATTTTAAGCTTTGTTTTGAATTTTCTAATAAGTTGGATTCTATGGATGCTAATCTTTTTCACTTGCTATAACAATTGACTGTCTAATAGCTTGATGCTCAATTATACCGAGACTGTAATTGTTTACTAATTTTTATAAACAAATCTCAGTTCAATTTATATTTCAATACAATCAAAGATCAACCTTTTCTGGTTTATTCACAAGTCTCGGTCAATATCAAGATGAGACGCTTTCTTAGCCTTCTGCAGTCAATCAGTAAAGGTCCAAAAATAACATTATATCAATATATCACAGTTTATCCTTTATGATACTTATTGACGCACATGAAACTTGATAATCACAAGTTTACTTTGTTGGTCTGAAATTTTGGGTAATCAATGTCAACCAAATCAAAGTCAACAATAACAAAGCTAACATTAACATTGACTTTGAGACAGACCTTACTTACAGAGGTAACTTTGGGTGGAGTAAGTTACCTATTTTGACTCTCAATAAATGTCTCAAGTCTGAGTACATTTCATTAAAGGTGTGGTAAATGTTTGGACTTTGATTGAGAAACAAAATATAAATCAAATTGTCACATTGAATTTGAAAGTGCGACATTGGAGTGAAAAGTGTTTCCCTTTACAAGTCACTTTGCTAATCAATTTTATGTTATAATATTAATGTTTCAAATGTATAATCAATCATTGGAAGCAGGAGTTGGTATAAAAAGTGAAAAGGCAAATTAATTCAAAACAGAGTTTATTGATTGAACAATTAATTGTTCAATTTGTGCGTTTCTTTCATCTTTCCTTTCATTGTTACGGAAAAGGGAAAAAGCAAAATTGATTCATTTAATACATTGATCAACAAATTTAAAGGCAAATAACATTTTTTTCGTACAAATCGATCACAATAATGTCTATTTTTCAGTCAACCAATATTCAAATCAATATTATCAGGTTTACCGATATTTATCATCATTTTACAATTCAATTGGTAATTTAATTGAGAACTAAAATGAGCTAAAACTAATTCAACAACAAACAAACCAGGAAACATTAATACATGACTAACAATTGAAGTAGCTTCAATAGTTTTGTCTTTAGCTTAGTCTTTGCCATAGCAATGATGAAAAAATTCAGTTCAATACAGCACAATATACATAAATAATCAGGTTATTGAAGCTATTATCAATAAATAGACAAATTCATTGTTGATGAAAACACGATTCAGAATTGGGTTACATCTTCGATTAATTTTAATTTCGTTTTCTTTTCCAGTCTTGCAGGTATATCACGATCAGTTACAATTGCAATCGCTTATATCATGTCCGTTACTACAGTCACCTGGAAGGAAGGCCTGAAATGTGTTCGAGCAGCTCGTCTTTTGGCTCAACCCAATCAAGGTTTCATCAAGCAGCTTCAAGACTTTGAAAAAACTGGTAAACTCAGACATGTAAGTACAATGGATTGATTGTTAATACTTGAACAAACTTCAACAATTTAAGGCAACATTGAGGTTTAGCTTCGCAATCATTGACCTAAACTGTTTCTGTCTCATCAGGTAACATCTATTGATCGGTAATCAAAATAAGTATACTTTATTGATTAATTGTCATTTGTAAGATGAGTTAAAGTCAAGACAAATGTTCAATTGTTCAAGTTGTACTTTTTAATCTCAAGTAATGTGATCAATAAATCAGGGTTTAATAAAATGGTGAATAACATTTCCCAGTTTTAAAGTGAAGTCAATTAGCAGTTAGTTAATCAATAATTTAAACAACCTTTTCAAGTTATTACTAATTTACAAGATTTTGCTTGATTTAGTTTAGTTGGTTTCGTGTACAGACTTGAATTCACTATGGTTTTAAATGGTTAAACCCGATTTAGGTTGACCTGACTTTGAAAGGGACTTTTTTTGTGAAAACAATCTTGAGTTACTTTTTTGCTTTCTGTTTCTGAATAAGGCGTAACTCATCATGCAACATGATTAAATAGTAAGAACTTTATTCTTGATATTATTCAACTATCATATTCCCTTGCTGATAATATTGAATAATTTAGGTTAAATTTAGACACGCAAATTTATACCTTTTCATTTTCAGTAATGGTACAGCTTGGATTGGTAATAATCTGTTTTCTTGAATCAATTTCATTACATTATATTGATTTGTTCATGCAATATGGTTTATCAAATTGCGTTTCAATCCAATCCTTATAATTTTGGTAAATATTGCTATTTATAATCAGATGTAATCAGACAAAGATTCACAAAGAAAATTGTCACTAAAAATGCATTCATAAGACAAGTTGTATTTCAAGCTAGAGCAGCGACTTGTTGGATTTGTAAATGAAAGTCGAGCAAATCTGTGCGATCAAAAATTTTAATGATCGACAGTTTAATAAAATCCCATCCAAAACTCAATCCTGAATCGCTTTTTGTGGCCAGTCGATATTTGACGCAAAGAACTACATAAAGACAGTTGCTGCTGAAAAATTCAGTTAAATCGATAGACTTTTTCATTGTTTTCATCACTGAAGTAGAGGATATTTGGAGCGATCTTATTGTTGGGATAATATTGATGAAGTTGCTTGAAATTTTGCGTAATTTTGCTTAAGAATGTAATTATTTCGAATCTAAAATAATCGTGATTTTGAATAGCATTCAATAGAGCGATTTATTGGCCATTTTACTAAAAATATCCATCAAACTGTGGATTTAAAAATTTTTAAAACTCAATTTTGCTTTGCTAAATATCCAAAAAGTCTTCACTCTTAGCTTGAAATTCATTTACTTGCTTTTAATTGCATTTACTCATTTAATTGGAAATTTAATTCCCGAAATCAATCTAATTTTTAAAAGTAATTTCATCTCGATTTCCGCCAGATTTTAATTTATGGACAAGCCCTTGCGCTAATAAATTGTTTTGTTTTGGTTTGCTCGCTTTGCATTTTTTGTTGTTGTTGCTAGTCAGTTTCAATTATATCGTCTGTTTGAACGATAATGATTATCTAAATTTGTTGATAATTAAAGTATTATAATTGTTCGCTCATTAAAAATCGTATTCAACTAATTGTTTTCAACTTTGTGTTTTGTTTTCACTTTTTTCATTTTTTCTCTTCTTTTTTTGTTATTTTTTTAGGAAAGAAAACGGTTGAATATTAAATTCACTGAGTACTCAGGTTTAATGGAGACTGATGAAGAGCAAGTTACTCGACTGATTAAGCGCTACAATTCACTCGGACCGGTTAAGTACCTATCAGTTGAAGATTTATTGAGAGTGACCCAATATAATTCATTTGAAGAAAGGAAACCCAAATTTTACGAGTCACCAAAAAGGAAATCAAAAAAATCTAAAGAATCCGGAATTTACGCGTTTACATGATTATCAAAAGTCAATGTCTTAAAGCTTTACAGATTAACTTAATGTGAGATTTATTCAGACAAACTGTGAAACATCAAAATTTATTGCATAAATAATCATGTCTTCATCGTACAATTACATGGGTACAATATTTTATAATTTGTGTATAAAAATGTAAAAAGATGTTCAATTGTACAAAAAATTGAATTATTTAATGTGTAAAGAACCAACATCTTTAACGATAACTGGAAATAATTTGAATTTTGGAAAATTATAAGACAAAAAACTGGTGATTTAATTAAAAATAAAGCGATTCTGGATGATTTCAGATCAAAATAAAAGCGGAAAGTGAACAATCAATTAATAGTCCGTTAAGATAGTGATGATAGTGATTTTGTTATTCAGTACAATTACAATCTAATATTGATATTCTGACAAGCTAATGGCAGTAAATTTGGTTATTAGCAACAATACCTTGTTTCCATCAGTATATCAGTGAAACCCTTTTTACACTTACCAATTTTCAACTATTTTACGGGCCATTCGCCATTTTAATTAGCACCTATCATCTTTGATTATTAGCAAATTATCATCAACTAAACTGAATGATAAAGAAAGGCAATAAACAATTAAAATATTAATAATATAATCTTGTAAAAGTAAACCATCAATTTTTTTATTCTTTTAAATCTTCAGAATATTTACTGTGCGAAAACATGTTGACAATCATTAGATCACCACATTTATACCAATTGAATGAGCAATAATTAGTTGTCAACACACAATCTGTTTCATTAATTATCAACATTTATTTTGTTTCACGTTCGGCTGCTTTAGGTTGTGTTGTTATTAGCTGTTTAACTCATTTGAGTGATCAACCTAATCGCATGGAGGATGATAAAGTCAGGATTAGATTCACAGACAGAATTGTTAGATGGATGAATAAAATACTAACAGATCAGAATAGACAGATAAGAATGAAAGACTAACAATTAATTGATCACTCAAAATTCAACAAAACCATTCCGTTTTGGTTTCACTGTTGTTCAGTTTTTAAGTAACAGCAATCTCATCTTCAAAAATTCAAATCAGATGTAACAAATGTATGCTTTTCAGGAGTTTTAATTGTAGATTGGCAGATAGAGATTAAGAGTGAGAATTTAGCTCACTTCTTAAATTGTTGGAACGTTGTCTGCAATCAAACGTTAATAATTTGAGACTCGAAATATTTTCTCCCAATCGTCAAGTTTACTTTGGCTTGATGAGTTGTTTTGGGCTTCGCCAGTAAGCCTTTTGTTTCCTCCAACATTCATCTGTTTTCGATTCCTGTAAATCATGGGATCTCAGATAGTTCAAATAGCTTTTATAATTTTGTTGAGTGTTTTTTCAATTCACATTTGTCATGGATTTAGTGCCAGTCACCAACATCAGGTAACTTACAGTGAAAGTGACGATGAAACACATTATGGTTACAGATCATCACCTTTATCGGTTAGTTACGATGATGATGATTCTTATGGAGCCGAGGAATCGTCTTCTGGTCCGAGAGTGATAACTGGAAGTGGCCGAATGACCATTTTAGGCAAAAGATCCTCTCAAGAAACGTCAACAAAAAATCAACCTGAGATAGTTTCTAAGAGTAAATCTGCCAGCAATGATCAGCAACAGCAGCAGCAACAACAACAACAGCAACAGTCAAATGGACAAAATGACCAATCCATGGGGCCAGCAATAACAAATTATAACGTAGAATGGACTGAATCTATTGATCACGGCCCATCTAAATCATCAAGTAAATCTTCATTGACACCAGCTCAACCTCAACCTCAACTTTTCCAAAGCCAAATGCAGCCTCAGTTTCCAGTGAATAACGGTTATTCTGCATATCCTGGCCATTCTAGTTCATCTGTATCAGACAACTACAAAGACTACGTGGACACTCAGCCAATTGGTTATAACTACAAAGGTCAACAGTTTAGTGAGCCTAGTGTTGGCTATAGTGAGAGTAGAATCGATTCTGAGTGGCAATTTCCAGATTTCATGAAAGAGCTGAAGAGAACTGAAAAAGATGAAAAAAAAGATAAGGATAAGGTGCAAAAAGAGGATAAAAAACCAGAGTATGAGGAGGATCACTGGTATCAAGAGCCAGCCAAGGAAAAGGAAGAGGTTAAAAAGGAAGAAAAGGAAGAAAAGAAAGATGATAAATTTGAGTTTGATTGGAGTGACCCTTGGAGTGAAAAGCCCAAAGAGGAGAAGAAACGACCAAAGAAAAATGTTGATAAAGAAGAAAAACAAAAGAAAGAAAAGTACGGGGACAAATTAAAGAAAGAAGATGGTGAAGAGGGTAAGGTTGTAAAACACGAGCATCATACTCATCATCACCATGACCATTGGGATGATTCTTGGAATAGTGAACCAAAAAAAGAAAAGGAAAAGAAAAAGGTTGAAGAGTATAAAGAAACTTATGACAATGGTAAGAAAAATGATGAATCCTACTCAGGTGTTAAAAATCCAACTGTACAGGATGGTGATTCTTGGTATGATGCTCCTAAGAAGGAAGAAAAATATCAAGAACCAAGCAAAAAGGAAGAAGAGGCCAAAGGCGAATATTATTCAGAAAAAGATTACCAGAAAAACCAAGATGATAAATATCACGAAAATAAACAGCACGATAAAAACCAGTACAATAAAGACCATTACGATGACAGTCAGCACAATAACGACCAGAATGATAATCATCAGTACGATAATAACCAGTACGATGATGGCCAGTACGGTAGCAACCAATATGATGATAATCAGCACAGCGATAACGCTAAGCATGAAGACAAGCAGTACGACGATAAATATTACGAGGATAAACCAGCTGAAGGTGGATTAGAGAGTCCAGAACAAATTGGCCGTCGTCCTGGCGACTCCAAAGATAAAGGTGGTAAAGGTGGCCTCTTGGAATCATATTTTTGGAAAGCTTTACCTGGAGGAGATAAAAAAGATTCAACGTATAACTACGTAATCCATGTGAGTAAAATTGATTTAGACAAAGCGTATGACAAAAAGGATGTTAAAGATGAGAAGATGAAAGATGATTACTAATTGTAAAGTTAATAATTTCATGTAATTAATGAGTCAAACTAAATATGTTTAATACATTCAACTTACCATAGTAGATAATAAAAAGACAATATGATTGTCGTTTCAATTTACCAGCCTGAACCTCTTATTGAAGCATCAAAAGACCATGAAATGAGTTGTGATTTTAACCCATCTTGAGTAGATTCATGGAACGATCTTTCCTATCATGTCAAATGCCACCTTAATTCCAATAATAGTCCATTTCTATTGAAATTTCGATCCAATTCACTAGATTTTTCCTCCAGCTTTGATAAACTTGATGAGTAATGATTAATCAGGTGAAATCTGCAAGATAAAAGCCTGAAAATAGTTGTTGGATAGATATTCCATTGATCTTTCCTCGCTTCCATCCGATTAAAATGTGACAATGAAATTTTTTAATCTTTCATTTGACAACCATTGATTAATGTCAGTAACATGTATCACCTTAGAACAAGAAAGTGCCATAAATCCTGGCCTGAATTGGGGATCGCTTTCATTTGGTTGTTGGCTCCATAATTGATGTAACAGGAATGGTACAAAATATCTGTTCAGGTTTTAACCTTGGCTGCAAGAAATGGCGAGAATAAACATGAGGAATCAATCAAAATTTGACAAATATGACTGCCATAGATCTTTCTGATTAATCAAATTCACCGATAATAAATCATCACAATCAAAATGTAAATACACAATCTTATTTACTGTGGAAAAGTGAACCTATCATGATGAAGCTTTTAAAATCTTAGATAATGACAATCAACTTACCATCTCAATGACAATGTAATTTTCCAATTTTTTGGCCTAAATGAAGCTGCCAATTTTTAGAATCAATATATTAAAGATAACAAAAAAGATAACAAATAATATCCAACTAGAATCACAAAATTTGGCAAAAAAATTACTGCGTAATAAGCATAAAAGCGTTCATTGGTACATTTGAATAACAGCTGTTGATTGAAAGGGGTGCTCAATTGAAAAACAATTGCGAGCAAACTTCAAAATGTAAACAAACGATAACTTGAATATCAAATTCTCAAGTGATTCCAGACAAAGATAAATCCGCCCAATAAGAGTGAATCATGGAGAATGGAAATGAACAGCGACATTAACAATCTAAGTGTTGATTCATTAGAAAAAAAACATTCAAAAGGGCAAAGTTACTTGATTTTTCCTCGCAACTATTCTTTTAAAATTCAATTTGAACAGCTTTCGAAGTCAAACTAAGCATGAAAAGGTAAATACTGAATGGCTCAGGTGAGAAGGAAAACGAAGGTTCATTCAGGTTCATTTACTATTATTTATCCCTTACTCAGCATGTTACTTATTACAACTTACAATTTTTGCATCAAAACTCAAATAATAGTTTTAATAAAACGTAATGATGTCAAATTAATTATACGAACCATTTTTGGCAGCCGTGCAAAGTATGATTGCTTGAAAAACAGCAGAGCACAAAGACTGTCTGAGCAGCTTGGCGGCTGGCCTTCACCACAAAGAATGCCCACTAGGTGGGCATTTAGAGTACAGCAAAAAAATGTTACACCAAAGGGAAAAATAATCTCAGATTTTAACTTGAAAATACAAAAATTTGCTATCCGTAAGTATCAAATATCAAAAAGTAGCGCTGAATCCATATTTAATATACAATAGCATATAAATTGTGAGAAAAAAGTAAAAAAATGTCTTAATCGTGTCTCGTGACCCATTTCTGACCATGTTTCAAGTCTATGCACCGAGTGGAACTTTTAGGGGATACAGATTTAGTTCTGAATGGTTGTAGTAATTTTTCAATGGATATCACAAATTTTTGAAAAAATCATTGAGATGATCTCATTGCTTAATCAAATTACCTTTATTCTAATAGCATTATTACAGATAGTGACAACAATAATTATTAATACTTATTCATGATGATAACAATGGAATGATATGGACCCCGGATTTAAAATGGTAAAAATACAAAAATCTTGAGTTCATTTTCAATCACTGAATATTCAAGTCACCAATCTAGATTATTGTGAGCAGTATTCGCCAACCAAATCACAATATTCCTCTGTTCTGTATTTGACGATGTTTTCACATTGCATTACAGCTTTATCAACCGTCAATTTCATCATTTGCAGCTCTGAACGATGCAGGTCAACACAAAAGTCTTTAATCCCCCCATCGCTCGCTTCTCTACCATCAATGCATTCACTCGACTTATCTTTATTGCATTGCTTTACAAACTTCGTGTTGTCTTCGTCGCCTTGCTGTTTACCGCAATGTACATCTGAGAAGATTATGATGAACACAAAGATGATTACTGGGAATGAACAAGAATACATTTTTATAAACTGATAGTGAAAAAACTTGGAATTAAAACGATTGACTAATGAAGAAACAAGTGAATTACAGTTACAGAATCGTTCCTTTTTTATACCCATGAGTTTATTCAGCTTACGTAAGCTTATTCCAAAGAATGCACAAAAAGTAAATAATGATTTTGTTTTTTGGGTCACTTTACATTTAAAAAGATTAAATTAAATGTTGACTTCAACATACATCTTAAGTGTTAGAAGAACATTCATTATTAAATGAACAAACTCAGATTTTCTTAACTATTCAATCATATTACAATGTTATAGTCAATAATTAAATCTGATGTTTCGTGGAAGAATGTAGATTTTAGGTTTTTCTTCATTACTCCTTTGTGCACAAATGTGACAATTGTGTTAATTGTGCTTTTTAGTAACAACTTATTTTTTTGCATCAATCAAACTATCGACACCGGTCAATTGCTGACGAAAATGCTAAAACTTAACTTTTCACAATCAATACGCATTCTACTGCATGTAAACTTCGTTTCAAAAACTCAATTTTATTTGGCCTTTCAATGAACGATACGATAAAATCCAGTACAGGGTGTATCAGGCAGTGAACTTTCGCTCATTTCAGTATCAATTATCGTGCAATGTTTTTATAACTAGGTAATAACTATCGTGTGATGACAAAGAACCTTTAACACAGCGCTATCACAGCTTATGGGTTCTAAGTTATGTAAAAATTTTATCCCATATTATCTTTGTTAGGATTTACTGATTTATTTGTTATTTATTGTTGTGCTAACTTGTGAGATCCAACTTTGGTGTTAGTTGAAAATTCAACTACATTTTCCAAAGCTATTATTTAGACTTTTCATCTGATTATTAGAAACCCGAATTGCAATGGAAAATGAGACGAGAGCCGAATAGAAGCGTTTGCCATTTCCTCTACTCACAGACAGGAGACAACGTAACTCAGAATGATGACTCAAAACCAGATGCATGAAGTGTAAACACACTCTATGAGCAAGCCTAAAAGTGACCGATGGGGAAGATGTGTGCTTTAACTTTCTGCTTCATTTACACTCAAGCCTCAAATTGTTAAATTGTTAAATTGTTTCGCCATCAGATATTGTTATCATTTAAATTAATCTTTAGTGATACTCGCAATTTTTCGGATTCAGCCGCCATTATAATGGAAAGAATAAATTTCTTCGTTCTTTTGATTTTAACTGTTAGCCAGTCTTCTTTCGGGCAGGATTTAGAAAATTCAAGTAAGTTGTTTTCATTTTGTTAACTTAGTATCAAAAACTTTCATCAGAAGTCTTAAAAGTGAATTCAAAATATCATCACGAAAAGTTACTAAATTCATAACAAAAAGACTCATACAAATGAAGCAAAAATAAAACAATCAGCCATTGATTTTGCCAAAAAAGTGAATGAGCTAAAGCAAAATATTAGCAATGATGATGTTTGGAACACTGATCAGTCTGGTTTCAATTATGAAATAACTTCAAATAGAACTTTTAGTAACAAAGGAGAAAGAGGCACTTATCTTCTTGTTCAAAATTGCAACTCGTTGACTCACTCATATACCATTCAAGTTTTAATTTCTAATGCTGGTGAACTAGCTCCAAGAGCTCCTTTTGTTTCCAAGAGCCTTCAGGTAAATTTGAACCACAAACCAGTAGAGCCATAGAGTCAGTAAAGCCACCTTACGTAGAAGTTACATGTACTAAAAGCGGTAAAATGACTAGAAAAACCTTGCACGCTTGCGTTAAAACTTGCTTCAATCCTCTTTATCACTCCAATACCTTATTGACTCAAGATTCATGTTCAGCTCAAAAAGATATGGAAATTTATCGCAAAGAGTTCGATATCTTTTTCCGGGTAAAAATTGAAAACATTCCTCCGAAAGCAACAAAATATTGTCAAGTCCTTGATGTTTACTTTTTCAGACAGTATAAACTGTTTACCAGACGTTTTCAAGATGCAGTAAGATGCACAGTCGATGATGCAGCTGTGCGCAAGTTAAATGATCTTATGTTCATAATGTCGATGCATTTATGCATTTATAACCAATTATCAGCACCAATTTACCATCAAATGCTACTTTATGCTTGGAAAGCTTCTGTTTATACTATTTCAGAGGAATCAACATCATTGTAATCAGTTTTGGAAATTAATTTCGTCTTTCGTAAATTAATTTCAGCTTCGAGGATTGCTCTATTTCAGGCTGCAGTTCTCTTATGTTTGAAAATTGTTGCTATTGTCGAGCATACACATGCTGCAAACACTGTCTTACTCCTCTTCATCTTTGTAATTTTACTCGATAATTGGTTAACCCGCCATTAATATTAATATTTTACCTGTAGATACTTGATATCTTTCATAATCTTCAATATTACATTTACAATTAACTAAAAATTGTCAAAACATCATTTGAATAACATGAAAATACATTGGAAATAATATTTAAATATTCAAATAAAGTTTGAAAAAATGCCAACATCGAAATTCGATCCTCTTGCACTTCACATTCACCATTACTTTTTTCCCAAAGCAATTCCCACAAAAGATTGGCAAATTCAATTTCCTCCGTGATAATAACTGTTGATCTTATTACTGAGGTTTCACACTTATTAGAAAGAAGATTCACAACATTTGTTGGGTTGATCATTGTTGAATTGATTCAAAATAGGTAAAGTAAAACAATGAAAGTGAACAGTAAAAAACTTTGGAAAATCGAAATCACTTTATAAGTAATTAAAACTAAACAAATGTAAATAAGGAGGAGGACAGAATTCGCCTGCGAAATAGACTTTTTTGAAACTGTTTTTTTCTGATGTAAAATAGTTTCAAAAACACATAGCTTTTAACCATTTTTTTGTACCCGAAGCCGTTTTCGAGAAAATGGCCTTAAAATTTTTTTTCAGTAAAACAGGAATTTTTAGACCAATCTTATCATGCTGATCATGAATATCTGATCCGTTTTATGATCTGACATTTTGTACATGAGAAAACATGAAAAACATGTATAAAAATGTATAAAACGGACCCTTTCGATTTATGAGATGATGAATATTGTGGAACCACGATCAAAACTATTTTTCTAGTGTAGTTTTTAATTTTAAATCTCATGGTATTATTAAAATTTAGACATCACCTGACAAACAGTGTGCGAAATCGGTTTGAAAAGTATTTTCATGCCATAGAAAGCGAATAAGTTGAAGGGACACTCGATAAGGTGGAACCACGATCAAAACTATTTTTTCTAGTGCAGTTTATAATTCTGAATCTTATGGTTATATGAAAATACAGCTATCACCTGACAAACAGTGTGCGAAATCGGTTTGAAAGTATTTTCATGTCATTTTCATTTTCATTTTCATTTTCATTTTCATCATTTAATTTATATAATGGGCAATTTCTCAGTGTTACTTTTTTAATGTATTCTCCGGTGTGTTAATCAAATCATGATAAAATACGAAATTCGGAATCCAAAAAGCACTAGATCAAATGGTTTTGATTTAGGTTGCAGATACGGAAATGTCCCTGCAACTTATTTGCTATCTATGGCATTTAATACTTTTCAAATCAATTTCGCACTCCGTTTTATACATTTTTATACATGTTTTTCATGTTTTCTCATGTACAAAATGTCAGATCATAAAACGGATCAGATATTCATGATCAGCATGATAAGATTGGTCTAAAAATTCCTGTTTTACTGAAAAAAAATTTTAAGGCCATTTTCTCGAAAACGGCTTCGGGTACAAAAAAATGGTTAAAAGCTATGTGTTTTTGAAGCTATTTTACATCAGAAAAAAACAGTTTCAAAAAAATCTATTTCGAGGCATTTTCCCCTATTCTTTTAGTCCTCATCCTTTCAAACAAAGTAAGATGGCAAATATTAACAAAGGAACAAAGAAACATATGACATTGAAATAAATTTTCAACTTATAACACACTTATCCCTACTTCACTGATATAGATTACTGAAAAATTGATAAAATTCAGACTTAAATGCTTTAAATAGTGTCGAAGCTATCTAAATGTGATTAAAAATTTCATTTAAATAACATTCAAATACATTAAAAATAATATTTAAATGTTCAAATAAAGTTTGAAAAAATGCTAACATCGAAATTCGAACCCATAACCTTTATCTTCTTCATCCAACCCTTTCCTCACTGCGCCACCTCTCGGATCACATTAACGCTCCTCTTGTAAACGCTCTTGTCTGCTCTGATAAAACTACCGAAATTTTAAACCCAGATATCTTAGGAACCAGTTGCTGTATAGGCAAAACCCATCTCACTATTTCATTACTTAACCAGCTCTATCGAATACAAAAAGTCCCATTCAAATCACTTCTAGGCAACTCGCGTGGTTCCTTGTCAGTGGTTAAAAAGTTGGTCAAAATAATTGAGTGTTTATTGGGACGGTGTAGAATCTTTTTGGTCGCAATGGTCATTTAAACGAACGCATAAATTTTAATTTTATAGCTGCGCCTTATTTGAACTTTGCCTTATGCGCTCGTGTTTCTGGCGCGTACGCCGAGGTCGACTGGGTTCTAACAAAAAGGGTCAAGAGTGCTATCTTTGGATAGTCATTCACACCAAAAGAAAAAAATTTTCTATCAATATCTCAAAGTTTAAGCAACGATTAAAAGATGATTATTGCTCAGCTTTAGTGGCTTAACATCCCTTGAAGATGTTCCAATTATATTAATATTGATTGGCATCTAAACATTAAACACATGATCAGATCAGAGTCAAAAGATTCCCTGGTAAATCCTTATCCAAATTGCAATAAGTCAACTTAACACATATCGTCTGCAATTGGGACGCACTAAAAGACCAAAATTGGCCAGAAATGGCCAAATTGATATTTTGGCTATTTAGTGGTTTCATTGGTTTTGGCCCTTTTTGGCCCTTTCTAGTCGATTTTTGTCGATTTTGGCCATTTATGGCTGTTTTGGCCAAGTTTGACCAATTTCGGTCTTTTAGTAAACCCCTCTGCAATTTACTCATGACTATCCATATTTCAGTGTCACTTTCATGACTTGATAATATTGTAACGAAGAGACGTTCATAAGAAAAAGGACAATTCATTTTGATAAAGAGTGAAATATCTGCTTTTTACAAGGTTGTGATATTCATATGAACTCTAATCTAAATATATTTTATTTGATACGACATTGTTTTATCTTGGATATACTTTAAGAGTTGCCAATCCATAACTTTCAGTTTCTTTCACAACAGAAATGAGAATTACCAAAGTAAACCAGAATCAAAACTTTGCAAACAAACAGATAAGAGAAAGAGAAAGAGAAGGAGAAAAAACCAAGAGAAGTAAGAGCAGCCTTAGTTAGCTAGAGTCTGCCAGAGACAGAAAAGTGATGTAAATAGACAGAGCAACACAGACTTTGTATTACAGAGAAAGGAAAAATTATCAGCTGATAGAGGCGTTTTTTACTGGTTTGACTTGATTTGTGATTCAACTGTCTTTAGTCTAATTCATTTTGACTTCAATCAAGCTACATTATTCATAGATTACTGTTTGTTTGTTAATTGTTGGTCAATTTTTGTGATCATAATGAAAATCTGTATTCTGTTTTTTGTTTTAGGTAAGTTATTTTCCTCATTCTTTGTCTTTCTCCTTCTCGGAAAAGTCTTTTTTCCTTGTTCATCGGATGAACCTTTTTCCTGTTGTTTTTGCTGTTATCGAGTGTTCTTCCTAAATAATTATCTATTTTTTATTCTCTTTGCTTGTTTTTCATAGGCTTCGGATTAATAAGTGCTAAAGAAGACCATCACAGTAGCTCCGTGGATATTTCACCTCTTGAAGTTGAGAATGGTAAATTGTTAGGCGATACTTCCAATCAAGAACCACCTGTTCTTCACTTTGCTGTAAAGGAAAACAATGTTACCTGTATTTTAGCTCAATTTTCTGGTAAAATCGTTGCACATTTCAAAGAAAACGTAACAACTACTATTTTAATCAATGGAACCCTTGGAAATGGATCTAAGTGTGGAATTACTGAGCAAACTTTAGCTATCGAAGGTTATGATGGAAGCCTGTCACTATTCCATTTTGATGGATCCAATACCAGCGTTGTTCTTTCATCAATCCAGATAACCTTGCCAAACAACATTACTTGTAAGTAAATATTGATTTGTCTTTATTTGCTTTCATTATCTCTGATGTAAATTTATAAAAATTTGCTTCTGAATTTCAAGTCTTTTGATTCTAATCTTTGTTTTTCTATTTTTCAGATCAATCATATAATAAAACTTTATACACTGTACCTGTCGGAAATTCATACAAATGCGATGCAGGATTTGATGTTGATTTAAGTGATGAAAAACATGAAACTATCTCCCTTTCACTCAGATCGATCAGATTTGATGCTTTCAGAAAAAGCGAGAACGAAGATTTTGAAACAAGTATGTATCTATTGGCATTTATTTTATCTTCACAGTATGCATGATTAGCTGATGACGGTTTTGTTCTCCACCTCTAAAAAACGTCATTAATCATCAAATGAAACATTTACTCTTGATTTGTTTCTCTTTGCCCTTGTCATTAGCTTTATATTTTTATTATTCTTCTGTTAATTAATTTTTAAATCTTGTTTTTCTCACAGATTCAATCTGCTCTGGAGATGCTAAAAGCAACAAAACTGTCCCAATGATAATCGCTTTTGTCCTCGGTGGCATGGTAGTCATCATGTTAGTGGGCTACATCATTCTTCGCCGAAGAGAAGATAAATCTGTTTACCAATCAGTATGAAAAAGCAAAGAATGCTTTTTAAAATCATGATAAAGTTAACAAAAACACTCATCCTATGCCTTTTGTATCTCAATTCCCCTTTCTCATTCGAAAATCTTTCGCATAATATTGCATAAGTATACAGTGTATGCTTTAACTGGTTAAATACATATGCACAACTGATTTTTAAATTGTACTTCACTCCCCTTGATTTTTTTACTTCTATTAATATATTTGAAATAAATGTAAAGGGTTCCTAAGAATTGTGGGAATGAATTCAAATGTAAAAATAACGGTTTTTAACAAGGATATTAAAAAGATAGAGTTATCAATGAAAGATTGGACCTTTTTTGATTAATTTGATGTCAAAATTAGACTTACAAAATTAGACTTGTTAGTTTCGTAAATCAAATATGAAAAATAAGGCCTAATGCCGTGCTCTCGCGAAAAGAGTTATTTTACATTGTGATTCTAATGCATTCATCTACTTAAGCTTCTTCTTAAGTCAAACAAGCTGCGGCTTAGCGTGAAAAAAGTGAGCTTGCAGACTTTCGTACAACCTTACCCATTTTAATTAAGCCTCTCCTTGTTACATATTGAATGAATTTAGATAAATTAATTCTCCAACTTCTCGGAAGATAGCTAATTATTTTGATTAAAACATGATACTAGAAGGAAGATTGGACCATAACTGGTCTTGGGTTGATTGAGATCAAAGCTTCCTCAATATCTTTGAATAGAGATGAGTCTTTGTACGATTTAAATGAAATCATTCCTCTAGAAACATTCATGTTCGCATAATATTTAGGGAAATAATCTCCATATAAATCTTTTTTTCTTTCATCAGGAAGCCTTCCTTTACTCTTTGGTTCCACATAATATCAGATGCTTTTAGTGTAGCTGGCACAATATCAGTTAATTTAGTGAAATCTCCTGGCTGTAACAAAATAATTTTTACACCGAAACGAGATACTTCAGCTTGTAATCCTTCTGCAAACATGGAAAGGCCACTTTTAGTTGAACAATACGTTTTACACAATGGAAACGGGACATTTGATATTAAACTTGTGACATAAACTAGTCTACCTGCAATCGAAATTTGAAAAAAAACAATTAATATGGACAACTCTGATTGAAAAGATCAAGATGATTTACCTTGACTATTTATAATGTCTTCAAGAAGTAGTTTAGTCAAAATTATCGGACCATAGTAATTTACGTCGATTTGAGATTTTATTTGCGAAGAAGTCAACCAATCAAATTCAGCATTTGTAATGTCCATTAAGTAAGCTTTGCATCGATCGCCTAGCAAATTTAATAACCGATAACCGTTCGATAGAGGATTTAAACACGTAGCAATTGTACCAAGTTCACGAAGATGCTTTGCCATCTCCAAGCCGAGTTCAGAATCACATCCAGTTACCATCACAGACTTTCCATAAATTTTGTCAATCTTACACCTTCTCAGCATCTTATTATAGATATGGGTTAGAATGAAAATAATCAAGATGACAACTAAAATAATTAAGTACATTTTAGCTGTTGAGTTGTGAGCTCAATGAGACGATGATAACCTGATTGACTGATTTGAACGTAACGTTATATTGAGATAACTTAAGTTCTTGAATGGCATGCAGTTGATGTTACGCTGTAGATTCGCTAACAAGAGTTAAAAATAAGGTTGTACACTCAACTAAATACAGAGTACCGGTAAGAATAATTAACGATATAATTGACTTGTTTACTGATTGATAATCAACGTCTCAAAAAAATGTTGTTCTGTGGTGAATCAGAATCTAATTTGAACACGTTTTTCTAGAAATTCAAGAAACTAGATTTGTTTGAAATAAAAATAAGATCATGAAAAATGTGAAATGGCAAAATAATTCTTCTTACAAGTGATTGCTAGTGATTTCTTGTTAGTGATTCGCACTTATATACATGAATGTGCTTTATTCATCAGGATCCAACAGGTATGGAAAATCATTACAATACGTTTTTAGAAAACAGTGTTTCATGAAATCAAGTCCGCGACCAATGCGCGTTCTTTTAGTTGATAAATGAGGCCAGTTCTTTGATATCTTAGGTCTTTTTTGGTAATATAATGAAATTGAACGATTGTGGTCTCTACAATATTGAGCAATGTATCGTGTTGTATTTTCGTCCACTTTTTTCGAGTCTCTGATGTCAATAAGGGTTATATGAGGTAACATATGTATAATTTCAATAACATTTTCATGTGAGATACAGTCATAACCTCTTCTAATGGCCAAATGTTTCAAATTTGGGTACTTGCACAATACACGTCGCAAAATCGACCAATTTGGGTAGGCATGACCACTCTGTAATATAAGCAAAAATAATAATGATAATACAACGGTGTAACGGTGTAACATCGAGAGAACCAAAACCTTAGATTATATACTAACAAGTTGTATAACTAAATCTTCTAAAAAATGATTTTTGATTCCACTGTTGACCCAAAACTCATCCTCACGATCGATATAATGATATGCACTTTTCAAAACTGGGCACTTATCGGCAAGACTGAATCCATGATAATCATATTGAGATCCCCATTGAGAAGAGCCAATTACTTCTAAAATTTCTAGTTTTTCAAGAGATGGTCCAGTGTAGAAAGTGTCTTCAAAATCGTCAACTGTTAAGCAAAAGCAAAAAGATATACACGAGAATAAGTGAAAAGCTAATTGAATGAAAAACAAATCTAACTTACGTGTATGGTGTTCAATGTGAAGTCGCTTCAAATTTGGAAAATATTTAGCATATTTACTGAACTTGGAAATAGAACAAGAATTGATGTGTAACTGATCTAGCATTGGTCCTTGGATATCATTGGCATAAAAATCATAGAGGCCGTCGACTGCTAACATTTTGAGTGATGAATTACAATTAGTAAAGTTTTCTGAATTTGAAAGGGAAAAAAGGAATCCTTCGACAGTTGGATTCGAGAAAAATTCAGGTTCAGAGCCACTTTCTATGATCTAGAGAAAAATAAACTTCATGAGATTCATAGGCTATCATCATCTGTCTTTTAAATTTCAAAATTAAATAAAACTAACCTTAAGTTTAGGAAACCATTCTATTCGTTTAATCAGGCCATACCGATCTTCATATTCATATAATATAGTATTTCTAACAGGATAGCTTTCAATTGGTCCATAATCTAAATTAAAAATAAATAAAATATTATCATTATTATGCAAATTCATTTGCTATCGAAATTGTGTTAACTTTAAAATTTAAACTCACCCGCTAGATACTTAACATTTGATAGTCTCTGAAGAACCAAATATTTCCATCTTTCACAAACTGCAATATTCAAAACAAAATAAGTAAACAGCTACTTGAAACCATACCATTCACATCTTAAACATAAGGAAACCTAGGATACTTTTTTCTCATCACACATACCAACGATAAAAAACCAGAAAATGAAAATATTGAACTATTAAACACTATAAAGGCGCTAAATAAGGTGTTATTAAACAAAAATTAATTTGGTCAGTCCAAAGCTTTCACTATACAGTGTCTCTCTTGTTAGTCTAACGCTTTTAACTGAAAAATTGGTAGACTAAGAGATCCATTGATAGAGGAAATGAGCTGAGCTTTCCTATATTAGGCACTTTGATTCAGATGAAAACTAGACTTACCTTGAGAGCAATTTAGAAGTGTCCCAAATTTACTGAAAAAATTGAATATATGTAATAAGCAGTCATCAGGCAATTTATCGATGTTCATGTTAAAAACATGGAAAGATGTCACGATCAATACAAGATGATTTACTTAAAGGTAAGAGTTGATTATCAATCAATGTTTGATGAAAAAATAATGAAACTAAGGAACAATCTGATTATATCGAAAAAAGGTGTAAAAATGTTGATAAAAATCTTATTCACATTTGGATTATATTTTTGCATTGAAATCTTGTCTGAAAATTCCATCAATAGATGAAAAAGTCAATATCAGATTCAGATTCCAAACAAATATTCTAATCTATTATTCTAACAAATAGGCACTTAATGTGAACAATTGCAATCAGAAAATCTTTAGGGAAAATAGCTCATTTTTGCTATTTATCGAGATTAAAATTTTGTTATCCAACGAAAACTTTAAACAATGTTTCTTTAACTTACTGAAGAAGTTTGTGGTTCATTTTATAAGTCAAATTTTTTCGAATTCAACAAAATTTTTACTAGATTTTGTCTTTTTCAATGCTGATTATTATGGTTAGTCTAAAACTTCTCAATCGATCTTGCTTGTGGTAGAATATTTGAAAAACGTCTCGATCTGTGGCCAAAGGTCGGGCTTGAACACATGTTTAATATTTCACACTTCTGTTAACCAATGGGATTAGAATACAACATCTGATTAAGTAAATAAAGTGACTTAGTTTAATAGACTTTAAGTATTGCTTCGATAATTTTAGTTAAATTGTTATTTGTGGTCAATGGTAGAGGTGTTCCGTTATATCAATATACTCGATAAAAATCGATATTTAGGCCTCGATATATTTTGATATTTCGTATGATATATCGATAAATATTCGTAAAAAAGTTGAATTCGTTGAAATTTTTGGCCATTTCTCAGGTCGAAAAGTTTGATGTATCGCTATTTTCATTCATTTTTACATTCATTTCAATTTTCAAAGGAGTTAATTTGATACTTTTAACTTAATACTTAGCCTGTTCAATCATAAAAAACTTAATCAGTCACAACCTGACCTAACTTATCTCTTATTTCACTCAAGTTGCGTCATTTACGCACAATATTCTATTATTTTATCGATAATTATCGATATATGAATATTCAAATAAAATCGATATCAAAGCAAACGATATGATATTTATCGATATGGTGCAAATACTCATATCGAACACCTCTAGTCAATGGACTTAGATTTGTGTAAGAAGAGGATTTTTGAAGTAACCAGCAATCAACTCAATCATAAGCTTGAACTTCATACCTAGACTTTTCCCTTCAAAATATGTATATTTAAAACAAAATTCATTAAGGTAAGCTTCCTTGTTAGCTGCTCTTGACTCTTTAGGTATATTTTTCTTTAAACTTTTCCAAAATCTTTCAATCTTCTGTGTATGTACATTGTTGTCATCAGGGTCAATAAAATTTTGGCTGTGATTGACTGATTTATGGATATAACCAAGACTCTCTAAGTCCAGGTATCCACCCCATTTGTCCGTCATTTTCGTCCGTATTTTTGTTCCTGGTTGAACCCATCGACTCATCAGTTGGTTTAATGTTGTTTTATCTCTTTTTTGACCATTTGCGCAAAACATTTTCTTGACCCACGCTCAACGCCACCAACAACTTAAGTACCATTTATTTCACCAGACAAGACTCGGCCAACATTATTCTTTCTCTTGAAGAAGATACTTTTATCTATATCGACAATTTTGTCTTCACCTCCGATAATATCTTAGTTGTTGTCCCAATGTTTAATCATTAAATCTCCCAGCTTTTTTTTGTGATGACAAATTGTCTGTTTACTATGACCAGTGAAGTCCTTCATCTTCTTGTTGTTTATTTCCGAGCACCAAAGAAATACAAGATATAAATTTTCAATAAGTGAGAGACGAGAAGAGTCAAACCAAGTGTTTTTTCCAGGTGATATTTCGGTCAAACAACGGTTACACCGATAAACATAATCAAACTGCGATGTAATTTGATGTATTATTTTCATAGTGCCATAGCAACCACTAGTGGACAAACACTTGTATTCATTTAAAGGTGGAATTAAGTTGAAATGTTTAGCAAAATTAATTCCTGGGTATTCCTCATTTAATTGTGTTAACATAGATGGTTTTAAATCATTGAAAAATTCATCATTGAAATCCATTTTAATCTAACCAAAGTAAAGTGAAGGAAACAATAAGTCAGACGATATCCGCCAATCAACCCTTGCTCTCATTTTGTCTGTGTTTTGTTTTTGTTTGTGTTTAATTATATTCAATTTGTGTGGAGTTTTATTCTAATTTGTGAAATATTATTTCATCCTCAGTGTTTAAAGAGACTCCAGTAATTGGATAATAATTTAAATGTCTTTAAACATGTGTTGAAGCCCAGCCTCTGTCCTCAGATCGAGACTCTTGCCGAATATTTCTCTAGTGTTACATTTTTTCTTATCAAAAAATCTCTGTATGTTTGCCAGCATCAATGATGAACATCCAATCGAAAATAGTTCTAACATTCAGAATATAAGTGACGTTAATCAACTTGAACGTTCGAACTCATGCTGCTTAAAACTAAGAGAGCTCATGGCTATAATCTGAGGTCTTGACATCTTTACATCTTTTACAGTTTTCGAGAAATTCGTTTCCACAATTAGGGCAAATCTCTAGCGTCTTTATATCTTGGAATTAACTTGGCTGCAGTTCATGACATCGATTTGAAACGTTGCGCTTGTACGAAAGCCAGAGAGTTGCAGCTTGAAGCTTCCAAAGCAAGTGATTCTTGGTTGCTGGATTGGAAAAGACAACACAAGGTAGTATCAAGAAAGGTAACAAACTTTGTCACATACAAGCACGTAATGGAAAAAGAAGCCATAGATGACCAAGCAGTGGTGTTTGTTCTCGACATTCAAGACAACAAAAGGTTACCTTGTTAGCAGTTATTCAAAATAGGCCTAACAACACCTTTATAAGAGATAGTTTTATATTTATTTCATTATTGTAGATCATAGTTTCAATGAAGTCAAGTTTCAAATAAAGCTATAAACTTTCATTTAACTCATTTTGTTGTTCCGTTACTTGTAATAAAAAATCATCGAGACAGACTGAATTTTGCTTATTTTAACTTATTTATTCCATTGTTACAGAAAAGATTATGATGAAAATATGAATTCAGCATTTACATTTTCACTTTGAGTCCAGCCATAGGTACATCAATGTTAATCATTGATTTATCAGTTGCATGTGAACCAGACCCACTCTTGCCTTTGCCAGTGGGGTTTCCTTTTGATCCAGAGCTTGCTGCAGCTGCAGCTGCTGAAGCGGCGGATGATCCACCTTTTCCTCCCTTTCCTTTAGCATTTTTACCTTTACCTTTACCTGCGTTAGCTGAAGAGTTTGCATTAGATTTGGCAGTTGATTTACCACCCGAGCTACCTCCTGAACCTGAGCCAGAGCCAGAGCCAGAGCCAGAGCCGGAACCAGAGCCAGAGCCAGAACCTGAGCCAGAACCAGAGCTTGCATTAGAAGAACTTGCTGCTGAACTTGAAGTGGATGATTTTTTGTTTGATGATGTTGCTGATGCAGTTGAACCAGAGGATGCTGATGATGCTGCTGCTGCTGCTGAACTTGAAGCGGGTGATCCATTAGTTGGTGATGTTGCTGGAGCAGGTGAACCAGGGGCTTCTGGTGCTGGAGCGGGTGAACCAGGGGCTGCTGGTGCTGGAGCGGGTGAACCAGGGGCTTCTGGTGCTGAAGCGGGTGAACCAGAGGATGCTGATGATGCTGCTGCTGCTGCTGAACTTGAAGCGGGTGATCCATTAGTTGGTGATGTTGCTGGAGCAGGTGAACCAGGGGCTTCTGGTGCTGGAGCGGGTGAACCAGGGGCTGCTGGTGCTGGAGCGGGGGAACCAGGGGCTGTTGGTGCTGGAGCGGGTGATCCATTAGTTTGAGCGGGTGAACCAGAGGATGCTGCTGATGCTGCTGCTGCTGAACTTGAAGTGGGTGATCCATTACTTGGTAATGTTGCTGGAGCATGGGCTTCTGGTGCTGGAGCGGGTGAACCAGGGGCTTCTGGTGCTGGAGCGGGTGAACCAGGGGCTGCTGGTGCTGGAGCAGGTGAACCAGGGGCTGCTGGTGCTGGAGCAGGTGAACCAGGGGCTTCTGGTGCTGGAGCGGGTGAACCAGGGGCTGCCGGTGCTGAAGCGGGTGAACCAGGCACTTCTGGTGCTTGAGCGTGTGAGTCAGAGGATGCTGATGATGCTGCTGCTGCTGCTGCTGAACTTGAAGCGGGTGATCCATTAGTTGGAGCGGGTGAACCAGGGGCTGCTGGTGCTGGAGCAGGTGAACCAGGGGCTTCTGGTGCTGGAGCTGGTGAACCAGGGGCTTCTGGTGCTTGGGCGGGTGAACCAGGGGCTGTTGGTGCTGGAGCGGGTGAACCAGGGGCTGCTGGGGCTGAGTTACTAGATGATTTAGTTTCTGATGATGAATCTGAAGCTGCTGATGAATTTACTGCTTCATTATTCCCTGAACCAGAATTACCGCCAGCGTTAGTATTTTCAACAGTCTTGGTGCTTGATTCATTATTCGTGGTTGATTCGGTTTTTGAGACGGTATTGGTGTTTGCATTTGAGCTGTTAGCAGTAGCACCACCAGCACTCGAACTAGATCCAGCTCCACCACCTGAACTAGATTCAGCTTCTGATTTAGCACCACCTTCTGAGCTAGCGCCCCCACCTGAACCAGCTACTGATTTAACAATTTCAGTTATCGAGTCTGTATTCGGTACTGATGGTACTGAAGGCGTTTCCGGTGTTTTCGGAATAGAGGGAGGTGCAACTCCGTTCATTAAAGATGTAACTTTGTTTACTATGCCAACTGAGTCTGGCATGTTCATTTCTACATCAACTAAGCTACCAGCGTCAGGTACGTCACCCAGCATACCGTTACCTCCATTTTCACTGTCTTGATCGTTATCACCAGCTATTGCTGTAGCGCTTGATTGGGCTAGTACTCCTGTACCTTCAGGATCTGCAAGATCTGCCGGCATGTCCGGAACTCCAGCCATGGAGACAACTGTCTCCAATTGCATAGAGACATAATTACAGGAGATGATAGCTAGTAGAACTGAGCACAAATACATGTTTTTAAACATTTTGAAAGTGTTTTAAGTCTTAACTGTTTTGTTCTCGAATGTTGAGATGATATAATTTTTTCTCAAAAAGTTTCTCATTTTATACTTCATCTGAAGTCAACTGTATAAACTGAATCACTCCCTGGAAACGGATATAAAACTGAAATAAGTCTGTGTTTGCATCTTTTGTTGCTTCAGAAGTCATTTGTTTGCATTTACATTAATTTTTAGATGTGATGAGTAATAACTTAACAATTCAATAACAACATCAAATTAAATAGTTGACAGAATTTTTCACAAATATTTATACATCTGTTGCATCTAAAATAATAGCTTCATTTATATCTTCCAATTGCTAAAAAAATAAAGGTTGACCTGTTAATAGAGTCCACATTTGTGAAGCTTTATTATGATATCACCGAATTATTTAATCTAATTAAGAATTAATTAAGAAAATATAATATGCAAGACTACAAGTCAAAAATAATATTAACTCGTTAAAATTTTCGCGAATGCATCAAAATTTTTACTGGATTTTGTCTTTTTCAATGCTGATTATTATGGTGAGTAAAAAACTTAACCTATGCAAATATTGATACGTTGTCACCCTGTAACTTTCAAACGTAGCATTTGCGAAACATAAGGCTTGACAGAGACATCTGACACGTTATATCATTCTGTGGTAAAAAAATTTGGAAACGAAATGGAAGAAATGGAAACAAGAGTTGATAATCAATCAATGTGTGAGAAAAAATGATGAAAATAAGGAACAATCTGATTATATCGATAAAAATGTATAAAAATGTTGATAAAAATCCTATTCAGAGGCTATTCTAATAGCTCATTTTTGCTATTTATCGAGATTAAAATTTTGTTATCCAACGAAAACTTTGTTTCTTTAACTTACTGAAGAAGTTTGTGGTTCATTTTATAAGTCAATCAAATATCTTAATCTTATTTTTTTAAAATGCTTCCTAGAAAACGTTTCGTACGTTTCCCTCATAACATGAGACAAGAATTAAACTAACTGATAGCATAACATGCAACCTGAAGTTAAAGTTATAACAACGTACAACCAATCCTTTTCTACTTTCGATACATCGATACTAAAGGCATTTTTAAATGTCGTTCAAATGAAAACAAAGATGAAAAATAGTAAAAAAGTTGTAAATTAAAATCAATTTTATTAAAGTCTTGAAAGAATGAGAATTTGATGACTTAACCAATGAACAAATATTGCAATATTCTTTATGAACAAAAGTGATCTTCGTTTACAATGGCAATGAAAATGTAAAAAAGATTAATTTTAATTAAAATGAGTAGAAAATTGCGAATACATTGCATCATCTTCACAATAAAACTTCTCGTCAAACACGTAGTAACTATTTTCTGAAAATTTTTTAGCTATAGTAAGTTTAATATAACCATTTTCCAGCATCTGTTTAGCGTATTTATAAGCTTCTTTGCGTCGACTAAATCCTTTGACATTTTTATATAACCAGTCCACTAAATCTCGGCCTACAAAAGCTCTTAAGATTGTCATTTTCAGCCACTTTCTATTTTTTACAGTCAAACCACTTCCTGGTCTAGCTGCACTCTTTGCTATAGTAAACATGGTGCTATTTGTCACTGAAAGTTCTGCTGTTTCGGGTAAAAGATGATTTCGCTCAGAGATAGGCATTGAGGAATGACTGAGAGAAGTAGAAGCAGATCCTGAGGATTGATGACCGACTCCTTCTGTAAGAAATAAGAAAAAAATGAATAAATAATCAATCAACTAAAATTATGTGTTTAAATTTACCATCAAAGCCGGTCGCTGTCCAAGCTTCTAAATTGATAGGTTGAATTGGCTCATCTCGAGTGTTAGGAAAATAATTATCTTGATTTGATTCATAATTTTTGGCTACCACAAGTTTCATTGGTCCCGGTTTTTGGATACTTTCTCGAATTATTTCAAGAGCCTCATCAATTGTCATATCAGATAAAACGTGTTCATCAACTTGAAGAAGCATATCGAAAGGTTGAATAGTTCCTTCTGCAGCTATTGCTCCGTCTTTAATAAGCGAACCAACATAAATACCATTTTGTGCGCCACTTAAACCTTCAGCTAAGCTCATTCCGAGATGCAATTTATCATCCGCGCTTAAAATAACGGTTTTGATTACTGCTCCAAAATAACAACTGGAATTATCAGTGACACTGGAGACGGATGATGCATTAGACATGTGTCGCTTCCTAAGCTTCTTCCTACGCAATCTAGGACGACTAACTGAGGTTCCATTTGTAGAAGATGAGATCCTTGAACTTGTTTCATCATCATCATCGTCTTCTGAATAGTATTCATCTTGATGGTGATAATTGGGAGGGTGAGAGTGTGTGTGAGAGTGTGAATGAGCAGAAGAATGAGAAGAATGAGAATGAAGATGAGAATGGGATTGTAGATGGGAATGAGAAAGAGAATGTGGATGTGAATGATGATTAAAAACACGTCTACTATGGCCAACATCACACAGACAATCCAACTCTAGAGACTCAATATAACAGATGATATTACCCTTAAAGAAGGGTAACTTGACATCATCTTCCATTATTTTCTCTTTAACTATACCCACACCCTCAACAATGGTTTTGAAGAAAAATTTGTGTTCACATGATGGCTTTATGTTTATGGCAGATTTAAAATCACTGAGAGTCACTTGATCTGGTGGAACTGAAAGTCTGATGGAAGTTGGCACATCATCATTACCATTGTAATAAATAATTTTCACTACAGGTTGCGATTCACTCATAATTGCAAGCTAATGTTTTTCAAACATTGTTACAAAAAAAATGTACAGGGTAAAAATGAAAAAAAATTGCAGATGTCCTCGAAGTGATCGATTTATTGAGAAACAAACGATGATCGATCTAATCGATTCATCAATTTTGATGCTAACGATAAATTTTACTCATCTTTACATCTGTTTCAATCTGTTTTCCTCTCTATTAATTCATTTTGGATTAATTTTGATAGGTTCAAAATCTATTTTTATTATTCATAACCTCGCAAAGTCTTAAGCTCAATCCTTCTCCATTTCTGGTTTCAAACCGACTCAAGATAAACATCTCTTATTCATTATTTTACTGTGCTGCCATTTTGTTTGACCATGGATGAAGCTAGACGAACTGCTAAAGGTTGGAATGATCCTCCATCAATGGAAGAGATGGTCAAAAATAGGTCGAGTACATCAACAAACCACATTTCTACCATCAAGAAGTACCGGAGTTATAGAACTGATGTGACCAATCCTCCTCCTGCTCCTGTTCAATATCAACAGTATGAACAGCCAGGATCAAACGTGTACCTCGGAGCTCCAAATGCTACATCAGCAGGTACTCACAACTATCAATCTTAGATTCAACTTTTAATTCTATTGTCTAATACCGTTTTTATTAATAAGCTTTTTTTGCCGGATGAAATGATGAAGCAAAGTTTTAAAAAGATAAACTAAAATACACTCTGTTGTATAATTAAATTGTGCTATTAACTTTTCCACGTAAAAGTGATACTGTAACAAAATTATATTTTATTATCATCGTTAATTTTTGATATTGACTTGAAAAAAGATCAAAAAATCACAATAAAAATCTTTGAATGATAAAATGATTTCTGATATTATGAACCAGATTAATCAGCATTCTTTGAACTAATTATTTCGGAAAATAATCCGAATCATGGCATATAAAATAAATGAGAATTCAATTCATGCATAAAAATTTTTGTAGTTTATTTATCTTTATCTTCTCTAAGAGTCACAATTCTGTTGAACACCAATTTATCGTCAGTAGAATCCGGGTCTAGTGCAAAATAACCAATCCTTTCAAATTGGTATCTTTCATTTTTCAGTTTTTCGTAAGATCCTTCAATATCAACTAAGGCTCCGGATACTACTTTTAATGAATTATGGTTGACGTCAGATACAAAACCACCAGGAACTTTGTCTTTGTCTTCAGGATTTTTATGTTTAAATAAATGATCATAAAGACGGATCTCTACTGGGCGAGGATGCGATACCCAATGAATAAAAGCTTTAGGCTTTTTAACTTCACCGACTGGGGCTATATTGACTTCAATTTCTTTTATGTTACCGTCTTCATCTTTAATCACTTGGTGAACAGAGACAACCATGTTTACAAACCGTAAACCAACAGTTTGTTCATTAGTCAAACGTTTGTATCCTTTCGGCATGGCACCTTCACAAAAGTCCTCACGCTCGATATAAACATACTCATCGAAGATTTTTGAGTGACTACCTAATGATGGATTGGTAGGTAAGTTTTCAACGGTTAGAGAGTGTGGTTTACTTTGAAAGTACTTGTCATAGTTTAGCACTTTCAATTTTAATGGTTCCATGACACACATAGCTCTAGGAGCATATTTATTGAGATAATCTCGAACATGAGCTTCGAGCATATGAGGTTCGGTTATTGTTTGAGCTCCCGTTAAGCCCAAAGAAAGGCAAAAAGAATTAATTGCTTGGGGCGGGAAACCTCGACGACGAAGAGCTGTGAGAGTATAAAGTCTGGGATCATCCCAATCAGCAACAATCTTTTCTTCAATTAGTTTGGCAATCTTTCTCTTTGACACTACAGTATTGGCCATGTTGAGACGAGAGTATTCCCACTGAACTGGACAATAGAGATCAAGTGAGTTACACAACCAATAATAAGACGCTCGACGAGACTGAAATTCCTTAGTACACAAAGAATGGGTGATATCTTCAATAGAATCGCATAAGCAGTGCGTAAAATCATAAGTAGGATAGATGCACCATTTGTCTCCAGTACGATGGTGATGCTTGTACTTGATTCGATAGGCAACTGGATCAACTTTATTATCACCGAGTGTAGTTTTCATGCGAAGAGTTGCTTCATTTTCTTGCATTTTCCCATTTTTCATGTCCTCGAAAAGCTTTAAATTTTCTTCGACAGGCCTGTCTCTCCAAGGAGATGGTGGTGGATCAAAACCACGTAGCTCTTCTGGTTTTTGATGGCAAACATAGGCAAGGCCTCTTCGAGTAAGCTCATAAGCATATTGATAAAGCAAATCAAAGTAATCTGAAGAATAAGTAATCTTATACGGTTTGTAACCAAGCCATTCAACCATTTCTTGAATTTCTCGAACAAAACGTTCTTCCTCTTTCTCAGGATTAGTATCATCATACCTAAGAAAACAGATACCACCGTTAGCCTTGGCATAGCCAAAATTTATGTTGATTGCCTTAGCATGACCGATATGTAAAATTCCGTTTGGTTCAGGAGGAAATCTTGTGCGAACTTGACCGCCAATTCTCTTGACATGACTCCTCAAAAGATCTTCAGTGTTAGGAGTAACAACATAACCATCCGTTTTATAATTTTCACCAACTTTGTGAAAGGGCACTTTTTTACTCCACTAATAATCCAAAAGCAAATGTTTTAAATATCTTAAAGATGAACTGAAAGATGTGAAAAAAATGTTTGAAACAAACTAATACTAACCTTAAAGGTGATATCTTCACAGTCGCCATCACCGTTTTCATTCATCTTGGCAAAACAGAAAGTAAATACAAAATAATAAGAGTTAAGCAACTATTAACCTCGGTAAATTAAACGAAAAAATAAGATAGATCAACAAAACGGAAGTTGCCGGCAATTAGATGACATGTAAACATAAATCAAGTTACAAGTTGAATTGAATTACAGATTCTACAAAATAGAAGCTGCAGTGTAACACGTGATTGCAAGTAAATTTAGATACAATTTAAGGCGCTTGATTTGAAAGACTCTTGATATTTCATTTTTATTTCATTTATTATAGCATTTATATTTGAAAATCGATGCTATTACAAATCAGTCCAGGTATTTTACTACTTTCAAAGTGTAAAATCGTTCATTTTCATCAATACAAACAAGTGTTGTGAAAAAATGTCAATACATGCTTGAATTAAAAAACAATAAGCTCATTTAATTAAAAATACATTGATCTCTGAATTTTTTAATGATACCGTGTAAACCCATGATGAGAGTATGTGAAAATGATTTAAGTGGAGAGCAAATTTAATGAATGCAAATTCAAGAAAAATTAAAAAAATCATGAATTGGAAAAGGTTCATTCAAATCTAACACAGAATGGAGTCCTTGGTATAAAAAAGTCCCGCAAGAAATCCTGAAAAGAAGAAACAAAAGTTGATTAAAAAATCATTTGAATAAAAGTCATATAAAATCATTCGATTGGTGCATTTAATTACCTTATAGACTGGTCGACAATTCAATCGAGCATACCATTCCATAGGAATTAACATGGTTTGAATAGCAATGCCAAGGATAAGTGAAGCAAATATTGACGTGTTCATGGCTGTATTGGTTTTACCACTGAAATGAAGAGTTGCAAAGTAAAAATAGATTCCATTGAAATACATTAAGGTTAAAACGGGATAAAAGAAGCCAAAAGCCATGGACAATGCATATTCATGAAATAACGACGAGAAGACCATAGTAGCTGTAGCAGCTAAATTCCGATTGTCATACTTCTGTAAAATCAAGAAGAGAAATAAAATTACAATAATTGTATTACATAAAAAGATATATTAAATAGATTGATCCAATAAATTGATTCAAAATGAAATCAAAAATTCCCTCATGATACAATGACGAGAATAAACATAATTTTTATCAATCAGTGTTATCTGACTGTATAATTGTAACACTGCCAAAATAATGTAAATGACAACAAATTAAAATAATAGTTAAAGGTACAAAATCATTTGATCTACTCAATCGGAACTTTGTTAATCAGTTGTCTAAATCAAATTAGGTAGAAAAGTCACACAATTAGAAGTAATTTGAAAAGAAATCTATTCTGAATACTTTACAGCTTAACATAAGCATGACAATCTCAATTCAGGCTATCATTAGTCAACAAACCTTGACAAGATTTGACAACCTGAATAAATAATATGCCTTAAATTGGTATTGCCCAAAAATAGTTAACTTAATATCAGCTGAAATCATTGGGCTTCTCGTACTAGGGAATTGTGGTAATTCATCGGTAATTGCCCTTGATCGGACGCAATGTCCATCATTTTTATATTATAAAATTGAAATCCTATGTAAAATTATCATCTATCTTCAAGGTGATGACAATTAAGGGTGTTTATATTGTGCACCAGAGGCCCAAAATTATCAATAGAATTCAAGGACCCATGATGATCATAAGCACAATCATTATATCATAATCTCAAAATTTGATTCAATCATGAATTACAAATGAAACATTGAAGAAGCAATTGCAAAATAGGAGATTTCGAAACGAATGTGTTGAAAAGAAGCATTGAACTGAACAAAGGTTAAAAATGAAAATATTCATGTGAAACAAAGGATTCAATCGTTGGAATTGAGATGCGAAAATTCATGAAGTGGAAATTGTGATAAAAAATGAACTTTGGAGTCTATGTTAAACAAGTCAATAATATCAATAAAATAAACAAATAAAACCAAATAAAAGATAACTTGAATTCAATTGTTTTGCTATTCAAATTAGACAAGTTAATTCCTTAAAGGAAGAGTTGCAATTCGATTGTACATATTTAATCATTATTTGGTAATCTCTAGGAGTAAGAAAAATTCCCTACAGAACTTAGCTAATCTATTAAATTGACCGATCCATTGAATGGATCGACGTCAGTCAAATATGCAACAGATTATTAATAAAAACAGGTTTGTCAAAATTGTAAACACATCAATCGATGGGTATTAGAAGAGACACGAAAAAACAAATTATCAAGTAATAATATAAATTAAGAAGCGATTAAATTTAAGTTTACCAACCCTGTCATTATCATGATTACCCTAACAAAGTAACGAAATACAATGTAGCTTGCTAACAAATTGTCCTATCAACATTTTTCTAAATCGAGTTACATTATATTCAAGAAATAACTTTCACTAATTATCATTTCTTGTAAAATTACCCATTCAACAGATTGCTTAAATTTTGATCACAATTGAATGTAAACAAGGTAATATTGGAAATACGTAATGAGATTTTTCTCTATTTCAAAACATTCGGTTCTAGGGATTTTGTTTGAAATTTCATCATTGTTATGTGGTTAATATTGAAGTGGGATCTTGATTTCACCTGAAATGAAAAAATTTGTTTCTGGAAGGAAACAAAAATTAAACGGATTTGATGAATCTACCAGCCTGATAGTTCTCAGAACATTCACTGACCTTGTTAAGAGGATTGTAAATGTAAGTATGGAGCCAGACATGAACAACAAGGTTCCACTTTCGGTAATATTCACCGAATGAAGACGAAAGCCACCAAGAATCGTAAAAGAATCGATCAGCAAATTGTAACATTTCAGCCCACATATTTAGCCAAGAATGCAGGAAACCAAACATAAGGCAAAACTTGAGGACAAGACCTACAACCAGGGCAATTGAGAAGATTACAGGTAATTCATTAATTTTTAGAGGCACGATTCCGGTTGTACTGAATGTGTAACTGACAAAACGTCTAGCTATTGCAAAAACTACGAAAATACAAGCTAAGAATTGGAAAAAAAGGAGTAAAACTTTGCGCCAGCTTCGAGTTTTTGATCTAAAACCAATTGAAAGACAAGATAAAAGAAAATACAAAAAAAGATATAAAAACGGATATTAAATTACAGTTTGAATGGAAATTAAAAGGTCAGATTTGAAAATAAATAAAATACCTTGGATAAGAAGATCGATAAAGTAAGGTAGGAGCAAACATAAAGTAGCAAAACTGTTTGAATGTCGCTCTACTTCCTGTGAAAAAAAGATACAAAATACAACGTAGTTAGATTTAATGGTTTATTGCTTCTCGATTGATCGATTTTTGTTCTGTTGGTGTCAAATAATTTAAAATGAATCATAATTTTATTACCTGGTGGTAGATCCATGTTTTCAACTACTAATGACCAACTCTTCATGCCATTTCTCATCTGAAAGGTAAAATAGAAAAGAGGTTTTAGATAGAAATCGAAAATTTCACTCAATTAACTGTGCATCGTAAATACACTTAAATATTTTGAAGTTTCCTTCAGGCTATAAGAATGTAGCAACAGTAATGTTATTGTTGTCACATTCAAGGTGATTTACCTGTTCCAAGTAAATAGCTAACGCCAGGAAGGGTGAAAATTGAATCTTGTTAATTAAGGTAGTGGGAATCACTGTGAACATCAGGATAAGGATTGTCTCAGCTATCCAGAAAGTTGTTGACATTTTATCTGGTAATAAAAAGAGAGAGGGAAAAATTAACACTTTTTAGAACCAGTCAGATGGCGAAGATGGTTAATGACACTTCTGTCAATGGTTTAATGACATTACTTATTGAGCGGATGATTATCCATTGGATTGTAGAACAAAAAAATAAATAGGAAATAACAGTCAATCCTAGGTGAAATTTTCCGAAAGCCCATTTCATGTAATTTAAATCTTGTGTCAACCTGCGAAGAAATATTGAACAGTAAATTAAAAATACATAGACATCGATGGAGGGAAATACTTACTCGTTTAAATCCAACAAATATTGTCCCAGTTGAGTGAACAAGAATAAAATTGTTAATGATAGAAATAGATTGTATGCTGAATTGATGTGTACATTTGTTTTGAAAATATCGCTATATAGAGGCAATGAGAAGATAAAAATCAGTAAAATAAATTAAGATACATAAATAGTTGATTAGTCAGTTGAGTAGCCGATAAATCTCTGTGTATGACTTACGTTAAAATTGACTCTCTTTCTTTAAAAGAATGGATATATTTGCTGTGCGAGGAGTTGGCTTTTGGCGATGATTTTCCATCAATATCATTGTTATTTGTTGATTTAATTAGGTTATTCGATTCATCTGGTGTTGTTGATGGGTTATGTGAAGATTCTTTAGGTGAAGATGATAGTGACACTTGTTGGACATCCATTGGAAACAGTTAGAGAAGTGTCAGGCAAGTCAACTTAGAAACAGATGATTTAACAAGTTGTTGCTGTTGTGTAGATACAGTGAATATACAATGTATGTACTTATTGTCTTTAAAATAAAACGCAACAAGAAAAATTCATACTTTTACACCAGTAATATGTTTAAATTTAGATAGTTGAGTTACCGGTCAATTGGAATGGTCTTGAAAATACAATTATTTAATTAAAACTAAGTCGTACGAGATCACAGTAACCAAGAATAGATGACAATTATCTAGTGATCATCTGATGCACAGATAAGACAAGACGGTCAGAGGCACATTTGAAGTTGTATCTTAACTGAATGTATGTATTGTTGATAAATAAACCAAATAATTTAATAAATTGTAACAATTAGAGTTTTAATGATTAAAGTGCGACGATGATGATTCTGGCACTTGGTATGTTGGTAGACTAAAGTGAAAAATGATTTGATTGAACACAAAACCAGAGGGTGGATAAAAAGAGATAAAGACTTGTTAAACCAAAAACTGGTAGACAAGAGATTTCAGGAGCAACTGTAGGCACTGACTAAAAATGAAACATATTTTCCAAATAAAATTCAAAGTTGATTTAACGTTTAATCCTTGATGCCTAACCAATCAATGACTTTAAGTATCTGTCTATTAAAAAAGTATATGCATACGCTTTAAGCTTTAACTCCTTCTGACGCTGACAAACGACAATAACAAAAGATCAGAAGGAAAAGCCCAAATTATAATTGTACCTTTCCTTCAACTGAGACCAGGAAAGAAAGAAAATTAAGCCTCTAGTTAACCGACAATTTAAGCTAATCTTTGGTCAAACGTAAATAATACTTGGTAACCTCAACTTGATTGACTATGTTTATTGTAAGAGTTGAATTGAACCATTCAAGGATAAATTCTGGTTTCTAATCACTATCAACCTGACAAACCTTGATTCTAAAACAATACAGAATAATTTACAAGACGAAAATTCCTACTGATCTTCAAGCAAAGACACTTCTTCAAAGACCAATGTTTCCCTCTTAATCGTAACAGAACTGTAAATCATGACGATGAATCAAGATTAGTAGAGATTTCACACCAACTTGACACGTGAATTTTCACAGCAGAAACTAATGCTTTGTTATAAACTGGTCAAAAATATTATTGTAGTTAAAAATAAAAGACGATTATCAACATTGCAAAGCATGTCAAGATGAACATATCAGCTTGATATTAATTTGAAGAGTCCATGCCAAAACAAAGATAAAAATGCTATCATGATACAGTTTCTTATCAATTCACCAATTGACAGCTGATAATATAGAAATCGCCAAAAATAGTTTCACTATAACACCCAGTTAAGGCAATTTTTGGTAAAAATTCTCAATGTATCCACCTTATGAGCTATTAATTATCAAATAAATATTGCGAATTTTTGAGATTCAACTCAATTTTTTGATTTAGTTAAAATGAATAAACTAAATGATTGAAGCAGTACGTAAATAACTTGACCCTTAAACAATATATTCAGTAACAATAAGCTTCAAATAAAATAAACTCAGTGATCTGAATATTGTAGATAGCGAATCTGAAAAAGTAGTTTGCTTAATTGTTGTAAAGGTTATTTTATTTTAATTAAGAATAAGGTCTCTAATAGAGACTCTAATTTTGCATTGAACTCTCAAATTTTGAAACAAACCAGAGTTGAACTACTACTTCCATCGCCATCTGTTGATAGACATTCAAACAAAAATGACAATTTGGATTGAAAGTTTACAACTTGTCTCTCATGTTCTTGATGTTTAAAAATGAAAGATCTGTTTTACCTTCTCAGTACTCAATAGCTAATCATGATAGTTTCACATATTCGATTATTTTGATTTTATTTACTGTTTCTCAATTATCTGATTATCTATCGAAGTATTAGACATCGGGATTGGTGGGTTGTCACTAAAAAGACACAATTATTAGCTTATGCACGAATTGACACAAACGGGTGAAAATTCATTTCTTTCAGATTTAGACTATGTTAGTTTGTGCAGAAATGAGAACTGCGTCCATTCCCGCGATTCGAAAATTTCTCTACTGACAAGTTTTCGAGGCAATCGAGTTCAAAGTTGAAACTTCGATCGCTTTTTGTCCGATTATGGCACCAGATTAAACTATGAAACTCATTTTAATGATGTAACTTTAGATGATTAACCAGAAAATGGTCTTATTTTGAGAAATCGGACTTTTCTTTTTCTGTAAAACAGATAAGTTCGATTTTGAGTTAAACCGACTGCATTCTGTGACCAAAGAACTCAGAGATCTGAAACTTATTATTTGCCCATAAAAATTGTTTGCACACACAATGAATCCAATAAGTTTTTCGATTTTGCAACAGATATCGTGATTTTAGCTATTGGACGTAAAACTTTGACCCTCGATATTTTGAGAATTGTGGAACCTACAGTCATCATTCTTTCCCCAATTACATCCTTGACTGCTTAATGATTTAATTCAGTACAATAGCTTTCCATTAGGGCATTTTGGTTATGGTTTTCGGGCTTTAAATGAGCGAGCAACAACTTATTGAGCAAACTAAACTCATCTTAACCCATATCTTTGTGAATAAAGCAATTTTCTGGCTAAACTTGCAAATGAAATTCAAAAAGTACTGCCAAAGGCTCGAACATTTGAGTAAAGAGTTGCAACTTTGTGCATTTGTAGGGACATGCAAACTAAGTTCATTGGTGCTGTTATATTATTCGATTAAGGAATAGTTTTCGAGAAAATCGCATTCAAAGTTTAAACTTCGATCGCTTATTGTGCAATTATGGAAGCAGATTTAGCCACAAAACTTATTTTACTGAGGTATCTTTTAGTAGACAACCAGAAAATGCACTTATCTTAAGGAATGAAATTTTCTGTCTTCTGTAAAACGGATAAATTCGATTTTGAGTTAAACCGACCACATTCTGTGACCATAGAACTTAGAGATCTGAAACTTATTATTTACCCATAAAAATTGTTTACACACATTATGAGTACAATAAGTTTCCCAATTTCGCAACAGATCTTGTGATTTCGGTCATTGGACTAAAAACTTTGACCCTCGATATTTCGATAATAGTGGTAGTTACAGTCATCATTCTTTGATCAAACATTAGCTTGTATAATGGTCTATCATATTTTGAAATTTCAAAGCATTCAAGAAGCTACAACAAAAATTATAGCATTGTATAATTTATGTGTCAGATGCAAAATCTGATTTATAAAGTTAAATGGTTACTCAAACACAAATGATCATAAATGAATTGCAGCAAATTTCATTCGGTATTAAGTTATATCATGTTGTAGCCCATATTGTAACCTGATGATTTGTTGAAGAATGGTGATTCTAGTCGATACCTTTCTCGAACTATCGAGGGTCAAAGTTTTACGTCCAATAGCTAAAATCACGATATCTGTTGCGAAATTGAAAAAAATATTGGATTCATGGGGTGTGTATACAATTTTTATGGGCAAATAATAAGTTTCAGATCTCTAAGTTCTTTGGTCACAGAATGTGGTCGGTTTAACTCAAAATCGAATTTATCCGTTTTACAGAAGACAGAAAATTTCATTCCTCAAGATAAGACAATTTTCTGGTTGATTATCAAAAATTACCTAGGCAAAAGAAGTTTCATGAAAAAATCTGCTTCCATAGCTGAATAAAAGACGATCAAAGTTTCAACTTCGAACTCGATTTTCTCAAAAACGGTCCATTGGATGAATTATTTAATAGCACCAATGGACACAGTTTTTATGTCCCTATAAATCCACCAGGTCTCAACTTATAGCTCAAATGTTCGAGCCTTTGGCAGTACTTTTTGAATTTCAGTTGTAAGTTGAACCAGAAAATTGGTTTATTTACCAAGAAATGGTTTAATATGAGCTTGTTTTGTTTAATAAGTTGTTTTTTGTACATTTACAAGCCAAATATCGTGATCCCAAGGCACTGATGGAAAGTTATTAAATTGAATAAGGTTATTGATTGGCAACGAATTAAATTGGCGAAAGAATTCTGACTGTAATTGCCACTATTATCGAAATATCGATGGTCAAAGTTTTTAGTCCAATGACCAAAATCACGATATCTGTTGCGAAATTGAAAAAAGTATTGGATTCATGGGGTGTGTATACAATTTTTATGGGCAAATAATAAGTTTCAAATCTCTTAGTCTTATCGTCACAGAATGTGGTCGGTTTAACTCAAAATCGAACTTGATCTGTTTTAAAGAAATACAAAATGAGATTTATCAAAATAAGACCATTTTCGGGTTGTTTATTAAAAGATACATCAGTAAAATGAGTTTCATGGCTAAATCTGGTTCCATAACTGGACAAAAAGCGATCGAAGTTTCAACTTCGAATGCAATTTTCTCGAAAACTGTGGATGAGAGAAATCTTTAAATCGCACAAATGGATTCAGTTTTCTTGACCCTACAAACCAATAGAGTCTAAATTTTAAAGAAATTGGTTTTCACGCGTTTATTCCTACTTGTGTCGATTTGTGTATAAATGTTTTCTCAGTAACAACTAGATTGATGGTCTCATAATTAGCAATGAAAAATCGACTGAACTAACTAGGTAATGACAGTTTCTTTTCAGAGTAGCTGTCTAAGGGTTTTTTACATGAATATGAGTCTTTGTGGTGCAGGACAATCAAAATAGTTTATTTGAAATTCGCTTTCAGGATGTATCTTGACACTGTAAAGGTAACGTCTGTTGAAGCAGTTTCTGGACGTTACTCTAAAAAATTAATTAGTTGTAAAGGATTGAATGTTAATGAAAATGAATTGTCAGAATGAAAGCAATTTAAAGCGTTCAAAGATTGAACTGAATATGTTTTTGTTTATCCATTGTCATTATAACTATAAAATTAATCAAATCGTTGAAACAAATTAAATCAAAATAAATTTCAATGTCCATCAGCGACACGATTGTACAAACAATCGTCTTCCATGACCATTGGACAAGAAGAAACAGATTAGTTTAATATTATAAATTAAAATAATTAGTAACGGAAGCTCATTTAAATTTTAATCGTCAAAATGATTAACACTTAGGGTCAGTAGACGGATAATTAAACATTATATCTAATTTGTAAGTTGACCATCTTTTAAATGCATTTTCTCGTTCTTCCTTTCACCAAATTGCGAGCACAATATAATTGGTTTTAATGTTACTAATGTCAATGATTATAATTTAACTAAAAGGTTTATGCTTATGATGGTTATGATGATTTAAATTTTTTGATAAAACGTTCAAATTGACCTGAAAAAAACACGTAAAAATGCTTTAGTTTCTTGTTTTTTAGTGATTCCAGTTTCCTTTCTGTACTCTTATTGTAACCTCTGAAAAGCAAAGACAATTGATATATTATAATATCAAGTAATTTAGATCAACTTGGAATGATTAACTTGACCGTTTAACTACCCAAATGATATCAACTGGTCAGGTCAACAATGATCAACTGATCACAGTACAGACGATACAACAGTTGACCAAAGCTGCTTAATTGTAACTCTAAACTCTATTAATATTTGAGAAACCTCTAAATTTAGTTGCTTGTCGAAATAATTTTATCAATATTTCTCAGACAATCAAGTCTTATAGCAAGTCTTATAGCGCTAGCTTGTTGAGCTATCTTAATGAATAGACATTGTTTATTGTTGAAGCTGAATATTTGTTATCCTGAACAATTAAAGGTTACCAACTTGTTAATCAACAAATATTTTGATGTTATAAATTGTAATCAAGATTTTACTTAATACTAAGATAAGACTAAGCGTGAATATGAAACTGGTTGCGAGTTGAATTTTTATCCTTTTTCATCTTCTGTTAACCTCTGTGTTGATAAATGCTTTCATTGACATTGAGGTACTTGAAAGTGCAATTAAGTCTATTGTGCTTTCAAAATCGTCATCATTATTAAATTATCTCCTTCTGCCAAAATGACCAGTCAACTGGTTTTTACCAAATTCCCACGGAAATTTTGATCTAATCAGATAGATTGTTAAAGCCTGGATAACAAGTTTTCAAAGTGGTAAATAATAGTCCAACTGATATTCCCATTTAGGCAACGTGTAGCAATTAGCAATTAGCTATCCTTTTGTTCCTAGATTCACACAATAAGGTTATCTCAATCCAACATGGAAGGGTAATCATTATTAAATGTGATTCAAGATACAAGAAAATCCATCTAATAACTAGCCACAATTGTTTGAACAAATGATTAGAGCAATTTGTCATTCAAAGATTTTTTATTGTAATCCTTTGTGTCACATATAAAAAATTAACAATGGTACAATTATAAAACATAATTTGTTACAATATCACTTGCTCGTAGGAAAGTTAATAGTACAAATTGATTATCCAACAGAGTTTGGATTATCAAAATATCGATAATTTGGTGACACTATTTTCACTTTCTTCATCTCAGAATGTTTCTTTCGTCTATCCATTTGAATTTTTGTTAATTTATTTCTTTTTTTTGTAATTTTATTCAATCATTTCATCTGGCAAAAAATAAAAGCTTATTGTAATGGCATCAATTGACAATCAAGTTAAATATTGAATTTAAGATTGATAGTTGCGGGTGGCTGTTGCTTCCTTTTGAGCTCCAAGGTATACATTTGCTGGGGGTGGTTCAAGAGCATATTGGACACCGGCAGGAGCAGGGTTGTCTAATCCAGGTTCGTTGGATCGGATTGTGGCTCTGAAACCATTTTCATCGGCAACATAGTCAACAAATCTGTAGACACCATAAGCATCTCGGTAACCATAAGATCCAGTTACTCGGCCACTTCCATCACCAGTTTCTTGGTGGTAACGTTGATTTCCATATTCATCAGTGACATCGTAGTTGAAGTTGTGTGGTTGAGGTGCCTTTAACCAGGAGAAACAGAAAATTATCAGAACAATAGAACTTGAAAAGGTAAATAATGACAATCATAACTAAAACACTGATTAAACACTGTTAGGAACCAATATGGATTTGTTATTGCCAATAAATTATCCAAAAGGCGTCTTAGCCAGTAAACAAATCAGAAGCGCTTAAAAAATAAAAGCGCTCAATTTGATTTAAAGAAGGATTGATTATAAATTTGTTTTTTTTTCGTTTATGATTGTCATTTTAATCATTTCCCAAGATTATATTGAATTAATTGTAAATACTTACATAATTTTCCTCAGGTCCAGCTACATAAGCACCAGTGTTTGAGGCAACAGGTTGAGCATATCGGACTGGAGTAGCAGCAGCATATCGTCTGGGTGCTGGAGCATTGGCATAGCTCAAGGTAGGTGCAGCAGCGGCGGCATAAGCTACGTTTCCTGGTCGATATTGACTTCGAGCTCGAGTTCGTGCATATACTTGCTGTCCAACAACAGACTGGGAAAGGGCAAGAAGAGTAACTGTAATGACGATAGTAGATTGAAGAGACAACATGTTTACAATAAATTCAGTTGGCTATCTAGGAATACAATTAAATCACTGGTGAACAATAAAAAATTAGTCCGTGTGTGTATTGAAACAGATCACTGATGACCGATCACTGACTTGGTTTGGAGTAAAAGTGAAAACTGATTTCAATTTGACCATTTCATCTCAACTTATATATTTTAGATTTGACCAAAAACGATAGCCAGAACGACAAAGACTTTTCATCTCACTCTTTCTCCCTCATCTTCAACCATCATCCTAATCATCATGTAAAATCATCTTCACCTCACTTTCATGTAGAAAGGGGTTCAGTACGAGAAGCGAACCAGAAGATCAAAGACGGAAAGGATGGACTTGACTGGTACAATCTTCAAGGGTAAGGAGGAGACCAGTGAAGATGATCATACAGTTAACAGTAACCACAACCGCCTCCTCATCCACCTTCTTGTACGAGTTTTTTCATCAACATTATCCTTTCACTTTCTTCAAGGTAACAATAATTTTAAATTAATGTACTCTTGTTTATACTCATCAACATGATTATGATGATGGAGATGATCATCATCATCATCATCCTCATAATCGACTTCTTGTTGTTCATTATATCGTGAAACTTACGAACCATTAATTATCTAGTTTTGAAATTGAATTGAAATTCACTTTTTTTGTTGTTGTTTGTTTATGATTTTTCATATACACTTCATAAGTCAGATAAATTATGCTCCAGGATAAGAAATGTTCATTTATTGATGTTGATTATGATGAAGGTAAATCTAATTGATATGGTTCACTATGGTTAATTGATAATGAAAATTATTTTACCTGTAAAATGATTGTTAACATTGAAAATGACTATCAGCTGGACAAAGCAAAATTTTTGGTATAAAAGATTGAAATGAAAAGTTAACCCTAATTTCATTTTGCCTACTTTATTGGTTTGTCTTGATTAAGATAATCAAATTTGACTTGATTTCCATTTGATTAATGGATTGTAAATTGATTGTGAAGACACTAATTGTGAATTGTCCACTTAAATTGTTGGGATTTCCTTCAGTGTGTGTAGATGACTAAATAATTGTTGCTGAGATGTTTGCCTTTTTGCATGTGTGGTAGAGTGTTTCTGCACTAAACATGATTGTTATCATGAAGATTATTAATTGTAATGAGAATCGTTATAACATATCTATGTTACTATTATAATGAAACAATGTAGATGTAAATCATGTGATAAAACATGTTATCAACTGTTGGTCAAGAAGGTAAAACAAAAACAAAATGCTGTATTAGCCAAGGACTTTAGATGATACAGTCTACAATCAGGTTGACTTTGATCAATCATAATTTCACCTTTTTCTTGTATCACCATCTATCACAATTAAATGTAATCTTAATTGCTGTCTTCCTAAATTCCTAATTGTCTAACATTCAAATATCAAATCAAATTTTGACAAATATTTGATTTAGTCGCTTGTTTGGTCTCTTAAGTGACACTTGGGTTGACCTGAGAAGACTTTAATTTTGAGCCCTTTTTACCGATCTTAAGGTAAAGGTTAATCAATTTACTGATTATTTATTCAATTTATATGATAACTACAATTTGTTGCAATAAAATGTTTGAATTAACCTCCCAATTGTATTAATATATTCATTGAAAGATTGTCATCTGTGAATGGGATTGAACGTGAATCAATTTTGATTCCATTAATGGATCTCACGAATTTGGATAATTATCGAACTTGATTGGCAAATTAAAATGTTAATCAATGTTTTCAAACCTTAAGGCAATTCTAAGTGCCACTGAAAAATAATTAACTTACATTTTTGTTTTAATTTTTACGCATTTTTGTTTAATGGCCAATATTGAACTTACTATCTGATTCTCATTATAACTCAACGACTCTGGTTGTACATTACCATTATGCTTTTAGTCAAAAGGGAGAAGCTTAATGGTCCTCTTAATTACTAATTAATTGGTCAACAATGCATTTTTAAATATTATTATTCAAAAGTCAAGGTTTGCTGTATTGTCTTAGTGTTACGATGATGATCCGTTTACAATACAACAAGCGTTTACAATAGTGTAATGAATTCCCAGAATTAGATGTTTTCAATTAAACAATAAATCTTATCGGTGGGTCCACAATTCAGGATTTGTTTAATAACCACCATTAAAGAAGCATTGAATTGCCTTAATTTGCATGAAATGATTGTTTTCAATGGGTAAACTGGTTGTAAAACATAAATGGCTGCGATGAAGTATTACTTTGTCTCTCACGTTGAAATATTCATGTTTTGTTGATCGTATAATACCCGGTATTTCCATTGGATAAACATTGTTTCCAATTTGATTGGAATGATCAAATTCAAGTTAATGGTTGGTTGCTATTATTGACGGCCAACAGCAATTGATATATTGGATTGCATGTACCGAGTGTTGATATCCAAGTAACAAACATGGTGATGTTGTTTTCAAAATCCTGTCCTGTTAATACTGATTTGGTACCAGATTTTGTCATCAGCTTGTTTAGTCCACGCGTCTCTTGACATTAAAATTGATTGATTTCTGCTCGTCATAACATTGAAATTTATACTATTTGTTTGACTTTTGCTGTTGACAAGTTAATGGTCACTTGATGGTGAAAAGCAGGGTTACGAGTTGAAATCTGTAAACAATTGAAATAGACAAAAGGTTAAAAAGTAAAAGTGGTTTACTGGATAAGTCAAAATGATCATTCACTCTTAACGTTGACCCAATCATTTGATAATATGTTTTTTTAAAGTAAAACTGGTTGACAAACAAAACAACTTACCATTTGGATTGCAATCCTCATTGATTGTAAAGAAAATAGCTTTTGTTATTTCTTTCAAGACACTTTTTAATTTCTCCTGATGACTCCTTTGTTTCCTTAGTTCAACTCTTTTCCACCATTTGTTAATTTATTTCCTTAACCAAGTCATGAATAATTTGAACTAGATGATTTGATCGTCAACGCCTAACCTATTCTGTATTTATCGGCCTGTCAACAACAATTGAAATCAAGATTTAACCGATCAACACAAATATGTTAACAATCGTACCCAATAAAAATGCTGGGTTAAGTAACAAATGTTAAACATGAACCTCTTCTTCCTACTTGACATTATGATTCAACTTGTCAGACGATGGACTCCATTTTTATTTTTTTGTCTCTTTTTTAACCACTTTTAATTCATCCTTTGCAACATATTTATGCGTTTTTGTTGATTTATTTGTTTCAAGTGCTTTCTGGTACCTTTCAAGTGTATATTTGGCTAATATGTATTAACATTCAACTCAATGATATTGAATATCAACTTATGCTTTTCAAATACCACTTTAACGGTAATATCATTTTACAATTGATGTCTTACTGGCCTTGAACGAGTTAAGCAAGTAAAAGGTAAAATATTCCTGTTAATTAATTAATTTCTTTTCTGATAGCCCGATATATGCTGTCTGATTGCCCACTGTGATTAATTTAATCGCCATTTCCTGAATTTAATGTGTTCAAGTTTGTGTGTTATTTTTCATCTTTTCTTTTTGTTTCCAATGCACTCATCAAATCTCTTTGGCTCTTTTTTTTGCTTTCCATTCGTGTGTCTCAATGCGGTCGTATGGTCGTTTTTTGTTTTTATTTTTGATTAACATTTCTCAGATTATCCGAGGTAAAGTGCTTCAGGCTTCGAATTACTAATTTACTAATCAAAGAGGATGTTTTTGACGGTAAGGATAGCAGCGGTAAAAATCTTTTGAGTGATGTAATTTAATTCCTAATCTTATACTTTTCTATTTTTATGTACCCGAAGGGATGGTAAAACAGCTTGGTGGTTTAATAGCGTGACTGGTTTTCAAAGTTTTCTTCCTTCTCTGACGCTTCTTCTTTTTTTTCATATGAATATTATTACCTTGAAATTCATATCAAAGAGGCGATCGCGAATACGAAGCCACAGGAAACCACGTCGATGGAGGCAAATGTCAACAAAGACCTCCGCGCTAATTATCTAGTTGATTAGCTTGGCCATCTTTATGGCTTGTGTCCTTAAATATCATTTCATATTTTCAATCATATTAATTTGACATTTAAGTCCTTACGATTCGAGCGACTCTTGTTTATTTTGAAGCTACAATATTCCTCACGAATCATCAGTCTTTCAGAAATCAAAAATCAAAGTAAGAGTAGCCATATTTTAACCTGTTTTTTCATTATTGTTGAAAGACTGTCGTTTTAATATAAATCTAAACTCTATTGTTTTACAGGTAAAGGCTAAAGAAGATTCAATTTATAAATAGATGTTCATTTGTCGATAAAACAAAAAGTGGTCAACTTTGGAAAATTTATGCATGTCCAGGTAGCTTTGGAAACAGTTAGCTGACCATCACCTTCAGCAAATCAGATAATGTTCTCATTAACCCTGCATAATTGTAAAAGGACTAAAGCGCTCAATATTTCGAGATTGTTTACCAGTTTCATTGTGTGGTTAACTTTTCATCAAACCTTTTAATGATGTCGATGGTGATGATAATAGCAATAATGGATAAAAGAGAAGACGTTCGTTTGAACAAAAGAACTTTCCGGCCATCTAGATTATGAGACTTTTGATTGATACTAATGACCAGTTAATGATAATCAAAGTAAATATCATGATAATATAGAATCAAACAAAAGGAGTGAACTTTATGTAGATTAAGATTCTTTTCATCTGTAACTTTCACCATCCAACACTTTGTTTTCATTGTGATTTGCTGAATCTACCTCTCTTTATCCATTATTTTTCCCCTGCCACAGTAAGATCAGTTGGTGCTGTACTGTTGTCTGTTTTAGTGTTTATGTTCACGTTATAATCGTGAAGATAGCATTACAATCAATAACATTATGTGTTTGATCAAAATTAAAGAGATGGTAATGAGGATGATGAGCCTCTCACGATTTTACCACCATTCAGAATGATATTATCCTTGAATATGAAAAGGGACACAAATGACCAAACCCAAGATGTTTTTTTACTGTTTATTACTCTTTTGGCCATACCAATCGAATGAGATGAACCTAACTAATCAAATATGCCTTACCTGAAAACTTGCCCTACAATTATCATATCATTTTGTTACATTTTGTTCGTACCAATTGAAATGGCTATAAATCAACTTTTCTTTTCTCTTTCTACTTACAGATATCATCGCATAAATATTTAACAAAAAGGATCTTCTGAACACCTTAATTGTGAAAAACTGACTCCATTACTTTGAACTCTGGCCTTGAGATGGTTATTATACACTAAACACTGATGAAAGTGATTGAAACGAGAACGTAAACGAAATGTTATGGACATCATAAATTTACTGATCTAAATGTGTTATTACACCTAAAATTGTTAGATATGACAGTTGAAACGGCGAGAGGTTATGGATAACATTGTTCAATCGAAATGATACTTTAACCAAGTGATATTGCCTGTTGTTTGTTTAATCACCAAATCTGATTTGCTTTCAATTGAAAGCTTCTATCTAAAGATTTAATGAATCCTTTCACTAGCTCTGAATATTGAACCAGTACAATGAAAGGTACAATTACAATAATTTTGTTTTGTTGTAACCCTTTTCTGTACAATCTTATCAAGAACAATTTCAAGCTAAGTAAGCGGAAATCGTGGCCAGTTTTAGATATCCATCGACTTGAACATTACCATGCGTGGAAATAAATTATTTGGATAGTCCTTGAATCTCAGCAAGATTTTTTGATAATCACAAGAAGATGGAAAAACAAAGGAACATAAATTAAGTATAACTCACATGTATTTTCATCAAAAATCTATGTTGTTTGTTTTTTATGCATTTACAATGTGTAAAACAATATGAGAAACCATGAATTTCATCAAGGTAGTTGAATAATTCCATATCATTCTAAATAATTATTCCTTTTCTTCTTGATAGACACTTTTCTTTGCTTAGATGATTCTCATTCGACACCTTATGATGATGAGACATTTTTAATCCAAAAATTAGTCTAATTCTAACCACTAATCAGTCTTTACTTTCATTTTTGTTTCAGATAATTACAATTGTAAACTTAAATTCACACACTTGGATCTAAAGGACAATCACAAAGCATTGTTATAAAATGATCAACCATTTGGATTGGATGTTTAAATAGATTCCTGATTTAACCATCTTCTTGTCCTTCAAAATTTGCTAACCTTGTAAACTGGAATCTCATCATTAATTGGCATTAAGAGCACCAATCTGTCCATTAATTATTCATCACAATAATTAAAATATCTAAAGCTGCCTTTAGAAGGAACTAAAGCTCAAGAATGTGAATTCAATGCGGATTAATCTAGACATGAAAAACGACTTTTTATATATAAGTTACAATTCAGAAATCCTGAAAATGTCTTCTTTGTCAATGTTTCATTTAATGGTTAAGCTGGTTTAATTTTGAAATCATTGCAAACAGAAGGACGAACGTTTTTTCCTGAAGTTACATGTTCTATCAGAGATTAGAAATGATTTAATTGTAATTACATGTATATTGTTTAGCCAAGAACCTCTTTGCATATTATTTAGTTTGAATTAGTTAATGTTAGTACGCCAATCAATCATAAAAGTACAATTCGTTCTGTTTACAAAAAGGTCTTGTCTGAAGACAAAATGATCAAATTATGTATAAAAATCAAACAATATTAAATTGTGCGTTAATATTTCTTTTATGCTAATTTTATCATTTTAAGGTAATTTTTGAGCCAATTTTTTAAATTTGATTAAAAACAAGGTAACATTTGTTCACCAAAATGTTTGTTTAAAATTATGCTCCAGGATAAGTTCAATTTATTGACGATGATCTTGATGAAGGTGCATCTAAAGGTAAAGTTCCTTATGGTTGTGATAAAGGTAAAGGATTGAGTTGATTTTAGTTGCTAAGACGATCCAAGAAGAAGAAAAATGAAGATTTTTTAATTATTAATATGAAACAGATAATCTATCGGGATAATCAACTTCCCAAGAAAAATCAGATTTACCTGTAAAATATGATCGATTAGTCTATTTATCTTCGAACTTTTGAAGGTAAACAATTGAGAAGTTAATCAAATCTAATCAGCAGACCACGATTTTCGTGGTTATAGATTAAATAATAATATTTTACTTTCTGGTTCATCATTTAGTTCTCGAAATATTGCTCATTCATGTTAGTCAAGTAATTGATATCATCACGCTTGTTGACCTTTGTTTTATAGCAGAAATGTGTTTGTTTGAAATGTGAAATTGATGAAAAAATCAATAATTTCTAATGAATAACATGTTATACAATCAATCATCAATAATTGTATCTTTATTGTAACAAAGTAAGTAGATAAGAGATTGGACAAGGTGACTAGGAAATTCAGGAGGTAATTTTTTCACAACTTTGATTAATATCGTTACTTAATATTGACTAGCACGGTGTTATCTTGCATAGTAACTTATTAGACAAGTAATGGGAATGGTAGCGAGATCATGAATCGATAGGGTTGTTCAAGAAGGCAAGAGAATGTAGAAAGGTGAAATTAACAGGAAAATTCAAAATGATGATTGTGGGTTAATCTTTCATGAATAAGCATTTGGTTGAAAAATGTCCAATTCAATTTCCATTTCCAATCACTTGCAAATATTTAGCTCGATTAATTTTCCGAGGATTAAGTTTCCTCAGAGATGATTCCATTTATAAATCCAATGCACTATTGATCACTTAATCAATCATGGTGATTTCGTCTTATTCTTTGTTCATTTGAAGTTAGGTTTTAACAGTAATCAACAACCGATCCAAGCAATACGAATAATAAAGGCAGCCCGTGAGATATTAATCTTTGAGATCATTCAATTCAATTGTACCAGTGGCTTCAAATTCAGAAACTAACCTGTAATGAGGAAAGAGAGAATACAGATTAGTTTTACTATTAAAAGAAGACTTTTAACATGTAAATCAATCAAAAAAGATTTGAATACTATGGAGCTCAGCACATGTAAAATATCAGGCAATGAGCTGCCAGTGACAATTAGCACGTGAGGTTGACCAAGAAACGTTTTCTTGGCTGAATCGCACATACATAGAACTAGAAATGAATGATTATGGAATGGTCAATGAAAAAGATAATTCAACTCACAGAAGCAATTCTCGATTTGGTGGCAAAACGATATTAGGATATTCCTGTCTAAGAATCGCGATGGCTCCTTGAAGATTTTTTTTCGCCTTATAATAAGCGGTAACAAAATAGATTCGTTGATGAAGGGTCATATTTAAAAAAGCCTCGGACGGCGTTAGGTTAGGAAGGGCATACATGATGAGGACAATAATAAGACACAAGTGTAAAGTGATAGATTAAGGGTCAAAGTGTTTGTCATTAATTAACTGAAAAGGCACACATTTTTAAAGACATAACAATCATCATCACCATGCCACCCCAATTTAAATCGGACCAATTGACAATCAGATTGATTTTTTTCATAAACACCGCTTCTCCAGTAGAAAGCATCCCCCTGACAGATGACATCAATAAAATTAATTTCTTCCTCTTTTTCCTCTTTCTCTCTCTTAATCTTTCTCTTGTCTTCTTTTTGTTGTTGTTGTAATACAATAAAAATGGTGTAAAAGACTCCTTTAAAAAAAAGAGTCATCAAATCGGGTAAAATATCCGCTTCTACCCGATTAGTACTTTAAATATTGCGCTTACTGTAGACCAATTAAAATTATTTTTTCACCTTCTCTAAGCTGCCATCTACTGTAATTAAGGAAAAATCTTTTTTAATTGCTTTTACTTCAACGGTTGTGAAAATGTTTCATCTTTCTTAATTTGTGAATGAGTTCATTTTTGTATTGGTTTTATCCCTCTAATCAAATTCAACACTTAACTCTTTTCCCTTTCCCTCTTCCTCTCTGTTAATTTATTATAAAACTATTTTTGGTTATTTTTAATTTCAATTCATCAATAATTTATGACAATTGTATTTGTTTGGTTCAATAACTTGAGGACATCATAAAGAGTAAATTACAGGAAAAAAAAGAAGGAGATAAAGAGGAAAAAGAAGGAACCAAATTTGTTGAAAAACCGAATCGGACCCAAATATACTCGGATCTTCTTGAAATCGGATACAACTACTATTCGGATATTGGTTGAGGCTTTTAAAATGGTTTTTTTTTACACTCACTCTGTGTCTCTCTAGTACTGTGGATGTTTTTTGGTAAATTATTGAATTTTTTTTTAAAAAATAGTGATAAATGATTTTGTGTAACAACGAGTATTTATAACTAACTGAGTTATTATTGTAATAAATTTTAAAATGAGTGACCTAGTGGAAAACCACACCCTAATGGATTCATTAGATGACCTAATGCAAAATATATCCATAGATGAGTTTGAGTTGAGAGAAAAGGAGAAGAGAATACGCAAATTAACATCAATATTGAAAAATGAAGAGAATAAGTTAACGCTTATGAAAAAAGTTCGACAAAGTCAATCGCAAGGCATTCATCATCAACGATCTACACCTCCTGCTCACAGTCACTCACATCATCATCCAACACCACCAGCACACAGTCACTCTGTTTACAATACACCACCAGCACATAGCCATCATCATCAATCACCTGCATTGGCAGCACATCAACAAGCTCATGTACAACCACCCACAATCCGTGCTGCACATCAGTCCAGATCAACCACTGTTCTAAATCCTCCGATCACACACAATCGATCAGTGAATTCATATGGAGCACATCCACCACCACCTCTTGGCCTACCTTCTCACCGATCTAACGCTTTATCTGCGCCTGTAATTCGCGGGCCACCTACTAGCCATCATCATCAATCGCTTCTACGTCCTGGCTATCACTCTCTTAATCGAACTCCGGTAACAACACCACCGAATGTTGTTCTCGGCTATCCTGTGCAAGATTTAAGGGCTCAACAATCTCTTTCACATACACCAAATCAGGTTAAACCTGTCAGACAATCTGATGTAAGTATATTTGTAACATGGTGATCTCATTTATCTTTTCTATTTTTCTAATTATTGATTTCTCTTTTTTTGTATAATTTTAGATTCAAGTACCCAGCAATGCTTGCTCTTCACCTTTAGCTAATGAGATTAATCAGACTCCAGCGCAGAGACTCGCAGCTGCTAAGGCAGCCTTGAAGAAACAATTAGAGAAAACTCTTCTCCAAATTGTCCCCCCGAAGCCACCTCCACCAGATTTGCATTTCATCCCCAATGCAAATAATAATGAATTCATCTATTATTATGGTCTTGAAACAATTGTCGACTTTTTAACTGGATTTGATCAAAATAAATCTCCTCCCGAACCCTTCGAGTGTGTTAAGTGTAACACAGATTTTACTCCTGCATGGAAGTGGCAAGACAGTTTCGACTCGAATCAAAGAAAGCTTGCAGTCTGTGAATCATGTGTTTCTTCTAATATAAAAAAGAAATTGAGAGATGAACATTCTAAACGTTTAAAAACAGCCTTCTACAAAGCCCTTCAACAAGAACAAGAAATAGAACAAAAAATATCATCCGGAGCACCAAGTCCACCCGTGCCAGCGCTAACACCTCCAATTAATTCAACACAAAACAATTCTCAAGTTGCCGGCCTATCAAATCTTGGTAACTCTACCCATGGATTTGGTAATTCATCGGTGCTACCACAAGCGCCACCAGCTCACAGTTCTTTTCCGCGCCATGGGTCTGCTGCCGCAGCAGCTGCCGCTGCAGCATCGGCAACCGCATCAGCAGCAGCACTGGCTGCATCTGCATTATTCACCAATCTACCTAAATTAACACCAGCTCAGCAATCCCTCTTTCAAGCCCAACTTCAACAACTGGCTCAAAGTTTAAACCCTCAATCTTTATCACAACCTCAACCGGCGCATATGCTGCCTTTCGCTCCTCTACTTTATCAATATGGAGCATTGATGAACAATAATGACGTTCATCGGCAATATCTATTGGACATGATCCCACCTCGTTCACTGGGACCTTAGGATAAAGAGGAAGATAAGAAGAAAGAAAACAGGTTTCTACAAATGGATTCACTTTCACGCTCCACCTCTGGTTTTTCTTCTTGAGCACAATTACAACTTTACCACTGTTTTAACTAAACCGATTAATGTAATTGACCTGAGAAAGAAACGACTTTATTGGCCCAACCAGATTTCTCCAATACTTTAGATTGAACATTTCTCCTGTTATTGTTTTAGCATGATTAACCACTGATAACCTTCAATATCATACTTTTATTTTTTTTTAATTATCTATTCAAATCAATCTTGCATTCAAAGGCTGAAAATCTTCTCAATGTTGGTTACTTCAATACTTGCTAGATGATTTATCAATTTAATCTTAAACAAACAAACTAAAAGAGACGATTAATTAACGGAGTAACAATGATGCAAGTAATTATTTGGGTACGCATTTAAAACTTTAATGGATACCCATTATTTTTTTGCATTCAATCACTTGTTTTTGAATCAATTCCTAGACTGTTTCAGCTTAACGGGTTCGAATACGAATACGAATTCTTTTTAATTGTTCAGTTGATCTTATTAGGAAATTAATGAAGGAGGAGAAGTAGAAGAAGGAATACTTGCGATTTGGGCTAACCTTCTTCATGAAATAAAGGGTGAAAGGAATCGTGAATATAGTCACAATTGTAATCACAAACAGTGAAGCTCGGTAAAAACGGTTCGCATGATAAACATAAGAATTCATTGATATTTTACATGGTTTATGATGGAAATTAAAGGAATCAGGCAAACATGTGAAGTTGCCAGCACCAAATTGATGAGTGAATCGGGTTAAGCAGCAAGAAGAAGGCCAACTTTTACTCAATGTTGTATTCCATTCAGAGTAACTTTCCCATCCACAGCATTGATAATAAATTTGGATTGAATGGACTAACCGATGAGATTGATCTAATTTATTTTTAACCGGATCAATCAATCCAACTAGAGTCGAGTTGATATGATTAACACCAACATAATGAATTAGAGGAATACCCAGAGTAAGGTGACCTATGAGGGCAATTGTAGCTCCTAAAATGGCTATAAAATAACCATTGATATGATATTTAATCAAGTTTCTATTTAACAGGCTAAGTCCATAAAATCCTATGTACAATGAATAACTTAAAATAAGGTGAGATATAAATCGGATGATTGAAATTAAAACATCAGCAAATTGGCATAAACCAGTGTTTTTACAAATACCAAGATCAAAGAGAGATATTAACATGTTAATTATAGAGATCAAGAAAATTGTAAAATTAGAATAGGTACAAATAGTTCGGATTAAATCATATTTAAATTTCATCTTAATCCATACACAAGTAAACAATGGAGACCAGAAGAAAAAGAGTTTCAAAAGCAAGTGACAAAAAAATTCAACATTAACATAATGATAGCAACAATAAGCTTCAATAAATTAGTCCACCAGTACAGATTTTCTGGTTTTAACGTACATTTTATACCAAATTTAGACCAGTATTTTAATGGTCTCTTGACCGTTTAATTGTGGATACTTGTGTTTAATAAATGTAACGAAGTGGCAGCAAAAAAAGGCTAATCATTTACATCCAACTAACCAATGTTTTCAATGGTTTTTGCTGCTCTATTTATTTATAGATATTATACTCATTTTAATCTGACAAGTCAAACTTCAATTCAATGGTTACCATTTTGATGATGATGATGATGATGGCTTCTGTAATCTTCTTCTCCCATTTTCTCACTACCTGATAAATCATGTCATCCTTAATGATATTTCTTTGTTAAATCGTCTTTGTTTCTTTCCTTTACTCTCCTCTCTTTCTTTCAAATCTTCTTCTTCCCTCCTTATTCATCACCCACACCCCTTCTGATCTTCATCATCATCTTCTTCTTCCTCTTTGCTGCCTCTTTCCTCTTCCTCTCTTCTTGTTTAAGATACATTTTCCTAGTTATTTGCACTAAAAAACATGGCTGAACCAACAAGACTAAACTTATTGATGAAGGCAACTTGTAAATGACATCCATTTTTAATTGACCAGTCTTTACGATCATTTGCTCTTTACTGTTCTCCACTAGTAAACTTGGCCTTTTCAAGTCTACAATGGTTTAGATTTGCAATTTTATAATTATTGTATTAATCATTATTATCTTTGTGAATAATAAATGTTATTAATACAATTGAAATGATTCTCGCTACTCTTTCATCTCATTACTATTCTAGTATTGTATATGACAATGTTTATAATGTACTTGGCAGGATATTTGTAATTTATTTTTCTTAATATTATTTCTTCACCTATTACAGTTATTTAATTACAAATCCTTTGCTAATCTAACAAAGTTGCTATTGTTATTATCTTACAATTGTTCACTCTATCAGATTTGATGATTCGATTATTCAAAAAATTGTTCAACATCTTTCTCCTGTTCAAAGGTTATCCAAAATTCATAAATTGAATACAGTCTTCCATTCTTAACAGAGTTAGTTTAGCTGACAATTTGTTTGAAACGCTATTAAATTATGACAGACTACAATGGTTGTTCATCGACAATTCTTAAGAAAATCGTTTAAATTTTTATTTCTTTATTTCAAATATTTATGCTGCTTTTAATCAGATTTTTAATCAGATTTTTAATCAAATTTTCAAAGAAATGATTAAATTGCTGTTTTAAGCACGGCTTTTTAGCTTATTTTCGGATAAGACAGATGGCAGCACTGAATTTTTTTTGCCACCAAGTGTGATGAATTTGAAAATGTAGTTTATGTTTTGTTTTCTTCTTAAGCTGTATTTTAATTTGATTTTCCAGATTTTGATAGTTAATTTGTAAATTGATCTTTTAACTTATTGTGTCACAATGTCACAAGAAATTTCTGAAAGAGGATTTCTTGACCGATCTACTAGGAAAAGAGTGTCTGGAAGATTAAACCGTCTTTACTCTTCTAGATCAGGTAATATAAAGGAAGATGATCTGACTACAGCTCGATCAAAATTGGATAACATATTGGATAGGATATCGAGAGGTGAAGAAACATTTGATGATGACTATTTTGATGATGCACCCTTTGGTATGAACTCACCAATTAAATCAAAAAGATCTCGGGTTCCACGAAAGTAAGTAAATCTGTCAAGTATATTTAATATGCATAGCTATCACCATATAGCCTTTCTATCCTATCTTATCTTTTTATTAACTAGGTCTTGGACACATTTTATTGAATCTATCGTTTCTTATTGTCTCTGGTTAACATAATTCACAAAATCACTAATACATTTTGTTTTTTATTTCAATTTGAACAGAACTGCAAAAAAACCGCGAGAAGACGAATATTCAAAATCTTCTAGTTTCATTCTGAGATTATTTGACCGAACAGTTGATCTATCCGAATTTTGTACTAAATATAGCGATACAGATCCTCCATTATACCCTATCTGTCGAGCATGGGCGCGTAATTCTGATTTATCTAATGAACAAGACTCTGTAGACGAAGATCAAACAGCAGCCAATGATTTAGAAGCTATGGGCATTGGAGAACCTGATAAATCTACCGGATTATATGTTTTACCGCCTCCAGATCCAAAGCCAGTTGATGATAATGGCAATGAAATTGATTTACGATTACCAAAGAGTAGTACAATCAAAAAAGGACTTTGTACGAATCTCATCGATAAATCACTCAATTCAATGACCGACAAAAACCGGGACGCTCTTCTAGATGCAAGTTTATCTCGATGGCGTACAATTCGACAAGAATGGCGTGAAGCATCACTCCTGAATCAAGAAAGATATAGACCAAGTTTCACAGTAATACAAGCTTTGTGAGTTCTTTTAATAGTTAAATTTCAAGTTTCACTTTAAACTCATATCTATTTTTACTTATACAGGTCAACTGTTCCAAGCCAAGCTCTTGATGAGGAAATGTTGTCAAATATGTAATTAGATTTAATCATCTTCAAGCTTCCTTCTCATTGCCAACTTTTATCAGCATCCATACATTTGCAACTGTTTATAGATCAATATCATGCATGAACCATGAAGGTTATTCGCTTTTGTAAGTTTTCATCAATATAACCGATATTGATTAAAAAAAAGGATTCAAATGAGATAGTTTGTTTTCAAGTGTTTACAATTATATTTATACACATTATATCACCATCAAAGTTAAACTTGGTCATTGACAATGTTAGCCAATTGTACAAAATTATCAAATTTATTCTAATACAATATGATCCTTGGTGCACAAGATCAACAAGCAACAAAAAAGTGGATAGGTAGAGAAACGCAGAAAGTTATCCAATCAATCCAGATAATTGACAATAAAAGAGAAAGGAAGAAAATTTGATTTGATTTTGTTTTTGTTCAATACATACAAAAAGTTCTAACTGAAATGAAAAAGAAAATTTCATACAAATAAACCTCAAATATTCGATGTAATCCGATAATAATAAAGATTATGTATATCGACTTTATCAAAGAGTTAATAATGATTTAAGTGATCAAGTATCATTTGTAGATCAAAGATCACATCATCCTCTACTTCCTACAGCAAGTGATCGTTTGACACTTTCAGTTAAATTATTATTAACCTTTGTAAGATTGGTTCACAAGGCATCGATTTTTTTAAAAAAACATTCAATATGGTTACATGATTTTGAACACAGATAATTGACCAAGGACGACAAAAGAGTCTGAAAAAAAGAAGGAACACATTGAATTTTTGTCTTTTTACAGTAAATATTATGTTAAGTTTTATGCTTCAGATTAATCATCACTCTTCGTTTGAATAATTGACTATCAAGACAATTTAATCATCTTTAAACTCAAAATTGAAATGAAGGTCTGATGATTATACAAATTTGTAAGAGTTGAATAAAAATAAAAACTAAAATACAAATAAAAACAAAACATCAGTTTTGTTTGCAATAAAATTTTGTCGTGGATTCTGGTATCGGTGTTAATTTTGTTCACAATCGGATTCCACATTTTGTCAATTTTGGCTCTTTTTCCATAAACAATAAAATAAGATAAAATCTTGTCTTTAGACGAATCAAAAGAACGGTAAACAAAACAAAAGAAAGGCTGATTGGAAATTGAGGAAATATAAACTAAGGAATTATATTATTGATTTGCATTTACAATCAAACTAGAGTACAAGAACTACAAAAGAGGGCAAATAGGAGAAGAGTTTGGGAGAAGAAGGGGTTCTTGGTATTCGCGTAGCACAGTAAAAGATGGACCTATTATTTGGTTTTGTTTTCCCGTTAACTTTTTTCGCATTTGGTATTTTCATGATCAACCAGTCGCGATTTTATCACAATAAGTAGGGAGAATCAGTTTTCACCTTTTATATAAAAAAGAAAGGATGAAAAGAGTGGTGAGGAGTGAGAGGAGTAAATTTTGAATGTCATCTCCACCTCGAAATGCTTGGAAATCACAATTATCAACAAAAATGTAATCATTGATTATAGATATGACTCAATCTTTGTAAAAAGCTGTAGACAATTTAAATCGGTGACTTTTTCTGTTGGATAATTGTAATTTGTTTTCGGGAAGAGAGGCATTCAACATTTTTGGGTAGTTTTCATCCATTCTTTATTTATATGAAAGAGTAAGGTCCATCCGTTAGTGCGCTACAAAGTATTTGTCAAGATGGCGGTTGATTTCCAGTATTGGTTGTTGCTGTTGTTAAACCATGCTCTGGTCCTGGTCCTATACTTGTATTAACACCACGAGGTTGACTTCCTCTTTCAGCTTTGAAATATTCATGACCAGGATCAAATTGCATTAAAACAAATATCTGAATGAAAAGATCAAAATAATAAAATTAATAACAGGATAAAAGTATTTTTCTGAATAGTTACGCTTACCATATCAGAAGGCATCAAAATAAACTCCATCGGAGGATTTGTGATAACATAACGTTTACTCGAAGCCTCAGTTCCAATTGTATCCCGATATCGGTAAACACCAATACAGAGCATACCAAATTGTCGAAGGGCAGCGACAAAGAGATCACTATATTTACCACCTCCCTGTAGAAATGAAAAGAGTCGCATAAAAAATAAATTATTACCAACATCAAATGTAATACCAAATGATTTAAAATTAAAACACAAATTTTAAGTTGACAGATTAAAAATTATCAAACTAACCCCATGTTGAGCTAATGGTCCATCATAAAGTGATATCTGACCAACTCTACATCTGTCTCGATTTCTCAAAGTTTCATCAGTTGAATAACCTCCTCTTAGTCCAGCTCCTTCAGCAAGAATAAGTTCTAATTCTGGAGTTGCACCACCAGTGATAAGAGATCTAATAAGTGTCAGTGCGTTAGCATTAAAGTAAGTTGTAGACATGAGTGAATCCAATACAGAAACTGCAAAAGCAGTACCACAGGCAAATGGTTGGGTAATATAAAGCTCAGTATCAGGATCATCGTCATCATCTTGGTCTAAAAATTGTACATTGGCATCATTTGTAAGCTCCGTTATAAGGGGTACATTGGACCCGTAAACTGAACCACGCCTTTGAATAACCAAAGGAGGAGCTGCTGTATTAGCACTACCTAAACCAGTTCCATTGGTGCCTTGGATAACTCCAATGGTATCATCAAAAGTCATCGCTTTAATGTTAAGGCTGGCAAGAATGGCTTCCTTATCGGCAAGCGTGGGATCATCTGAAGAAGGTATTTTGGCAGACAAGATAACACACATATCACAAAGGTTTATGTTTACAGCTCTAAGATCAGCTCGAGATAAAGGTGATCCATTGAGCACACTAATTTTGGGTAAATTTTGTAACATTTTCCACTCTCGACGTAAATATTCAACATTACTGACAATAACGACATGTTTCAACTCATGATAGTGAAAATTGGATGCACGCAAAGGCATAACCAAATTTCGTAGTCCAATTAAAGGAGAATCAGGATCAGCAAATAAACAAACAACAACGTGTCCATTTAAAACTGTCATTGCAGCTTGATTCCGATCCTAAAATGAATATGAAAAGAAATTGAGAAAAATTAATAATAATTCAATAATGAAGCTGTAAATGTTTAATACATCAATCACAATATGAATAACTTACCAAAATACACTCCTCAACTGGTCTAGCTGGACACCAATGAAACATTCCTGTTGAATCATATTTCATTTCTGTTTTGTCAAAGTCAAAATCTTTTGTATCGATGAAACCAGCACTCGGTACAGACCCATGAGCTGTAGTTCCACTAGTGACATCCCCTCCAGGACGGGTTGCTGGCCTAATAATAATGAAATATAAGATAATAATAAAATGAACATTAAGCTTCTAAAATGTAAAGCCATCAAGTTCAACTTACATAAGCTTTTTAACTTCATAAGCTAAATGCATATCTTTAAAAGGTTTTGCTGGTTGATTGGCTGCTGTTGCCGTTGCTGAGGTTGAAGATTGATTTCGCTGAGTTTGAGCCGAAGGTTGAGATGGTGAAGATATTGTCAGCGATTTACCATTTCTTGCTGCTCTACGACCCCCAGAACTTGATGAAGGTGGAATCAAATGAGCTGTAGATTAAAAGAAAGAAAAAGTTAATGATAACGAAAGAGTAAAAAATACTTGTCAGAAATACTTACTACTTTCAGTTGGATCTCCAGAATGATCACCTACTATTAGATTAAATGAGAAACAAGAAATAAAAAATTGTTAGCAATGGTAGCAATTAAGGTTGTAGTAAAACAATCATGGAGTGAAAAATAATTCAGGCGAAAAAAAATAATATGAAAAGTAGATAATAATCAATAATATTGATGAGATGGAAGACAAAAAAGAGAAACAAAATGGATAGAGAAGTGAAAATATTGAATAAGACATGAAATATGATGAAAATGAGTGAAGTGAATAAATAATTTACAGGTTTGCATCGAAAGAAAGAAATTTGAAAAGACGAATAATGGAAATGTCGAAGGGAGAAGAGCTGGTTAAATTATTAATACCTCGCAATTTGGCTCTTTTAGGTATTTCAGGTGGTGTATGAGTTGGAATAAGGTTCATCGATGGATTTCGTGTTAAATTACCATCAGTAAGGTTTCCATGAGTGTTAGGGTTGAGGCCACTTTCTGCTATTAACAACGCCATTAGGGTAGCACAAGGATAGTTAGTTGGATATGAGGATAAATCAAATGAAAACAAAACAAATGAACGGAGCAAAGGAAGGATAAAATTGGGTCAAAGGTTGGCGAGTTAGGTGAAGAGGAAAAAGAGAAATATAAAGCAAAGATTGCATGAGAAGTCTGATTGAATATTTGAATAGCATTTAAAATAGTAACCATTGAAATGATGATATAAATTGAAAACATGATAATGCTAGTTAACACAAACATAGTAGCAAAAAATACGGAATAGCGACAGAATTATTGTTCAATATTTATCAACCATATTGAGTTGCAGCAGCCACAGGGAAAGACAATAAAGACAAACAGGGAATGAACAAAAAAACACAATCAAAATGGTTTAAGCATAACACACGAAACATGATTTACAATACACTTTACATGGTTATATATTATCAATGTAAAGGGTGTGTTAAAAAATAAATGTCCTCAAAAGGTTATGATAAATTATCGTCATTACTTGATGTTATTTTATTTTATTTTATTTTTGCTTGGCATACTTTTATATCCACAGGTTATCATTGAACCATTTATTTCAACTAATGTGGGTGTCTTGGATGGTCAATAATTTGTTTAACCAATGGATGAAATATGATAACTAATTAGAGCTGATTGGGAAGCAAGATTAATTATTGTGAACACTTTGGCTTCTGACTTTTATTTTGACTTTGGTCAAGTATTATTAACACACCCTTTAGTTTGGTTTAGTGATATAAAAAACAGGCTAAAAAGTCAAAATAATTTAACATGATATTAGCATGATAGTATTGTTATGAGTATCTATTTTTCAAGACAATATTTCAATCTTGGAAACAATGAAACGTAATTAACAGCAACAACAATGATGAAAAACAATGATAGCTCAAGATTTAATACACAAAAGATGTAATAAATTATTGTTACACCAACAATGGAAACATTTCAAGAACCATTTTTAGACGATAATTTAAATACTATAATTAGAGTGAAATTATAAAATTATAAAATAATTTATCGGCAGTCATTGGTTTAGTTCAATTTAGCTGACACTTGGAATAATTTAGACCAAAACGGGATTGGGTTCAACTATAAATTTTGGGTCAATAAAACTCATATTTTTTTGAAATTCTGTGTATATCAACAATTGTGTGTACTTTGGTTGAAAAAATAATGAAATACTGAACAAAATAAATGTTGCAAATCAGTTAATGTAAAACAAAATAAGGTAAATAAAAAAACATGATTCACGCAAAGCCATAATCATATGTATCTAATTTTCTGGATGTTGATCAAGTAAAATATGGTAACAGTAAATAACGATAATATAATTTAACCTAGAAAGGTTAAGGGTCACATCAGCATTACTGTTTATATTGTCTGAGTATTTGGTGGAAAAGAAAGGAAAAAAAGGAAAAATGCCAGAAAAAATGCATAATGAGGTGGTATAAATGAATATAACTCGTGCTGATTGAAGGTGATTCATTGGTGTATTGTAATGACCGTGGAAGAAGTCACGAGAATTGTCAATCACTGGAAATGAGGGGAAAGTTGACCTTTTGTTTATCAACATATAAACATTGGCCAGTCAATCAAATTACGAGCCGGAATTGATTGCAACCATTGAATTGGTCAAAAATGTATTTGGGATTCTTAAGCCTTTTCTTGGTTCACTTGGTCTTTTCATCATGCATTAACTAAACATTTGAGAATGCTAAAATGTTAGTCAATTGTAACAAAACTGGATAAAAAACAGAGACAAAAGTGTGAAATTAATAAAATGGATAAAATAAATGAAATAATAAGACAATTTGTTGCATTTGTAATGCACAATTAAGAGTCTGAATAAAAGGTAATGAAAGCTTCAACAGTTAATTCCTTTGATCAGGGATTGTTTCAGTTTCAACAGAACGTCAATTAAACAACGTGCAATTTACACAATTGAAACAGTTGAGTCTTGATTCATACTTTGCCTGGTTGGATTATTACTGACTGCTTGAACAACTCTCACTCCCTTTTTGAATATTGCGCCAACTACGATTAAAGGAGAGAAGATTAAATGATATAAGATTAATTTTTTGGTTTTACAGTCAATTTTTAGGTAAAGGTTTACAGGTAAAGTCCGTCGTTTAATCGAGTTGAGTTGATTTGGTTTAGATTTTGTTTTATTTTTGATTTTTAGATTTTCTTTATTTTGTTTCAATTTGATAATTGTCACAAACAAGACCTTCAATGTGAATGTGAATGTGATTTGCAAGGTTTTGTGTTCGGTGTAATATTTAGTGTAGTAATTAGGTTAACAATTACAATCAATTTTGTGTTGAAGTGAATTGTGATTTGTGCATTGAGTGTATATTTGTGTGAATAAAATGTGAATCAATGTGAATTTGTGTTTAAAATGGTCAAAGATGAGCGCAAGAAAAGGGAATAAAATTAATGGAAATAGTTTATTGAAATTCAATTCTGTTGAGCTGTTGACTAAATTAAAAGACGCCTTAATTTTCAATTGAAAATATGTTCTGGAAATAGATGCTGTTGAACATGTTATCAATAACGCATTGAAATTTCATGATTACTTGATATTTCAATCATTTTTTCCTAATGTAAATGATTTGCTCTAATGATTATGTTGAATTAAACTGGGAGTATTTTGTTTAACCCTTTAAATTAACAAGTTTCTCCCCTTTATTTTCATAATTAGTGAATTTGATTGATGCATATTGATTGATGAAAGTGGCTTCTTCTCATTAACTCAATCATTGATTATTTGGATTCTGTAATACTGGAGTAATGGAAGTGTGGATCAATGGTTCAATAATTATCATGATGATGGTTAGGAATATGAAAAGATTTCCAATTAGAAGGAAATAATCAATGGTAGGAATCAATGATTTCAGAGCTTGATCATGTGAAAATCCTGAACATTGACGATGAACATTCAATTGAAAAGGAGAATGCAATGGAAAATGTTTTTTAACCTTTTTTCATCATAATTTTGCCTTTAAATGTTTTCAAGTCAAAGCATTTGGTTGTTCTGGTTTTTTCATGTTCACAGTTTGCTATCAGTCACAAGCTCAATTAATTGATGATAATATCATTAAATTGTTTATAATGGTAAAAATCAGGGTTGAGTTGAGTTGAAAGGGTAACAAGTAAATATGTTGGTTCAATTGAAGATGAGTGGAAGAATGAGAATGGCGAGAAGACAATTTGACATGAGCCAGTAGTAGACATTAACCATCAATCAATCTGTTCAAAGTGCATCATGTTTCAGCTCATTGCTTTTGGAACTTGCTTCAAATTGATTCAAGTTGTTGTTTTTTGTTTCAAATGATTCTGTCCTTCTCATCTTCTTCTTTTTTCTGTCTATTCCTTTCCCTGATTTCCCAGAATCTATTCATATTATTTATTAGTCAACAATTTTTATCCTCTCAATCTAAATTATCTGAAACTGTTGTTCACCAATTGTAACAGATAAATAATCAAAGGACAAGAACATGGTTAAACACAGTTAATTAAACATCGACCAGCTTTGACTTGAAACATCGAGACATTGTAATTAATTGTCTGGATCAAGGGAAAATTGATGAGACAATCGATGGACCCAGAGATAAATTTTTGGTAACATTGGAGAATCAAAATTTCCTAAAGAAAACATGAAAACATCTTGAGTTTTGTTTATAATTATACAATGATTGATGGCAAAATGTTGACAATTATAAAGTTAATGATAAAATTATAACTCTAATTAAAAGACAATTTTGTTGAAACCTGAAATTACCAGCTGAAAGTAGGAAAAGACTAAAAATAGTTTGAAAGAGAGCATAAAAAAACCAGAAAAATATCTGGTTCATTTAACCAGGAGACAGTCTTCTGAAATTTATTAAGATGATGTTGTTGTTGATGATGGTTGTGAGACACCAAGAAGATAAGCTTTTTAAAGATCTACGGAATAAGTTAATGAAATATCAGAGCATCAGATAATATTCTGTTAGTTGAGGAGAAAAAAATGTTTCCTTATAAGAGTTTCAGATTTTTTATCTTTTTCCATTCTTCATCAAAGATGAAATAGAGTCAGGGTGAAAATATATATCCAAGTAAAATAAAATATATTGAAACCAGTAACTATGGTAAAGTGAATTCAGTAACTAGACTTTTAATGGAGGAAGAAGAAGTAAAAACTGGTTAAATATCAAATTTCATTATTTCTTTCGATTAACTTATTCTTTATCATCTTGCTTCAATGATATTTTTTCATCTCTAACCGAAATTATCAATGTTATTGTCATGGTTTGAGTTCTTTACTATTATTATCAATGCTATTATTTTTTTTCCTGGTAACTATTGAGTTCTCTTAGGTTAGTTATTTTTGTTTTTACGGTTAGTCAATAGAAAAAAATCGATTGGAATGATGATGATTATGATGATGGGGATTGGTGATGATGGTCAAAGGTCCACTGGAAGAGCTATCAAAGGTAAAGTAACAAGTATAAGCAGCGAATTAAAGATCAAGTGAAACATCTTCAATCTAATGGATTCGTGTTGCTGGTTTTATTCATCGAAACGATTGATTGTTTTCATTCCAAGCCATTTCACCGGTTCCATCATCATATTTTTCATCCTTTTCATTCCATTTGATTTGTTGAGTTCACCGCATTTGAATTTTCTTTTGAAACAAAAAACCAATCTTTAAATAAACCAGAAAAATTTTGAGGAATCAAAAGGTTTTGTCAAGCGAAACACTTTTCTATCCAAGTTTATCTATTGTAAAAAAAATTGAATCAGAAACGATTACAGTGTTATTTAACATGCTGATGGTAATCTGGTTCATAAAGCAATAAAGGATAAAATAATGGAAAAGTTCATCTCAAATATTAAATCAATGTAAGCGAAAAATGGATCAATTTGGAGGCAAGTCAAATAATTGTGATTTATCCAATTTGTCCACTGGTTATCAATAAAGATACAATTGTAGTTGTGACCAAAATAGTGAACAATGTTGATTAATTGGAAAGAGATGTAGTTAATAATTGAAAAGATGATAAATATGGAAAACAAGAAACAGAAAGAATCTATTGGATAATTTTTGAGTTGCCATGGAGTTTAGTTATTAAGGGCATCATGATGATACATGTAGAACATGAAGAATAGGCAAATATTACACAAAAAATTGATCATCTTTCCATGTTCCTATTGACTAACCAAGGATTCATTCACCAGAAATGGTTGCTTCAGATTTTATCGATAAAACTAGTGACAACAACAACTAACAAGCTGCAAATCAATACATTTATAGTTTAATTTCAACTAGAGATTTCATGTAAAGAACAAATTATTAATGAAAATAATCACATGATGATTAGATAATGAACAAAGAAAAATGGAGAGAATAATTTTTTTGTTCTAACTCAAAGGTATCAAAGCTATTCACCAAACTGACAGATTGACAACCACACAAAAGGGTAATCATTTTCAATTAATTGCAGTTGAATGCTTCACTTTCTGTCGTTAACAGCAAGAAAAAAGGTGAAAATAATGTTTCCAACATCTCATAAATCTTGATTGTCAATGAAATAAACTATCCAGATGAAGTTCACAGTGAGTTGAAAAAAACCCAAAATAAAAAATCTTCTATGAAACTTCTGGTTATTCCTGGTGAGACACAAAACAGAGGTTGAAAATGAGATGTAAAATAAGTATTCAAATGAGAAATTTTTGGTTCCTTGATCAGCAAAAAAGTTAAATTTGGTTAACTTATTGATTGCTTTCAAGGGTAAAGTTTAAACCTCAATGAAAGTGCAATTTTATAGACTATTTTTTACCATCAAGCAAATGTATAACAATGACAAACACTTGGAATGTTAAGGCACAAGAAAAGAGAGCAATACAGAAAGGTTATCAACCAAGTTTATCGATCTTCCAACAACCAATTATTATTAGTAGCATTATTATATTATGAAACTCAAAATGTTCACAATATAATACATATAATATAATATTTCAACTTTTATCACCTAAGGTTTTCATTTGATCCTGTCTTTAGTTCATTTGGTTACAATTGTTTTTTAAACAGTTGATAATGCAAAATAGCTAGCAATTTGTAATTTTATGTGTCTCATGTTTGCCTTTATCATTCACCATCAACTGCGGAAATGAAATGATCAAATTTTCTTCTCAACACAATGAGATTGGATGAAAAGTCAAACAAAAGGCTATTAAAATTCAATGGTTATCTAATTAACCTTTGTAATTGCAAAGTTGAAATATTGGTTGAAAAATTGATTGATTGGTTGCTTGTGGTGAAACATTAATCATTTTCAATGTTTCATTCTTGATAATCACAAATGTAATGTAAACGCATGATAGTATTACATTGGGTTTTGAATGGAAATTTTGGTCTTTAGGTTCTTTAGGTTCTTTAAAGTCCAGGTAATCAATGATTTCATGAAAAAATGATTGAACATGAAAATGGATTAAAATTTTCTCTGTTCAACTCTATTTGCCGTTTTATCATCAATCAATTCGCACTGAGAATCTAAAAAAAAGAATAAAAAGCTGTTAAGATCGATTTGGGCGAAGTTTTGAGCAATAATACATTTGCCACTCTGTAAATAATTAATGATTCATCATGAACGTGAAACCAGGAATCGATCATATGAAAAAATTTAAGATGAATGAAATAAATGATCAAAGCATTTGCGATTGATCACTTTATCAAATTGCCTGGTTTCTTATATTAATACAAAACATAGATTAAGTACTGATACTAGAGAAAAATTTACAGTTAGTTAATATTACACGGTGAACAAAATCTTAGTATAAGATACAAGTACTATTAATAGGATAGGATTAAGATGAAAATAAATAAAATATATGCTTACGATTTTTGCACTTGCATTTCTTGATCATTTTTTCATCCTTAACGTCTTCATGACAAACCTTACAATACCAAAGAGCTCTGTAAAGATAAAAGTATCATGTAGATTATTAAAAATTTTGCATTAATTTTAGTGGATTTTTTAAATAAATGAATAGACGATAGTTGAATTTCATGGGAAAAATCCACATGAAAGACAAAAAGTAAATGACATTATCACTGCATAACTCAAAATACAGAGTAAATTTGAGGATTCATTCATTTCTAACAATGAGATTGGAAGAAAATAGATAAATTTACCTTTTAACTTCATCTGCACTTTGAGCTATAAAAAAACCTTGAGTAGTACTTTGAATTCGATGATTGCCTTTTGGATTGATAACTATAGTTGCTCCTCCATCTAAGATGATCCCATGGATAAAAGATGATTAAGTACAGGTATTTTGATAAAATAATTTTTAAGTATTGCATTACCTTCACTTCCAACTTCGATAGCAAGAAGAAGCAGTTTCAGTTTGATAAAACACAATTCTGAAGCTTGAGCAAAAGTCATTCCAATAAAAGAAGCGCTCAAATTTTCGGTATACATTTCCATTCCAGTACCACATTGATAATAGTTTTGCCATGAAGGCATATCAGGAGACTATTGAAATAATGGAAAAAGATGAAGTAGCTGCACAAAAACACTAATCAATATTCAACTTACTGTTTTGTATGATCTCATGGCAAACAAATTAGCCATCATGGTACTGAACCCAGGCGCTAGACAAGACTGTGCTATAAAGCCTAAAAGCAAAGAAATTAAAAAGTGTATTAGCTCAATAGTCTGAATAATATAATAGTAAAAAACAAGTCTTACCTAATTTCAATTCACTAACACAGATAACATCATCACCTCTCCTCCAGTTCCAAGAGGGGATATTCAACAGATAGGCTTTATTGTGATATTGCATTAATTGAATAATAACCTAAGAATTGAAAAAAATAATTAAACATTGTGCCTGCAATAATAATCTCGTGGATGCAATCAACAACTAATAATTACCCTAATATCATCACTATAATTTTTAATTGAAATAACTCTCATAATATTAGCAGCATCTTCAGCGTCTGGATCTTGGCAATATTTATTAGCTAAAACTAAACAAGCATCAGCATCATGAACCTGTAAATATGTAAAGAAACAATCCATTAAGCTCGAAAATTGTTTGAAAGATTAAAGTTGATAATGGTTTAGATGTACCTTGACACGCTGCAAGTCAATTGGATTCATAACCGAGCCTTGAAAAAATTCAACAGTTGTAAAATGTCTTTTAATTAGACCTAAGAAAAAAGGACAGAAAGAAAAACAATGAGAATTAAGATTTTGTTTTCAGTTTAAGTCGCCTAAAGATTAGACATAGTGATTGTTAGTTTTGTGATGTAATGGTTGGTTTTAATGGTGGTGAATCTATTGTTAAGAAAGATTAAAACTGACAAAATCGGCGATTGAACAAAAAAAAGAACTATAATCATGCTTTACCTTCTAACTCCAGGTCTGGAGGCTTACGATGAAGAAATACAACTTCAACGTCAACATCTTCTCTATCTTCATGAAGAAAATCTTTGAGAAAATGGCTGACACTTTCATATGTGATGTGTCCACAGACGACAATATGTCTAAAAGAGGGAAAACAAGATGATACAAAAAAGAAACAATTTGTTAAAACGATCACATATCGAACAATGTTAGCTTTAAAATGTTAAGAATAAAATGTGGGGAAAATTGGATAATATCAAGAGTGGAAATGAAGGTTAGATAAGGAATCCTTTGGAATTGGTTTAAGGGAAAAAATGAAATGTACAAACATGTGAAATCGTGTTGAGATTTAAGGGAAAATAGCGAGAAAGGATTGTCACTGTAATATCTGTTGACCTCATTTTAGGTGATCTGATGAACAAGGTTATAATAATAATGATGATGGTAATAATAATGCAAAAATAAATGATGGATAAACTGACGAAGGAGATTAATTAGAAGCAAACAACATACACTTAAAATTAATCTTAAACTTATTACGCAGTTTTACCGGTTAAACCCAAAAAGGGGGAAAGGTTAGGCATTAATTTGACCAATTAGAAAGGGTTCATTTTTTAATCGCGGGTAATTCAATTTTCAGTCTCAATTGATACAAAATGTGATTTAACAACCTTATTACCGTGAAAACAAGCAATTTAAATTAAATAAATTTCCAAACAAAATAGCGATTGAAAATATTCTGAAAAATGAATTGAAATAATGATGGAAAGAAAATCAAAATTTTAAATTGTAAAACTAAAGGATTGAAACTGTAATTGAAAGGGCAACTCATAGTTTTATAATATTCAACAATTAATAAATTAGATGAATGTAAAGGTTGAAAATTAATGGCAAAAATATAATTGAAATTATTGAAACAAAACAGTTACTGAAAATTAACATGAAGAAATGCTAAAGCAATTTAGACAAATATTAAGCTACTTCTGATGATGATTACATATATCTACTCCAAGGTAAGATGATAAATAATGATAATAATATGATGATAAAAAAATACGATGATAATGATTATTGGAGTCACACTAGTAAACATTCAATTAAAATAATTACACTTATATATCAAGGTAAAGTTGACATGAAAGACAACACCCAAAGTGAAGGTAAGCTCTTTGAAACTAATGGACTTAATACAGTTATTTGTGGTCAATTAATTAGGATCAGGTTAATCAATTGGATGACAGCTTCTACGGAAGTAAAGGTAAAATTGATTGAGAATCAAAAAATGATTATAATTGTAATCAAACTAGGAACTAATAGAAAGGTAAAATATAAACAATGAAAAGTCTAGTCAAAGTGTAATAACAAGTCTAACCAGATTTGGTTGTCTTAGGTTTATTGATTAACCATTATCATTATTATTATTATTGTTAATTTGGATTGTATGTTAAGGACTGAAGGATTGGGTAAGTTGGAGGTTGATTGTTGGGTTAATTTTTCGGGTATTTTGTGAATCTCAGACCTTCTACGTTCCGATTTGAAGGTTCCTCCATACTTTGATCGGGACCCAATAAGATCAATAATTTCAGGTATACAAGACGCAAAAACAGCCTAAAGATGAACCAAGAAAAGGTTTTGTTTTACACAATTTAGATATAAACAAACGGAAATAAAAAGTCACAATGAAAATGATACAAAATTACACAAAAAAAACATAACAAAAACATAAAAGCAAAGCAAGCAAACAGAAGACAATGTAAACAACTGAAAATAAAGAAGCAAAATGAGATTGTTCATGTTGATACCTTTACAAACAAAGGTGTAAATGAGATGATAATGAAAAATAAGTGAAAATTAATGTCAACCATTTTAAACTAATAGCAATTTTTGGTAAATTAAAAATGTGTCATTTGCTTCAATAATAAATTTAATCATTTCTGATGCTAACACTGATCCAATGAAGTAGCGTCCAATTTTGTTGGAGTTAATAAGATTCACATAACCATTTTGTAAATACAATATATTATATCATAAAACGTATTAAATTAGATTAAGTTAATATGTAAGTATTAACGGTATTACAATTTACGAGTTAAAGTTGACGTTCCAATGATTAGTTAATAAAGGTTAAAAAGCTATGGACGAACAGTAAAAACTCTGATAATTGAAATGTTGTTGATCATCTTTTGATCATAAAATGACCATTAAATGGGTCAACATTATGAGAGATTTTACCACAAAAAAGATTAGATTTGTAATTGAATTAGTTAGATTATTAGAAATATATTGATTTGGCGCAAATATTAAGTTATTAAAATTAGAATTGGAAAGGAATTGAGTTTGATTAAACTGAATTTGTAACTAGAAATTTGATTAAAAATAAATAACTTTAAACATTATTTTGACTTGGATGGGTAAACATAAGGCAAAATAATATATTGAATGAACAACAGAAAGTATTGAAGGCAAGAAATATTGAAAGACTGAATTTAGGTGAAAGAAATTGAATAGAATGATCATGAAAAGATGAATTTAAACAGTTTTATAAGATTAGTGATAGAATGTAGTTTTTGCTTGTTTGGCAATTTTAAAATAAAACCCGAAAGAAGCGGGAAAATGCGCAAAATAGATGAAAATGAAAAGGTAAATAAGGTTGTTATTGTCTTGAGTGTTTTTGGCCTGAAAAATTGATCTAATTTCATCTTGTAACTTCTAGTGTTGTTGTTTGTTGAGGGTGAATAGGGTCAAGAGGAGGTTTAAGTGGTGGATTTGGTGGTTGGTTAAGCTGGTGGTTGAGGAGTGAGGCAAAGCAAAATGTTCATGTTGTGTTGTGTAGTTTTTTGGACATACTTTTTGGAAGGATTGGTGTGATAATTGCCAGCATATTTATTGGGTTGGCCCACCAGTTCAGTTATTTCAGGGATCCAAGAAGCAAATACAGCCTACAGTATGATAACAGTGTGAACAGAAAGAAGGACCGAGAATGAACATTCAACCAAACAAAAAGGGAGAAAAATAATGAAAAGTCAACTTTTTTATTTCATTTCAAACATAATTTTTGTGTAATTATTCAAATATTTCAAGTTCAATTGGAAAGATTGCCTTAAAAGAGTGAATTAAAACTGAAAACCAGGAAAATTTCATGATAAAGATAACTTGGGTTCAATGCATTGATTTGGCAAAGTCTCTCAAGAATAGCACAATTAATTGGGTTGATTTGGGTTAAAATTTGAACCTTTCTCATTTTAATCAAAAATATTGATTTAGGTAAAAGTAATTGAAATCTGAAAACTGGTTTCAACAGTAATTTGATTTTGTTCCTGGGAGTTAAAACTGGGAGTCAAGACTCAATTTACTTAAAAATTGTAATACAATGATGAGAATAAAGTGTCTATTTTCAAAGGTAAGAAGATATTTTATAAATTTCCTTATCCTTTTCAAGTTATATTGATTGTGAATTTTGCATGATATTACTGGTGTGACATCTTAGATAACAAAGAACTGAAAAATGGGTTTGAATTGGCTTATTATTCCTGTTTTATCTACAATAGTAGACATTGAACTGTCGATGGAGTTGGAGTAAGGATTGATAATAAATAAAGTAAATTGTTATTTCTAGTTTGTTTCAATGGAATTGAAATTAAACCAGAAATGAAATTTACAGTTCTAGTGATGAATTGATTGGAACAAGAGATTAAATGCTGTAAATTGATAATCAACATGAATTGTTGGATAATTGTTTAATAAAACGATTTTTACTGTTTACAAATTACACCAATTACCATAGAGACAGTAATTACAATATTTCCTGGTTATGAAAAGCGTAAATGGGTTCAACTAAATTGCAGATGGTTATTGATTGAAATAATTTAATTTCCAAGCAACCACAATAGATCAACTGTACAACTGATTAGTCTGAAAAATGGAAAACTCGGAATGAGAATGAAAATTATTGAATGGCATTTTCATCTATTTTTAATTGCTTGAAACTGATCTCATTGCTCTTAATGATACTCTGATAAAATCAAAAATAGACTCAAGTGTGTTAAACAAAAAACTTATTTACCTAAGATACATAAAAATAGCAGCTCAATGATATTATGTACATTATGTAAAAATGATGTTTAAGTGTCGATCGATACACAATTTAATGTACATTAATGTTATTTTTTTTTTAGTCTATTTGTATATTCAACAATAAACGTTGTTTAACATCAACAATCAACCAAATTAGAGTGAACCAAAAGTATTCACACGAAACATTGGCATTGTAACATTGGATAACAAAATAATTACAATTAAACTGATCAATCTAATTAATTTACAATTAGATTGATGTTTTTGTGAATTACTGGTTTGGGTTTGATTTTCTGGTTAACTTGTAACTGAGATTGAGAAGCAAATTGTAAAACTTGCAATGTTTTGTTTTTAATTGCTGACACAATTAAAGCTGTTTCAATGATCGATGTAAAATGAGCAAAAATTGCAAATAAAATAGTTAAAAGCAGCATAAAAATAACAGAAAATTAAAAGACGCAAATTAAATATTAAAGTAAATCAAAATGTAATGTTAACGAAAAATACATTGAAAAGTTGAAAAGCACAAAATGAAGCAAAATGATTTGAATAAACTCACCAAACCAACAAGGATGAATAAAACAATGAAAGCTCTACCAATCATGGTGTGACAGTAAATATCACCATATCCAACCTGGTAAAGTATAAAAGTGTGAAATTAGTAAGTCTAATGATCGATTTAAACCAATTTAAACTTACAGTGGACATGGTCACAATCAAGAAATAAACACATTCCCAGTATGAAATTGTATGCTGAGGTTTGAAGTCAAAAGGATCACCAGAATTTTCAAGCTGTAAATGAGTGAGAATTAGAATTGAATTTGATTACTGAACATTAACTTTAAAATGAATGATAAATGTCAGTGTTAACATTGATCATTGAGTGCAATTAATGGGTTTTTGGTAATCAATCTTACTAGATGAATGATTCCAGCTGCTGTTAACCAAACTGAGATGACAATTGAAATTAACTGGGCAAGTCTAATGGATGAAGATGTTTTGAGAACATTCAAGTATTGAAGAATATCTGGAATTGACATTAGTCGAAGAGCTCGAAGAAATCGAAGACCTGAAAAAAAGCGAAGAAAACAAAGGAAATGAGCAAAACTGGCAACAAATCATTGTGAAGCAAGATGAAAGCAGATGAATTGAAAGATGACTTACCAATCCAGGTACGGTCAAGATAGATGGATACAAAGGAAGGCGGAATCGTGAAATAATCGACAAAAGAGTAAAGTTCCAACATGAACCAAAGTTTATCAGAGGCAGCCACGAACTGTATCAAACATTATTGGAGAGCAGAAAAGGTTATAAGTAAAAGTGAAGGAGTTGAACAAAAGTAACGTTCAAGTGTTACTATTAATAGACAACAAAACTAGCAGACAATCAGTATTGGTATGAATGGCTTACCCTTATGAAAAAGTAAACCATGAAAAAGATATTCAAGGCTAGGTCAATCTGTTGAGTATGATTTTCACTCCAATTTTGGCATTTTTCCACATTGTCCCTGTGAGAAGAAGAAGAGCAAAAATTATCACATTTAGTTCTGGGAAATTCTGGTTTCAAATAAACACATTTTAACTCTAACTGCTCTAATGTTAGCATTGAATGTTGCTTACCCTATTCCATTACCAGGACCGGTTCTGGATTTGTTGATGAGATGAAAGGATAAAATGATTAATAAACTGTAAATTGAAACAATTTGGTTAAAACTTACCTTGAAGCATCGATGAAATAAATAATGAGCGATGCAATTGATAAAAGGAAAACTAAAACAACCTGAAAATAAAGCAAATTCAGTTGTCACATTGATCGTAATTCAACATAATTTATCAAATTAAATTGTTATTTAAAGTAAACTATTAATAGGAAATGTCAATGTTTTCATAACATCTAATAATAGAAAGCAAAACTGACTGTGAAACTGAACGTTATATTTAACGTAAAACAATTAATTTTTGTTATATTTTCATGGCACCTTCTGAATGTTTAACTTATCCACTAAACATTTCAACACCCAAATGAAAACAAAACCAAATGATAGACTTGATAATACGAAACCAAATGTTGAAATGGTTGGATAAAAACATTATAAAATGTTATCATTATCCTGATTATATCAACATCAACATCATTTAAATTGAATTAAGTCGTTGAAAGGGAGGAGAGGTTTGATAGATGAAAAATAATAGTATATTATTTTCAATGGATAATTAGAGTATAATCAGTGGATCAAGATGAAGATGGCAAAGATGATTGTAAAGTTAAATGTAAGGAGTGGTAACAATTGAAAGGCGACTGTGAAACTTACAAGGATACGTCCTGTTGCTGATTGACCGGAGATGAGTTCACCAGCCCAGTCTTTGGCTTCCGTTACCCAGCCAAGCTCTGTGGGAGACAACAATTGACATTAAAGTAAAGGTAAACCTTTCATCCCAGTTTTTTTGTGATCCTTCCGAGTTAATAACCTGTTGCCCTAGTTACATTTGAACAATAATGTTTCCATTTTGTTCATTCTTTCTCTGAATTTATCTTTTATTTTCTCCTATTTTACCCTTTTGGTGGTTAAAGTGAAATAGGAAAGGAAAAAAGATGATGATCAAGGGAAAATAGGAAAGGATGCTGATTATGAAGAGGTTGAAGATGATGGAAAGATGGAAAAGATGAGGAAGAAATAACCAAACTAGAGTCACAATTTGAGTCAGTTTGAATGCGCAAATTCATCTACAGATTGACCTTGCTTTACTCTTTACTTTCATCTCTTCATTTCACAACTCAGTTTCTGTTCCTTAGAATTTTTTTTTCTCTTCCTTCGAATTCATCTTCTTCTTCTTCTCGTGATTCCTTTTCATCTCTCATCTTATTTGCTTACTTCATCTTCTCTTTTCTCTTCTTACTTGTTCCATTGCCTTTTCATTTCAATTTTCAGTGAATTTTTTTCTCTTCTTCTTCATCTCTACAAAACTTCTTTGTTGAATCATGCCAAGTACATACAAAATATCAAAAAATAATACACGCACAAACACATGTATTTACACAGTAGTCGGAATGAAGAAGATGAATTAAGACGTTTTCAAGATGGATTACGAGAGTACAAAAAGATATCCTAAATTACACCTAAAAGGATAAGGTAGAGAAGGAGAAAAATTATTGGATAAACTGTAAATTGTTTTAAAATAAAATCTAAACTGTAGTTAGCAAGGTTTAGTGAGTGTTGGAAAGGCTGGAAAAAGGCAGTTCAATAACACTTTGAGATTTTACCAGTAAGGTTTCAATTCGGTGAGGATTTGTTTCCATGTAAAGATTATGGTTAAAATTGGTAAATGGAATAATCAATTTATTATTTACCTGGTTGCTGTCCATTTTGATCGGTAAACCTGGATCTATCTCCTCCTTTAGTGAATTGAGGTACATTGGCTCCTGGTGCGGCAATGGCATTGTTAGCAGGCAGTGGGGCTGGAGCTGTTGGTGGACTGATAAGAGATACCTTGGGTTTACCATTGGATTGGAGTTGTTGGGTTTGTGCAGTGGGTCCAGAACAGAGGAAGGCGAAAGCTCGAAATATTAATATTATGAAAAGTCCAGCCAAAAAGGTGAATATACTGGATAACAAGAAACACCACCATTTACGTTCAGCCAAACACTCCTCATTGGCACTACTTAAGTTTGTTGGTGTACCTGTTGAAGAAATTTAATGAAGGTAAAAAGATGAATAGAAGAAATTATTAGCTTAAATGATTTTAAATAAAGGGAAAGACGATAAAATAGTAAAGATCTTTGACAATGAGAACCATATTTTTTCTGCCATTGATATATCAACTATTATTGTCACATTCCATTGACCATTGATATTGACTATTGATTGATGTTGACAAAGCTAAGCTTAATGTTGATGATTATTGTGTTGTTGGTGATGATAATGATGGTGATATTTGTTGGAAAATCTGAGAATCCAAACAACAATGATATAACAACAGAGAAAAAAGAATAGCTTTGAAGAATGTTGACTTGATAAATTTAACGGTATAAATCAGATGAAAGTGGGAATTTTAAGAATAGTTAACTTATCTATTCAATGGATAACATGATCAAATTGAATGGATGGTTAAATGTTGAGTGAAAAAAGGAATCAAAATAAAGCTAATAAATGGTTAAAATTGTCAAAGAGTTGGAATAAGGAACGAAAGGAAGGAAAAGCATATTTACTCATTGTAACCGGTTCCATCATTGGAGGCATCTTGGTGCTTTGGTTTAATTTGATGATTTTTGATTAATTAAGGTATAAAATGTGAAACCAAATGATGATTTATAATGACGGAATGAAAAGATGTTGATCAACAATTAGACACAAGATTTACAATTGCCGTTAAAACTAACAAACATGATTGGTGAGAAGCAAAAAAACAAGGTTCACAAATTTTCTTTTACAACAATTAATGCTGATAATGGTGGTGTCCATGATTTAAATTATGAATATATTTGATGGTTAAACCGTTGGTTAAATTAATAGAGATTAAACTATTGATTTAATGGGCACAAAATTGATTTACCATAAAACTGGTTAATCAATGGTTTTGTACCCTTTTTACGTTTCGTAATGTTGTCAACTTGTAAACAAGGAACCCAAGAAAAGGGGAAAATATATTAATAATAAAATGGCCATTGAAGAATCACATATTGACGGTTTTAATGGAGTAAATTAAATGTTGAATTGATGTAAAAAAAGCTGGGAATCACAATAGATAATGTTAATTGTTGTATCTTCGCAAATAGCAAAGCTTTCATCAATTGATTACAGTAAATTGTAATCAACTTATAGCTGTAAGTTGAACACATTACGTTAGATAAAATGGATTCCTTGAGGTAACTCCAAGTGATTGATGCAATAGATTCATGTTGATTTACAAATAATTATAACAATTGTATTAATAATAATAATAATCTGTATAATATATATTTATGTACATAATAATAAAAAGAGGGAAGAAGAAAAAAAACGGATGAGAAAAGAAGGCGAAAGTGGATTTAATGTTGAGATTTTTTCAGGGAGAAGAGGAAGAAGCTTCTGAGGAATGGAGCATGTTCAAGATTCCCAAATTTACATCAATTTGGATCATGCTTGAGATGATCAACTTTCAACTGAGGAACCACTTTTGGGTGGAGAAAGAAACAGCCAAAATCTGTGAAACAGAAACAACCAAAATCGATTCGTATTTGCAGCAAAGGTTAAACCTTGCATTACCAATTCACTTTTTGCCCAACATCGTTTTCATTGTACTCTTCCTTTGGCTCTACCTCTCATTATCATTATAATCATGGTAAATCATCATAATCGTTATAATCACTATAATCGTCTTTTTATTATCATTATTGGTTTCCATGTTTGTCTACACAATCCTGTTGATTAACAGTTTTTAATTGCAAATTGTTTTCTCAACATTTCATGTTTACTCTTTGAACCTTGTTTTCATTTCTTGGTTCAATTTTTCAAGATAATTCAGGATTTAATTTTGATTTTATTGAAAAGGTTGAAGATGATATTCAATTAGATTGTTACAGATGTTGAATTTTATTAAAATATTTACAATTGAATCTAATTGTTATATTTTTTGGGTTTCTATTGATATTGTTACATTTCTGGCTTCATCTTTGCATTGAATTTCTGGTTATTCATTTGATCATATTCATGTTTTATCAAGCAGTTTACATGAAATTGGATTGAAAATGTTGAGTACGATGAAATAATTAATTCACTTTGATTTAAACATTTCATTTAACTTCATTCGAATAAACGTTTAATTGAATGTATCAACATTAGTTAAATGTCAATAGCAAGTCAATGGAAAAGGATAATTTGATTAAATGCACACTCATGGAGTTGGATTGAAACAAAAATTAACAATTTTCAATTAATTGCTCATTGACTTTAGCATAAAAATAGCAATTTTAATTTTGTTTCGACCTTTTACATTCAAGGGATTTCATTTAACATTTAAGGTTCATTAGCAGCAAAAAGCTGATCAATTTCGTTGCGATTTTTTTCAACTTTAAACCCAAAATGTTCAGATAAACTTTACAAATTGCCATTTATGTTAACTTGTAATTAATATTTAATGGTCAGCTGTTTTATGTTCAGTTCAAAGTTATCGTTATTTACGTCAATCAACATGAATTGATTGATATTTTCCAATGAATCTTAAAATATTCACGCTTTCATGAACTTTTAAGATGACTTTTCAGACCAACTTCAATTTTTTTATAAAAAATTCATTTTTCATTTTTCGTCAAAGCTGTTTAAAAATTGATTCGAGCAACGATTAACACCTTTTCAGATTCGCTATTGAATTACCATCGAAATCATTTAGATTATTGAATCTTCCATAATGATAGTGATTTAGGATAATAAAACATTTCTTTTGACTTGTAATTTCTAAAATTCTCATACCATTTCATCAAATTACCAGAAATGCTGAATTTTTATTGTCCCTTGAAATTCCGAACAATCAGTTTTTTAGCTTTTTCTTTGGTCAACCAAATTCAAAACCCTAAATAACCATTATTTAGAGAAGATAAGATAAAGGGTTTAACCAAGATAAAGTAAAAAGAATTTTCAACTCGACGAAATTGTAAAACTTCGTAAACATTGTAAATCGTCAGATTAATAACAATGAAGAAAACAATAATATTTTAAGAGTTGAATGTGCACATCTTGAATCTATTTCAATTTCATGCAAAATCAAGTCAAAATAAGAATCAGCATCAAAAACAATTGAAATGGTGGCATTCTGATTGATAAAAGCTTTTCACTTAACAATGAATGTTATTTGAAAAAACCGGTTCTTTGTGACCAGCGACCTCTTCTTGTTTATTGGATAACCTCAATCGGAATTAACAGTAACTGGTTACTTTATCGGTTAATCTTTTCCCGCTACTTTTGGAAACTGTTTCTTCTGGTGGCGCCGACTATTGGAAGATTAGTTAAATAGGAAAAGTTTATATTCTTTTTGAATTTGCCTCCAAAAGTAGAAAAATGTTACTGATTATAGTAACCAGGATTGGTTACTCATGTTTTCCCCTCCAGTTATGTAATCGGTTTCTGACAGGCAACTCAGGATAAGCCATTCGAGAATCTTTCCTGCTCTTTTGGTTGCTCTTTCACTGAATAAGACTGAATATTGTAGTAGGTTTCATCGATAAAAGGTGTCTCTATACTGTTTCGTCTGGCTGTAAAAATTTTTTCATTTTATCATAGTAAGTGAATGATTTATTATTTGTGCAAGAGTAAACATCAAAAATTTCTCTCTCCAATCTTCTCCTTGTTTTGACCCTTTTTATACTGTGCAAACGGGGATTTTTGGTCCACGTTACACCGGATATTATCTTTGAAATTGTTAATTTAATAAACTGTTTCAACTTATTTGACTTGACACAATGAGTTGGGGAGTTGAATTATGGGTAAGTCCAATACTAGTAACCAAGGCAGAAAGAGAAAACCTCTCCTTGTCTCTCTATTCAAATTCATTACATTTTTTTCCCTTCAGGATCAATATGAAAATATAAGTTGCCATACACATAAAGGTATTGAATTTTTGGATAAATTTGGATCTTTTGTGAAGGAAAGATGTGCAATTGAAACGGAATATGCATCTAAATTACGAAGACTTGTAAAAAATCATCAATTCAAGAAAAAAGATGAAGAAGACCAACAGTGAGTCATTTTTGTTGACAACATTCTAATTGATCTCTCTCTCTCCCTCTTTACATTTCCCTTTAGTCCTGTAACTTGTATCAATCATTATCTTACCTTTTTTTCTATCCCTTTTTCTCTCTCCCTCCACTTTCTATATTTTTTTATTACTACAGATTCACCTATTTAAAAGCATTCATGATGATGCTACAGGAAATCACGGATCTTGCAGGCCAACATGAAGTAATCGCTGAAAACATGATGGGTGTTATAGTTAAACAAATAGCCATATTGGTCAAAGAAATGAAAGAAGAACGTAAACGAATACTAAATGAGGGGCAAAAACATCAGACAACGTTAGGCGGATCTTTAGCGCAATTGGATAAGGCCAAAAAATCATATGAAAAAGCGTTCAAAGAAGCAGAAAAGGCCCAAGAAAATTTTTTAAGGGTTGATGCCGATTTAAATCTTAGCCGAGCCGAGGTTGAGAAAGCAAAGCTCAGTTCAACAGCCAAAAGTCAAATGTGTGAAGAATCTAAAACTGAATATGCCAAATACCTTCAACTTGCAAATGAACATCAAAGGTTACACTTTAATGAACTTTTACCCATGGTTTTTCAAAGGTTTCAAGCCATGGAAGAACGACGTATAGCGTGTTTAAAAGACTTCATCAGAGAAACTGCTGTGATACAGCAAAAAGTTACACCAATAATTAATAAGTGTTTAGAGGGTATCATAAATGCCTCTGAGACCATCGATGCTCGTGTAGACTGTGTTTTAGTGATAGAACGTTACAAATCCGGAATGGAACCACCAGAGGACATACCATTTGAAGATCTGAATAATCCAAGACCGTTAAGTGACAATATTTCTAATCACTCATCGCATTATCATAATATAAGCTTGAGACCTGAAACAATAAGGCATGGTAAAGACACTCTCAATCTTAAAATAAGAAAAAGAGTTGGTCTTTTTAATCTTTTTGGTTCAAATAAGGTATTCATTCTTATTCTATTTTATTTTAATTTCAAACTTATTTCTATTCCAAATTCATAGCTGAAACAACTTTAATCTATTCTCAAAATCGTCGAACTTCATCTCTTTAAATGTTTTCCAAGTCATTTGTCTCACCTCTCAACTTCTATTTTTTTAATTCTTCTTACTCTAATTTATCTGTTCGATGCTCTCAAAATATCTCAATGGTTTCTATTTTCTTCTCTTTCTTTCTTCTCATGTCTTCTCCAATTTTATCCGTAATACATATTTTGTGTAAGTTTCTGTCTTCAATTTAGTCACAATTTACCTTCTGCAAAATGCTTAGCTTTCTCACTTTCAATTCCCTTATCATCTTGATTCACTTATGCACTCTTCAAATCTTCCTTGAATTTTCTTTATGCTCATCTTATCATCAAAATCATCTTTTTGTATTTTACCTTTATTCTTTTCGGTTTTCACTTACCTTTTTATCTATCGCTAGCATGAAACACATTTATACGCTTTTCAGTTTAAACAGCCCATACACTTGTACATACACCTTACTAATTTATTTGCAAAGCTAAATCAAAATTCTCATCTCATCTTTTTTTCTTTAAAATTTTTCCTTTTCCAAACCAATGAAAATGTCAAATCCACATGACAGACATCCAATGACGATTTAAAGGATGACTACGCTGAGTTACCTCCAGTTCAAAGGCGGAAGCGGTTACAAGAAAAAATCGATTCGATCAAGTCTCAAATTGTCCAAGAAACAAATGTTAGGTTAGTATTAAATGAAACCTACAAAATTTCATTTGCCACAATCAACATCTTCATCTTCCTACCCTAAATCTCGAAGCATTTCCTTTGTTCAAAATGAAATTAGTAACAAATTTTATTGGATCAGACCTTTTTGTTTTCCTCAATTTTAACCATTTACTTCATTTTCTTTGATAAAAAGAAGATATATCAATAGCTTAATGAGCCTACAACATAAGTACAATCAAGTAATCACTGAAGCAAACCGAGTAAACACAACTCTCATCATATCTCACTACCTACCGGCCTGTTGAATGGTCTTCTACCGGCCGGTCATCATTCATCCATCCATTTCAACAGTAACAAGCAAAAAAAAAGTCAACCAACCAGTTGAATTATGGCCTTAGTTAACCAGCCACTCGATCAGCCAAGAAACGTTTCCCCACACATCGTGAATCATTTTCATCTTCATTCAATGATCACATCCATCATTTTTTTATCTTCACTATCTTGTGTTTGAGTGTTACGTGTTTTTGCTATATTTAAGTTTAAATTTGGTTATATAGCTTTTCATTATCTCAATGAACAACTCACGATGTTGACGTTGGGAATTCGTCAAAGATACAGTACAGCACCTAATTAACTTCGAATGTTTGTTGTTTGTTGTTGATTTTCACCATCGCTTCAGCAATTGTAAAAGAGGAGTTATTTAACCAGGAGTTTGCGTAACTGATATGCTAACTTGATGTTTTCATCAACTTTTTTCAACCATCCTGACCCTTAGTCATACCGCCACGCCCAAAAAACCAGTTTTTTTCCAGTTTTTATTCAGACGATTACTTTGTTTCTACGCACCCGATTTTCGTTACTCGAAGTCTTTCGTAATTGTCACATGAAATACATTTCATGTTTAAAGTTCAATTGCAATGGTATCGCAAATTTTTCTGTTAATAGATTTTAAAGTGATTTCATGAAACCCATGTTTCCTAAAAATGCCATTCAATTTTCAATGTTTCATCTTCTCTGTGATTACTCTTATTTAACAAGATATTGGAACTAGTCAGATCTTTTTTTCCGGATTTTCCTGTTCCTATTGATGAATCCGTTAAGACTTTTCTTCTTGTATTAGATTCGCACTTCTGACAATTTTAACCTCTCAAACATTCCAGGTTAATGAAAATATATTCATTGTGACTTTTTGATTCTTATTTTAGACGATTGAATTATATCATAATTTACAATCATTACTGCTTAATCACTACTAAAACCTTTCCAATTGTATTTAACCAGGTATCTTTACCCTTTTAAGCAAATTGAGACATTCATTTACATAACATCTTACCTTTTCATCTTCTTTTCTTCTTCTTTTCCCTTTTTTGTTCTCTTCATCTGTTTATCTCTGTATATCATTCCAGGCCATCAGGTTACCGCACTCGGTTTCCTGAACTGAACCCAACACGAGATGCATATTTATCTGATAATTTTTCTTGCTACTCTATTATTTACCATCTCCCCTCATTATTCAAATCAGATAGACTTCTATTTTCGTTATCCGTTATCCGCTATCTTCTTATCTTCTCCCTTTTCATTTTTTACTTCATTCTTACAGTCTAACCATTTCTCATTTCAATTTTCAGAAGTTAAACAAACTGTTTGATCAAACTCTTGAAATTGTTCCTTCTTAATCATGTCAAAATCCATGATAATTAACCCTACCTCATCTGTCAATATCCATTTCATTATCACTTTCAAAATTTTACCTCTCCACAGTCTCAATCTAATGGTTCTAAATTCAGTGATAAGCAAAACAAACTCACATTATATTTAGACTCATTTCTCGCAAGGATAAGCGTCCTTGACACTGTCATTATCATCCCTTTCCCAATCCCATGAATAACCAGAATCTGTCCTAAAAACCCAACTCCACCCATTTACAGTTACAATATTTTGCACGCTAGACTCGTCTTGTCCATTTACAAATGGATCCCTTACAGTTACTCTAATTACAAATTTATAGCCATTGCTATTGTTATTCATGGTAATAATTACACTTCATCTTTCCCTTTATTTACCCTCACCATGAATTTCATGGTTGTAAAAAATTCACCAACTAATTCAATTCACAAACACAAACAATTGTCAAAGCCAAACCAGCATATAACTGCCAGTGTTAGTCTAGTGATTCATTTACACAAAAAAATGGTAATACTTGAAAAATCATGCCAAGGAAACAACAACAATTACTAAATCCAACAAGTAGAGTGAAAAAAAGATGATTACATTCAATGAGAGTGTTTAACTGTCTAATGTTAGTTCCTAGAGAAAGTGTTGAATCTTTTGGTGAACAAAAAAAACAACTATAAATACTTTATTACTCAGAAAGCTTAGAAATTGTTAAACTTCTGAAAATGATATCTTTTCAGAAGATTGCCTTCAATCAGGTTATTGATGATCACAGGAATTTAAGTTGTAATGTTGAACCCCTTTTTTTACTTCTTTCATCTTGTTCTTGTTCTTCTTCTTCCTTGACCTTTACCTTAAATTTGTAACTCATCATCAGTATCATGATGCTTAATGAATTCGCCATCATTGACCCCGTAGCTTGATGTGAGAAACAAATGACTATTTGATGGCATTCGTTCGCGTAAAATGGTTTGTTCAACATTTCATATCAACATTACCTGCCTCGATGACTGTTGGTGTTTCCCATCATTTTCAATTCAAATTATCTTCTTTTTCATTTCTGTTGTTCAAATTTTCACCTCTCAGGTCATTTTTTCTCACTCAAACCTATCTTTTTCATTTCACTTATCACCATTCAATTGAAATGAACAATATACAGCAATTAATTCTATTCTTCAATCCTTTTCTATTGAGATTATTAATCGTTTTACTTTCTCTCAATTAGCGTGATCAAATTAGTCTAATTATTAAACATTGTTTCAAAACAATCTTCACAGATAAGTCACAATTGTTCAATCTTGATTTGCTCTAATTTTCTTACATTTGATCAGCTGCAGGTCAAAGACGGTAATTGAAATAATTAACTTCATCTTTGTAGTTACAACCATTTTGTTTCATCGTTTAGTTTCAATTTTCACACCTTTCCATCTCTTTAACATGATTCAAGTCATTAAACTTGCATGAATCACTAAATATTTCATTGTTAAAAGCCGAGTTTAGTTGAACATTTTCATCCTCTTTTTCAGCTAAATTAATTGATGTTCACTATTTTCTTGTATTTTCATTTTTCCTTCCGCTTCTCCTTTCCCGTTAACTTTCATATAAATTTCAATTTGGTGTTGAGCTTTGATTATTATCTTAGTAACTAAATTTTGATTCAAAATTTCAACGACTAGTTTAATGCAATAACAATTTTGAAATGAAAAAGCAATTGTACAAATTTGACTCCAACAATCAAAGGTTTACTTTTTGCCTCACGTCTAATTTAATAGACAAAAATTACTAAATTTTGTTTCTAATTGAGATTTAGTTAAAGTTATAAGGCGAGAAAATTATAACAATATTATCCGTTAATGTAATTAATGCTAATGAAGATGATGATGATATTATCAAGCGGACAAGATATTTGCTTGAAGCATATTTTAAGGGTAAACATTATTTTGAAACCTGTTAATTATTTTTAATGTTTTCAAGTAACGCCATTGACCCGTTTGATTTTGTTTTGTTGCTGACTATTGCAGATGATAGTGATGATGATGCTAATAGGAAAGAAATGATCTTCACTTGTTATCTTTTTTATTTGATTACTATTGGCCCCATTGATTGGCCTCAATGAAGATACCTCATCTATTTTAATTGAACGACTCCCAATATTTCTTTACTCAATTAATTCTGGTCCTAATTATTTCATCCTTGATTACACTAAATTGTAACTCATTGAATTGTTTAAATTGTTGTTTACATGTGATTTCTCAGTTTTGCTTCACTCGATTACTTGATTGTTATTACCTAATTATCCGAGTCTCTTTTCTTGCAATTTACCTAGATTTGATTAAACATTGATTGAACTTTACCATTAATTTATTATATTGTAATTGATTCTAATATTTACCTTTTCTCTTTTTTATTTATTGACTTCTTTATTCTCACCAAATGTTGGCCTTTAGGGATGGTTTGATGAAAATGAAACATGTTTATGAACAAAATCACAATTTCGGTGATGCTACCACATTGGAGGATAAGCTGGCCGAAAGTAGTCAAAAAATGGATAAACTGCAAAATGAATTAAGAAAATTTGAAGGTTATTTGAGTGAATTTAATAATGGAACCAGCAGGATGGCGGAAAGGTCACCTTCAAATGCCCGTAAATCTAAAGCCAGTAGTATATCAGAAGATTCATTGTCAAGAAGTGCATCTGATTCGAGTGTTAGTCAAAAACAGGAGATTTCACCAATCCATGAAAATAACTCTATCAACACATCCACGACGACGACAAATAGTAATAACAGGGACACATTGAATTCAACTCGCTCAAGTAACAACACAACAGCACCTCCATCAGCAACATCCTACTATAATAATCATGAATCTAATAATAAAGAGAACATAATTGACACTTACGAAGCCATTGATAGTTCCCTTTCAGACAAAAATGACACATCTGATAGTGCTAATAATGACCATCATATTGCTCAATATGATGAAACTGTTTCCTCAAATGGGTAAGCATTAAAAAAAACAATGTCTATCATTTTCATGGCACTATCAGTCAATCAATTTAATTATTCCTAAAAAAGTGTTCATTCACTTTTTCAATGAAATTTTTCAATATCTTTACTGATTCTATCTCAAGCTTCATATTAATCGTGTTTACTCTTTTTTTACAGACCGAGTGAAGAGATTGATGGAAACAGCTATAATTATCCAGCAGCTGAATACATCGACGAAGGAGATGATGAATTCGAACCTGCTTTACTTCCTCCCATCGGCAGAGCTCAAGCTCTCTATGGTTTCGAAGGTAAAGACAATTTTTCGGATGTCAAAGGGAATCAATTTTTATCCTCTAAAGTAAAAAATTGATTATCTAGAAACTTACATCTTATTACTGTTTATCAGTGAAAGTTGTGACTATAAAACTTAAATAATCAGTATGAGAATATGTTTTTAAATGTTCGTAATCAATTTTTATACTTATGTTTCTGATTCACCCTTTTTTACATCCTATTGCTTGGATTATTTTTCCGGTTTCAGTTGTAAATGCGTCATTTCACTTTGATAGCAGACTATTAGTAATAACATCATTTTGCTTTTTCTATTTTCTGCTCTAATTGTTTTACAGCTCAGAGTGAAGGATCCATTCCTATGGGCGAAGGTGAAATATTTGAAGTAGTTGAGCTTGATCAAGGAGATGGCTGGACTCGGGTTCGTCGGATTAACGATCAAGAAGAAGGTTTTGTTCCTACATCTTACCTGAAATGTGATCTTTATAATTGATGATTATTTGTGAAAGATAATCTCAAGAGCAAAGTGAATGACTAAATAATTTTATTTTCAAATAGATTTCAAAAAATAAATTGTAGTTTATTTGTTCTCACTTGTGCTCATCAACATTTCCTAATCACATTATCCTCTATCTTCATTATTATTTTTCCTCTTCTTCTTCCTCTTTCTTCCTCCATCTTTTAACACATTTTATTTCTCATCAATTGTCTCAAAATTGATTCTGTTAAAAAAATCTAAAATGCTATTTTCTTCTTCAAGAGAACAAAAATTTTCTGCGGACAAAACTGTAATTTATGCTGTAATTTATGCCAATAGTATACAATTAATTTGAAAACATGTATTTTGACTAATTCAATGCTCCATTATTTGTTTCATTCATTTTCTTTCTCTCTCTCTCTCCAAAAAGCGACCTTTTAAAATTACCTGTTTATTTACCAACCAAAGACCACAGAATGACCTTACATATTTTCACATTTATTGGCTACATAAATCACCAGATGTTAGGAAATGACTAAATACATCTAGAAATAAATACAAGACGTAGTTTCTTCATTGGTTAACATTGACTGGCGATGACGTTTAGTTTTAAACATGAATTTACTTACTGTATCTGGTTACAACCACTGATGATTCCGTGTTCATAAATACAAGAAAAGATGGGCTGTTTAGTTGCCCTTTTGCTGCATACCAGTAACCTTGATTGTTTCACCGCTAGTTTATCGCAACCGGTTATTTTGTGGTCTCAAAAATTTTCACCGCCAAATTTGGAAAGCAAAATTGATACATTCAACAAACCTGATAAGGCAGTTAAATGTCAGAGAAACTATTCAGCTTCAGTAGTTAACGTGTTTGCTTCTAAAAATTTTAATTGCTAGAAATATTAACGAACAACTGAATAGGAAATTTTCGATGTTAATTTAAAATTTCGAGACAAATTTTAATCACTTTTCAATAATATTTTGTTGGAACTAATAATTACCTTCTTCCAAACTATCTGATTGTGTACAAGGAAAACCAATGTTAGAAGTAATGGAATTTATGGGGATAAAATGAATTTAATAATTGCTCACAATAATGGATAAAATGCAAATTATTTAATATGAATGAGGAACCTTAAATATACAATTTGATGAGAGTAAAAAGGGTATTGAGTGCCCAAAGCTATAAAAATATGTTTTGATATTAATTTTAATATCGAATGTAATTTGTTTTTATTGTTCAGAATCAAGCATTGGATTATCCACAAGCTGCTGGACAATGTTCACAAGCACAGGCAGGCTGACCATTAGCAGATTCAGAGCAAGCTGTTGCTGGCAATTTGGTGACTTGGAAAGTTTCATCATACAACTTATGACTATCTGCCGTGTCCAGGACATAATCAATTTGATATGGTGAATGCCCAATGTGACCATAATCGGATCCCAGATATTTCATTAATCGCTCTGGTGTACATTTATCTGCTCCCCAAGGCTTACAGAAAACATCTATAACTCTTTCATTAAAGCGAGTTATATTCTTGCATGAATCGTAAAATCCTGTCGCAAAGGATGAATGTAAGAAGACATCAACCTCCAGAACTTCCTCTTTGCCATCCTCTGATGTTTGTTTTCTCAATATTTTCATGAAATCGCTTTGACTTGGTGAACAAGTAAGGTGACATAAAAGCTTCTGGTAGTTGGCGAAACACGAAGGACAAGCTTTCAAGAAAAGTCCAAACAACTCGGTGTGACTTTTCAGATCTTCAATTTGCTCAGGAGTACAGCACAAAGATGCTTCACCAGCAAGATGGGGACATATTTCCTTGAGTGTTGAACGTGCAGCTTCATCAGACAAAGCTTGTGGAGGACCTGAATGGACACAGGGAATGTGTCCAAAAGCTGCTTGATCGCACATACCCATCATTATACATTGTGAAGACTAGTTTAGGATGGAAAGACAGAAAAGAGAGAAAAATATCCAAAATAATGTTAAAGATCAATAATTAAATATGGATTGAGTTATTGGAAACAATTTACCTTTACTGGGAGACTCCGGAGACTGACTAGTCCAATCAAGATGAACACTTTAATCCAAATGTTTCCCATTATCGCATCATCATATGTTGTCTCACCTTCAAAGAGAATTAGAAAAGATTGTTTTATCGTCTTCTTTGTGATGAACGATGATGCTGATGGTGGCAAACAATCAAGTATTTCAAAATATTTGATGTCTGTTTATAAATCAACGGACTAAGCTCACTTTTTTCATAAATATCGACTCATTTTAGCTCCTTCTTAATTTATTTATTTATCTCTTTTCAATTGTGTTTGCATTTACAATTTACCATAATTAGATGCTTGTTTCATCTTAATCAATGAGTAGCAAACCATGACAAGTATTGACAATTGTTCAAGCACATAGTAAATTTATTTGCAAGGATCATTGAACACGCAATCGACTCATTAGTTAATCATTTCAAGGACTTGGACAATCTTAGGGCCATTGTGTCTGCAAAATCATTAAACTTTCATTATTTTTTTTCACTGATTGTAATAAGAATGATTTTTCTTATTACAATCAATGCAAAATCTCTCCAATACATGACGAAAATGATTAAACCATCAATCATTATCTAGTTCTGTTAGTTATCCTCGCAAGAATCAATTCGAGTCTTGAGCTTAAATTACCATGCAAAATCATCTTTCACTAATTTATCATTTAAAGTAGTTTGCATTATCTTTATGTCTTTCATCATTCGTTCAATGATTCAGTGTTAATTTAACTCTTCTCTTCAACAGATAATTTCATAGATTTTCTCGACAATCAAACCAATCTTCGCTGAAATCAAATATGTTGCTGAATTGCATTCTTTCTGGTTTATTCATTATTTTTCTTACATTTCACAAAGTTGGCTCAGAATCGACTCCATTTCAATTTTTTGATATTTAATCCAATTGTGATATGAAAATCATCTCTTTAAATCTAAGTTATCTAAATTCAAACTAGCTGATTCGCATTTACCCTCTCTAATCTAAACAACATTATCACTGTAAAATTTGCATTGAATTCACACTGATGATTTTTATGGATTACAAGAGTAGACAAAACAAACAAAATGTATCGAGATGATCGCTGTCGAAGCAACTAGGGTTGACTGGATTAAGCATTAATAGATGGCTGCACCTTTTGAATGTATGTCCTTTGCCTCTTTAATATTAAATCTCTGCAAGGTGTGTGTTGACATTATTTTCAATCATTTTTCCTAATTTATTTTGAGTTAATTGTAATTTTTTGGTCTTTATTAGTATTATTTTCACTAGTTTGTCTCCGTTTAGAGCCATCTAGTTTTATCTTGTTACTTGAAATGGATAACTAGCGAGCAACTGTATAATAAGGTGAGTATCTAATTTGCTCTTTTATGAACCTTTTATCGAATATGTGTGATTAGATACTTTTTATTAGCTAAACTTTTGATTGTACAAAACCTTTTACTAATCATTTTATTTCTGCAATTAACCTTGCTGGTTGATAATTTTTATCTGACTTGAAAAATAGATAAACACCAATTATATTTAATCACACTGAAAATTCGAAGTGTACTTCGCTTTATTCATTCATATGCTGTTTCTAATTTTAGGTTAGTTTTTTTTCACCACCCGTTTTTGGATTAATTAGATCAGTATGGCTGATCAAATGGATGGAAGGACAAATGATTACGAGAAAACTTTCGCTTCTTATGACAAAGATGGTGATGGAACAATTAGTTACAATGAATTTGGTGCAGTTATGAAAGGCTTAGGTAAAAACCTATGTAAGTAACCTCTCTGCTATCACTCTACACTAAGCAATAAATTTCTTTAATCTGAATATGAATTAATCATGTTCTAATAAATTCTTGGATATAATATTCTGTTTTTAACAACTTGTCCATTGCATGTTCACTTGAAGATGTTAAATTCTTGATTATGCCCAAAAATACTAAATTTTTGATAAAGATATTTTTAAGTGCAGTAAGCAAAATAATTCATCATCTTCGATGAATTATCAAGTAAGCAACTCATTTCCTGAAAAATGAACTACTGTTTATAGACATAAAAGTATTTGTTTTGATTATAAATTTTCCTAGCTATAGTTAGAATGGTTCATTCCATGCCTCATCAATCAAGGGATTTTCAGTAAATTGTTACACCATCAAGCACTTTTTGTGTCTTTTCTTAAACCATTTTTGCAGTTTCTCAAATTGATTTATTTACATTGAAATATTTTCCCTTTTTTCTTGCAGTATTTAAAAGCTTCTCTGACCGGAACAATTTGGATAGGCAAGATCGATCAGTTCCTATTTATCTCAATTCAATGGTCGTGATCTCAGTATCGATTGCTGTAATCTTGGTGGTTATAGTTTGCGCAATTGCTTATGTATACCTTAATTTAGAAGAGAAGAAAGCAGTTCTCCAAAGAACGGGTTATTTATCTGCATCTCCATCCAAAAATTTCCAATACATTTCCACCGCCTCAACTCCTAGTCACTCTCAGCCAGTTGTATCAGAGGAAGGTTCATTAACATTGCGCTACACCGATTCATCTGATCGAGGTAAACCATTAATGTCTCATCCACCGATTCATCCTGCATCTCTTTGGGCTCAACAACAGGGTCCAATAATGGAGGAAGACTCGGATAATTATGCTTATGATTCACTGCCCTACAATAAAAGCCAAAGAGATAAGAAAGTCTCGAGCTTTGCCAACTCTCCACCTCAACCACCTCGTAATACTCCAGGTATTCTGATATCAACAAACAAAAAAACTAATCTCACTCAATCTCCATTCTCTCCTTCATCAACCAATTCTCAAAAAGGATCGTACGCTCAAAAGACCCACAACTATCCAACGGCATCAACTTCTTCTATTCATCAGCCATCAACATCATCAAATGTTTTTTGCGAAGCTGACGTTCACTGTGCCAATGGAGACACTCGCTCGGTTAATTTTTTTGCTTTCCAAGCGTGATATCATGTTTATATTCATTTCTAAAACGTTATCAAAACTTCAAAATCAACTTCTATTCACAATTCTTTGGTTTTCTTTTTATAATCAAAATTTATGAGAGCGAAAAAGCTTACACATTTGCATTTATGAGTGAAAAACGTTTTACACTTTCAAATAAGCCAAAATAATAAAAATGTAAAAACAATGGATTCATCTCAAAATATTAATAAATTATTAACTCTTAATATCCAGACAACATACATGTAACCAATTCTCATGTTTCATCTAATTTAAATATGAAATTTGATTGTTTCTCTGAAAAGTCAATTTCACAGCGCAAATTATGCAGAGTTTGGGTTTAATTCATAAACTATTCTTGGAATTGATTGTTGGCTGTTTATTAACTATGACTTTCTAACCTAACCATAATCGTGGTACTATGTTGATTGCTATATCGATGATAGAGGGATCAAAAATAAATCACATTTATAAGAATTAAATCGAATCAGTGGATTTTAGCTTGATGTTGCTTCTAATCAAGACTTGGATTCCATTCATAAGATTTGAAAGTAAACTAACATTTATAAGATGGATAGTCATCCGAATATACCTTTTCATTTCCATCTTTGCATGAATTAATTCATTCTGACAATTCTACTCTCATCAGCATAATTATAAACATTTTCAATGTCATTTTTATAATTAAGATCAGCATCCAAAGCGAAATTTAGATTAAGATTTAAGAAATTAAGATTTTGACTCGATATGATTGAATTATTAATAAAAAAATGATTATTCAGCAACAGAAGCTTATAAACTCATTTCATAAATTATACTCTTCATTGCAAACATAATCTTGTCAATCATTAAAAGAATCATTTCTTCGGTAAAGAAAATACAAACTAAATTAAAAATGATCGGCAATACTTTTAAACTTGATTTTGATTATTTTTTTAAATGAACGTTAATCAGTTCATTAAAGCATCTCCTGTTGTAGCGACATATGCTGTTATCTTTAGTAGCTTTTGGACATCGTTCATAATTGATTGACTCCAATTGATTTGTTTTACTTCAAATAATTAGTTGTATTAATACTAGCAATGTGTATTAGATATTTATGTACATAATAAGTTATTATTAATAACTACAATGTTAGTAAATAGAGGGAAGAAAAAGAATGAGAAAAGAAGTCGAAGTGGATTTCATGTTGAGATTTTTCAGGAAGAAGATGCTTCTGAGGAATGGAGCATGTTCAAGATTCCCAAATTTACATTTGGATCATGCCAAAGATTATCAACTAGTGACTATGGAACCACTTCTGTGTGAAGAAAGAAACAGTCGAAATATGTGAAAAAGAGAAACCAAAATCGATTTATTGATTAGAGTCGGTGTTCATTTCATATTTCAAATATGCTTTATTAAAATTTAAATGCCGATAATCATGATTAAAACTTGTATTAGAATTGATTAAGTTTTGATTTTAATCGAAGCTATTGTTTAAAAAAATGCACTTTGAAATCTAAATCAAGGATTGATTCATATTTGTCAATTTTTCTGAACTGCTTACTTTAATAGGAAACAAAATTGAAAGATGGGTTTGTTGATCAACTAAATTGTTGATTTTCTGCTTACAAAATATGGTTCATCAGTGTCAAGCGTCAAATCTCGATGATTGAAATTGAGTCAGAACTATATAATTAATTATCTTTTATTCTTATTTTTATTTATCCTGAGTTATTATTAAATTATGTCTCAAATTGATCCAAAAATAGGTGAGTGACGAAAAAGCAATTGGCAATTGTAAAGTGATTGCAAGTTGCTTTGAAAATATACAAGTTTATATCGAGCCTTTTCAAAAAGTTAATTAATTTCTCATTATATTAGAAAGTTGACCATTTCTGAGTTTATCATGCAATTCCCAAAACGTCGCAACTACTGAATCAAAATCATGATGCTTGAATATTCCATGCTTTGCTGCAAAATGTTATCTCCTAGTGTGAAAGTTGAATCCAAATCAATTTGTGGTTTAAGTTTAATTATTGAATGTTTTACATGTTTTTCGCAAAATTCAATGGCTAATTATTAACAAGCAAAGGTTAATAATAATTTAATTGACAATGTTGGGCGATCATTTGAAACAAAACAAATGGTAATCAGTGAATTGAAATGACTTTATTTTATGAATGACACATTATCATTTAAATCATTATTAACTCTTTGGTAAAGTCGATATATACAGTTGATTCATTTGAGCTTGTCATTGCTTTACAGGGTAAATTAACGCACAAGTCTACATTGGAGCTAAAAAAAGTTAGATCAACAATTAAGCTTAAAAATGGCCTTTTTAATTTCACTAATTTAAGATTTTTTTGTTACCGAATCACTTTATAACCGATGAGATTTAAATGCGTGAGACTGCTTAAAAGTAGTGACAAACTCGAAAGGTTTAACTGTATAATCACTATAATTATTAGAGGGTTACATCGAATGTTTGCGGTTTATTTGTAAGAAAAACAGTTTTTTTCATTTCGGTAGATTTTTTTGTAAGTATGAACCAAACAAAATCAAATAAATTTTTCATCCTCATCCATTATCAATATAGTGTCCAGATTAATATAAGGTGAGATTTGCTTCATTTGCAAAATAACGAACATCAGGATCCGGATCATTTACTAACTTATACAAGACAGTCTTTACGACACCTTGCAAGGTACTTTGGTCCAATATGGGTCCTATTTTTTGTAAAGTTTTCGCCACATTAAACCGCACATTTGCAACACTGTCTTCTGCTAATGACAAAACAGTTGGAAGCATAAGTTTAGTCGTTATATCGGCACCACAAATAGCAGCAAGACCATCGATACTGAATAAACATGTCATCCTGTGTAGATAATTTTGATCTTTAGACATCTGCAACACTTTGGGTATAACTGTGTTAGTAGCCCATTCAGCGCCAAACTTTTCTACTAAACTTTTCAAATTTTGTGTTGCAGCTTCTCGGATAGCGTATACTTGGTCCACTAGCCATGTCATACACAATCCATTGAGTTTTTCGTCAAAAAATTCAACTCCTAATTGACCTGCTAACAAGGGCATATAACGAATTATTGCAAGTCTAACTCTCCATTTTGAGTCCTCTGCTAATTCGACGATTGCAGGTAAAAGTGATTGACTCAGTTGCTGAATGCCGATAACTTCATTCACGCAATCAAGATTTGAGATTATATTCAATCGAACTTCTGGGCATTCATCCTTTAGTTGGATAAGAAATAATGGTAAAAGATGTTCAACAGTGTTAACTTTTCCAAAAATTGGCGAAAGACCCATAATCACTGATGCGAGGGCAGATTTAACGTGTTGATTATGGTCAGCGACCAGGTCCTTGATACAGGGTAATATGTTATTCATGATTATACTTTCTTGACTGTTAGGAGCTAAATTCATACAGAAATCTCTCACTTTCTGTGCAGCTGCAGCCCTCACTTCTGCCTCGCAGTCCTTGAGCAAATTTTGGAATGCAGGAACTAGATCTGTCTTTGTTAACTCTGGTCCAATAGCCTTTTGAAGCTCGACAAATTTATCAGCAACCATATATCGTACCCTCCAAGATTTATCTTCCGCTGCTTGTCTAAGTATTGGCATGACTTGTTGTTCGAGATCCTCTTGAGACAAAAGAGAGGCAAGAGACACGCAGGCCTCAACAGCTAACAAGCGAACAGAGTCTTGCTCATCGCTAGCAAGATGGGACCAAAGTGAAATAACCTCGGATTTTAGATATTCTGGTTCCAAAACTTTAGCAAATTCACCAAGCTTGGATGCTGCAGCTCGTCTAACCATAGGGGTATCATCTTGACACAAAGCCCGGAAGTTACTTCTGAGCTCTGCCTTGACAGGAGCTGAAACTCGTGGATAGCATACTGAGAATAAACCACATGCTGATGTTCTCGTGGTGAACCAATCACCTCCAGAAAGTCTTCTAACTAGAGGGACGAAATGATTCTCCAAGTCTTGTGGAGAGTGTTGCTGTGAGATGTTACGAAGTGAGTCTACAGCTTTTTCTCGAACAACGGTTTCTTCAACAGTAGCCAGTGACTCAAGAGGAGGAAGAAGACAGTTAACATATTCAACACCACCAACTAATGGTGTGAAATTACCTAATTGTTCAGCAAGGGCGAGTAACACTTCATCCTCGTCGTAAACTGTTTCAGTTAAAAATGGAATCAGCTCTGTTCTGGTTCGCTCAACGCCAAGGGCTAACGCTATAGTTGATAACTTCTTGATACTATTCAAACGAATCTGTAACAAGTAAAATAGATTGAAAAAAGGGTGTTAGATAAACATAAGTAATAAAAATGAGAAAAATAAACAAAATGGAGTAAAAGAAAAGGGAGAGGCTAACCTGAACATCTTCGTTCCTTAGTTCGTCTATTAGAACGGCGATTGGATAAAGAGTGTCATCTGTTGGTTCATTAGAGGCCATAATTGATGATTTAAAGAGAAAAAATTAATTGTTTAAAGATGTAATAATGTAAAGATTGTAGAAACGAGACAGGGTTTGATGTTCTATAACCATCAATCCTTTTTCACTGCTTTTTACAGTTTCGATATATCGATTCACTTTTATGGACATTTTTCAATATCGATATCAATCAAATTGTTTCAAATGAAAACATTCAAAGTAAAAACGTTTTACTAAAGCGTACCTAAAGTCGCGTAAAACTTATTGTAATTCAAACTTTCCCTTGACCGTTTATTTTACTTCAATTAGACCATTCAAAAATTTTAGTTTTTGTTAAAATATTATGTTGAATCCTAAAACAATTTTCTACTGTGAATCCATCGATAACAGTAACAAGTCATTTTATAAAGACTTTAGTCAATACACAAATGCCAGATAATATTTACAATAGCCAAACAAGACCCAAGATAACCAGAAAAGTCTTTTCATTCATTTATTTGGAGCAAAGGCTATACTAATATTGTAATCAAAGTTGAGATAGATCCAACAATTAATGACAAATTGGTAACTACTTTCGATGGAAATATCTCTTTCTAACTCTACAGTTGTAAATTACAACATCTAATCTCCGATGCCGATAAAGATAACTGAACATGAATCCAAAAATTATTAATATCTCCAAGCTCTGCTTTTAGTGCATAAATACATTTTTCTTACCGAGCTAACTTTGAATAGCTGATCATTGCTAACCAATCATTGGTTTTAAATTTAGAGTTTGATCTAGTTTCTTGATTTTATCCCCGATTCATCTATGTTTGTTAAAAATGTCCAGATGATTATGATATCATATGTGTTCCAATTGAAGCGAAAAAAGAAGGCCAAATGAATTTAATGTTGAGATTTTTCAGAGAGAAGAGGAAGAAGCTTCTGAGGAATGGAGCATGTTCAAGATTCCCAAATTTACATTTGGATCATGCTTAAGATGATCAACTAACGACTAAGGAACCACTTTTGTAAGAAGAAAGAACCAAATTTGTTGTGTCAAAACATGATACAATGTGCTTTCAAAATAAAATCTGTATACAACAAAGAGCAGAGAAATGATAGAAATTTTTTGGAATATCGTTCGGTGGCATAATTTTTATCGAAAAGTAAAACTGCTGATGAACATTGACAGACTTAACCATCAATAAGGACCAATCTTTATCATATTTCATATCTTAATCTCAAATGAAACCCAAAGATGACCAAAAACAAATTGCATTGAATTTTTTTCAATGGATAAGGATGAAGAGTCCACTAACTGAAGAATCAGAATTTACTTTTTCTTAACTCTTTTTTTCTTTACTCGTTTAGTAACTTTTCCCCGAAATTTCGAAGCCAGCGTTGTTTTCACTTTGGTTACGATTCCAGCCAAGATTCCGGTATTTTTTTCTTTCTCTTTCGTTTTCTCTTTTACTTTCTCTTTTTCTTTTTCTTTCTCTTTCTCTTTGGCTTTCATTTTCTCTTCTTCTTTGATTTTAATTCTAGTTTCCCTTTCTGTTACAATTCGGTATGGATCATACTTGAACTTGTAGCTCTGCAATACTTTGTCAATTAGACCTTTATCGCCTTCATCCACTAGCTTGGCCATTTCATCAAATTGTCTGATCTTCTCTTTGTAATCATTATATTGCAAGAATATTCCATCTCGTTTACAATATCTTTCCACAATTCTGAATGCTTGAATAAGATTAAAATTTAGTCATTAGTAACAATCAAAGGACGGTAAACAAAAAAGATTGATAAACAATATTAACCTGGTTTACGTAACAAACCACAAGTTAAACACAAAATAATGTTGTAAAGCCAAGCGCCTTTAGAGTTAAAACAGGCCACACAAGGGATACAAACATCATGTGAAAAAATCCATAAAAGCACAAGAAAGATGAAAAATACTAGACCAATGATTAGACATTGAAGTACGATTGTATGGAGAAAGTTGTCGACGAAATCAGACAAAAATTTCAGGGTATCATCTTGTACTTCACTAATATCATAATACTGTAAGAAAACAAGGAAAATTATTGTATAATTTTTCTTTCAACAAATCTCATTATTTGATTACATTGAAATACTCATCGCCATTCTCATCAGTTTTTAGCACCATTTTGTGGACTGTAATCAGTGTCTCGTAACAATATCGGTTCCAGCGGGCTTTCAAATCCTCTCTCGTTTAATATTCGTAATCTCTCTTAAAATCCTTTCAATTGTCTGCATCTTTGCTTGATATTTTAATTTCATACTCATTCGTTATTTTAGAGTAATGTTATAACAATCCATTTCAAGTTAGCAAGGACATTGAATGGTGAATACAACCTTCGGGATAAGAGTCAAACTCGATCGAACTGTAAGTGTGGAAATTTTTAGCAAAAATTGATATTTTCATTGTAAATCTAAAGTTGGTTTATACTCCTTCACTGAGCGTGGGATTTCATCTCTAATTAAACCAAACCTGACTTTGTTGTCGATGGTCGAGAAAATAGGACACATGAAGGAAATCATAATCGCCTTCATGAAATTTAAAGACGTGAAGAATGTGTTTAAGAATACAAAGGGACATCTGATGAGGTAAAAAAGCGAATTTCTGTTTTTTAATAAAATGTTTGTCTTGTTATTACATTACATTTCAGGTAAATCTTTCAAGACAAGCAAAAACATTGTAAGATATTTCCATAATAGGAACTGATTATTATGGCTAACAAAAATGTAGATAGAAGTGTAAATAAACAGAAACATCTAAAACTAATTGTCAATTTAATAGATTAGTAATAGTGTTTACTCGACTTTTGTTTAGTTGAGAATTGAGAATCTTGATCATGATTTACCTCGATTATAGTTGATATTATGATGAAAATGAGGAAGATGAGAGAAGAAAAAAAATCTTTAAAAGAAATATGTGAAAGCATCGAAAATGAGAGGTTCGATGCAATCATATAATAATCATAATATTAATGCGAGTTGCTTGAGTTTGCTATGGTGTATAATTCACAAGGATATAATCAGGAGGTATTGAGCAATGCACTAAATTCTTGATGAATTGTTCGTAATTCTTGAATATTTTGTCCCAAACGTAGATTAACCTGATCCAACATTCCTTTTCGAGCATTGTCTGAGAATTTAGATATATCACTATGGTCTTGCAATTGGCTAACTTGACTTCGAAGGTTTTCATTCTCGGTTAACAGTAATTTCAATTTATCTTCCACTTTTTGACTGGCACCATAAACTTGTACATGAGACTCTAAGCTTTTCTTTAATAGCTCTATCTCTTTATCCTTTTGTTTTATTGCAGAATCCAATGAGGCAGCACTTGTCCGCAAATTGTTCATTTCTTTGCTCAATTCTTCAAGTGCTTCAGGATTACCATGACTAGCTTCCAATTCAAGAATACGAATTCGCATTTTACCATTTTCCTCCTTCAATGATTGTAATTGTCTTTTCCATTCTTCAACGTTAACCGTTGACTCTTGTAAAGCACCGGTCAGCCTTGCATTGTTGTTTTTCAATGTTTGCAACTCAATTTCCCATTTTTTCGCATTCGCAGAGCTTTGAGCTAAGGCTAATTTTAATCTCTCATTTTCATATTTCAGTTGAGCTTCTGTGCTAGATTGTGGAAGCATTATGGTTGAGCCTAACTTTTCTTTGGCCCCAGCAACACTATGTTTAGGAGATTCGCTCATCAATTTGTTAACCTGTAATCCAGATAAACTTTGGCTTCGCTGATGAGCAACTAAAGTTCCTCTAAGAGAACCGGAAGATGAATTTATTTCGTTATGTTCAATGGGCAAAGAGTTTGTATTTAAAGAGGACAATTCACCAGCACCAGAAACATTTACATGAGTATTTAAAATATCTTCGTTCATTGGATCACCTGTACTTGATGAAACAGTTGTACTTCGATGAGGTGTCGGACTTTTGCTCATTGGACAAATAATTGGTCCACTTTCACCAGAATGTGTACCATTGATCTGTTGTCCTTTATGAATTGCCGAACTTCGAGATGCTTCTTTAACTTCTTGAAATTTTTCAATAAATTTATTTAATTCAGCTTCAGATGCAAATCCAAGACCATAAACAGTATTTGCACGTATATCAGACCATTGACCAAATTTTTGACTGGTCTGAGTAAATGTCATCCTAGGAGTAACAGTACTATTGATAACTGGTTTATTATCTTCGACCGAGATAATTCGATAAATATTAAGCGTTGGGTCATGAAAAAAACATACATTGACAGCTTGACAAGACGCCGGTATCCAAGATCGCTTTGTTTGGGGATCGATGTGGAAGACATGAGCCTTACTAGTGAAGATTGGTTGTAACTGGGAAGGCCTAGATTTTTCTGACGAAGACATCTATTCACAATAATTTGACTTTGATTAATAGAGAAGCCAAAAAAACGAAACAAGTTGAAGATAAGGGAAAAATGAAAGGGTCCTCAGCCTTCGATTTAGAGATATTCCTTTTCAGCTGATGGATCACTTGTTCACAAAGATTTCGGAAGCTCACAGTTGATTCAGTTATTACAGATGTATTGATTGAGGCTATTAATTACACTTTGTGTTACAGGTTTTTTGTCGTCGTTTCATCTATTTGTTCAATTCTATGATCAAATAAAGATAAAAAAGTGAAAGGTAAATCAAACGGTACAATTGAAAGTAAATACTCACAAATGAAATTGTAAATACCAAGAGTCGGATGAAAGAAAAGGGTGTCAAGATTTTTCTCAAGAACTCACTATTGATTTCTGACCAGTCCCATTGCTATAATTAGATTAATTACCCTGTATATAACATTAACAGGACAGATATGAAACCAAGGAAATCAAAATTACCTTCATAAATCGAGGATTTGAAGGTTTAAATTAACAAAAATAATGAAAATAAATAAACAAAAATCGGTAAACATAGAGTAAGAATATAAAGAGACATCTGGGGAGAAAAAAGCAAAATAACCGAGTTTAAAAATTCACAAGACATGAATCTACAAGACAAGCAAAACACTGAAAGCTATTTCCATATTAGGAAATGAGTTCCTCCGAATTTGCGCACATATCAAAAGTTTTAAATACAAAATTGTCCAGAAATGTAATTTGATGACCATGAATAGTTAATAATTGGTTCCATAACCAAAGAGGCCATAAATAATTATAGTGAAATTATGAATCACTTTCAGTTATTTCGTTATTTTTTGGTTCTGATTCATCCAGAAATTTTTTGTAATCAGTCCACGACATTAAGCTTTCTTTTTCGGTCTTGAAACTTTTCACCAAAGGAAATATAATAGCGATGTAACCCTCTGACCATGGCTGCAAAAACATAAAATATTTAAGATTAGCATGATTATTTCTGGACTCAACCAGAGAAAGATTTGCATTAAAAACCTGATCTGATAATTGAGCTTTACATACTTTTTGTCGTAAAATGTTTGGGTCAGTGAAAAGTTTCTCATTGATTTCGATCAGAGTGCCTCTCATGCAGGCGAAAATTGCATAAGAAGTTCCATCTTTGCATGTAGCGATACACAATTGAGAATTCTGGTCAACTCTTTGTCCACCTTTTTTCCATTTACCCGAAACTTTGTTATCAAGTCGGTTTGTGTTGTCTTTTACTTGAAAATCAAGTTTCTCTACTGGACTGTCATTAGTCAGCAAAGGATGGTTATGAGCCAGAGTAACCACTCCAATCCTGTGAAATCAATTGAAGATACAAAAGGATAACAAAAACGATCAAATATTTACAATAATGGTTAACAATACCGGTAGATAAGAAGCGATTTCAAAAAAATTCAAAGAATTTCATTCAAAGAAGGCGAATATGCAACATGGGATGAGAATTTCTATCAAAATGTTAGCATCTCTTAAGACGAGAACAGCTAAGACTGCATGAATATGCAAGAATATTAACATGGTATTGATTACATGGATGATAAACCAACCTATTGCTATGAAAAAGTACACATTGATGGCCAATGTGGCATTCAATAGGAACTCTTTTGGTTAATTTTGGCGCATAAAACCTAGGCTCAAAATATCTTTCAGTTACACAAGGCCAGTCAGGTAAGATTCTTTCACATGGAAGAGGGTAACTATCCGTAGGTCCAACCATAATTGGATTATCCATTCTATATCTATTGCTGCTTTAGATAAGATTGAAACTGGACAAAAAGATTGATGAAACAAAAGAAGAAAACGTGAGATTACTCTAATACTGAAAAGCATGAATACTGAATTAAGATTTACTTACCTTGATAATGACTATGAAAAATTTACGAAGATTCCTTAGGCTTCAACGATTAAGATCAAGATAAATATTATGATTGAACATTTAGTCACAAGAGAAAAAAATATGGTTTAAAAGATAAACAGATGATCAAGTTTCAAAACAAACCCAAACCAATGTATAATTATTTTCAGGATATACTACTTTTAAATTATTGATTTCGGGTAGTTTAAATGTTGATGAATGTGAATATAAAACTCATAATGACACACAAGTTATCATTTTTATAAACTTGTAAAAAGATGATGAATAAAAGCACAAAAAACACGAGAAAGCAAGTATAAACAGCTTTGAATCCAAGCAATATCTTAAAACAGCAGGTTTGGGTTGCTGTGGTTTTTGAATTTTGTTTAATGGTAATTCTCCCGCCGTTAGTCAGTAGTTTCCCCTTTTTCAATTACCTAAAAAGTAAATACAAAAACCAAATAAGAAAATTGAACAATAATCAACTAATTAAGATACAATCAAAGGTAATTCCTCTTTGGATACAATTCAAAGATATATCTTGATTGAGAAAGAGTCAGGTTTACTCACCAGATCAACCAGTAGCTCTACTTTAAGCTTAAGCATTCGATTCTCCTCGTGCAATGTTTCGATCGTCTTTTTCAATTTAACCAATTCAGCTTTATTGTTATTGCTTTCTTTGCTGGCTAATCTGGCCGCTGTCTCATCTTCATCTTCTTCATTGATCCATTGTCCTTTGGTTTCATCAAAGTGTAACATAAGTTGATCACCAAGGTCCAAATTCAATGACTTAAATTCAATAAGTTGATAACTTTCATCCAATTTTTCTGGAACAAAGGAACGAGACCCGATTGGATTACTTTTCCGAGGTTTAGATAGACGAGGATTGAACTTATCCGAAAATAATGGCATAATTTAACTTAATCAACAAACCAAGAAGTGACAAAAAATGCATAAAATATTTTACGCCTAACCTTATGAGTAATTTGTTTGTTTTCATTGGTTATCGAGAAAGTTTGTCTTTTGTGAGAGAGAAAAAAACGGTTACCAAGATACCGGTTGACCTGTGATTAGCAACAGAGTAAAGATGGAAACTGTTGATAGGAAAACAATATCGTCTAACTGATACATTAACAAGTGTAATCAAGTATAAATGGTTAACAATTTGTATCTAATTTGCGACAATTTATTAGACCTGAAAATCTGTGATGCTGTTGAACCAGAAAATGGTAATAATCAAGAATCTGGAAACAGGTCAACTGAACTTACATGTTGCTGTTAACATCTTGCTTTTTTATTTGTGATCTTCTATGTTTTATCAATTACTTCGTCTTGGCTTCTCTTTTTTGTCTCTTTGATGGTCACCATTATTATCAATATTAACCATTATCATCAGCTTCCTTGATCATGAAGATTGTTGAGCTCATTCTGATCTAACGAACCATTCACTGTGTCGTCATAATAGGAGGACAAAAAGACAAGGAAAAAAAAGTGAAAGTAAAAATGTATTACAAAAAGGATCCAACAACATCAAATGGTATTACTTATCAATCAAAAGAAGGATGAGTGTGAACAAATACAATAATAATGTTAATCATGATAATGAACCGTAATTTAGGAGACAACAAAAGTCAGATTTAATTCATATTGTATCATAAATATATATATTCTTACATGTATATGTATATCAAAAGACACCCTGATGATATAATCTATCACTTACATTGAAGCAAGGTAAGTAATTTTTCTCTTCTTTCTATCTCTTAATAATTTCAATTCCAATTATGATCTGATTATTGTCAACTAAATGTAACTTATAATTACAACAATGTACAATAAAATAATTTCTTCATATTTTTCTTCATTCTTATAACAGGGTTTGATCATTTTTAACTGGAATCAAGTACCATCATCTGGAAAGATCATCATGATCATCATAATCATAATCATCAAGCAAATTAGAAAGTGAATTGAATGTGAGTAAAATGTATAAATTAATGGTAAATTTTGAGTTAAAAAAATTTATTTAAAGGAAATTAATTCTTTTTCTATTATCCATTTCTATTAGATAACTTTCCTTCTCAACCAACAACTCAGGAAGATGATGGTCTTTTTGGATTTTGCTGTTATTTACACCAAAAAAATTCATTTTTAACGATACAGACAATTAAATTCCCAAATTTTGACTGTTGAAGCTACAAGATAAATCTACTAATCTTCATCATCAACATAATCATCATTAGCATTTTCATGATTCTCAGTAACAACAAACACACATACAATGAAGTTAAATGGGAAAAACAGTTTTGTATCCGTAAAACTTTCCAGGTAACACTGAATATTCAATTAAATTAAAACCAACTCCTTTTTAACTGATTATTTTTAATCAACAGTGAAAAAACAAACAACTGAAAATCAATTGGCACAAGGAACATCTATAAAGATGGAACAAGAAAAGGAAATCAAGACTGTATAAATAATTATGATTAATATATTTTAAATATATAACATTAATAAAAGTCAACCGAGCGCTCCTCAAAATCAGACAAACTTGGCCAAAGAATGGTTATTCAAGAAAATTCAGGATAATTTTTTCTACATTTCATCGTCTGTTTCAATTTTAATGATCTGCTTTATCAAGTGTAGAGGTGTTTAAACATGTAAATAAGCAAGAAAAACATATACATTTTACCATGAGTTGAAACAAGTTCCAGCATGAATTGTATACAATTCATTCCATCACATTCAAAGACTTTGAATGATTAGATGGAATTTTGGATGATTCTTTTCAATCATCATCATCATCACTGCTAACAACATCATGGTAACTCTTCTTCCGCTAAAAACAAACCAAAAGCTATAATATAATTAATAATTGGTTGAATGAAATGCATAATACATCTTAATATTAAAAGAGATGGAATAGGCAAAAGGCGAATATCAAGAAAAGTTGAACCCTAACGTAGACTCAAACCTGAACTGGACTGATGACCATTTGACTCTCACAGTGAATCTGATGGAAATGATAGATTGACTTGAATTTTGTCAATTCAACATCAATTCATTATCCACAAATTGATAAACAATGCAAAAACCATGTAAACCATTAAAAGGAGAGAGCGAGCCTTCATTACCGAAATGGCTTCCAACCCTTAAACCAACAGACAAATTGTATACATTAAAACCATCAATCCTATGTAAACTCAAGTCTTCAAATTAAGTAATTTACTCTTTTAACTTGATTGTATTAATATGCTGATGAGTTAAAATAGATTACTGGCATCATCATTAAATCATCGAACCTTAATGAGCAAATCCAATTTTCAAACCAAATTTAAACACTGGCAATCTTTTGATATCTTAATCTATGTTGAACAATTTCATTTTACTTTCGCCAAAAATCCCAATGTAAACGTTTTTCCTTCTTGTTTACGGCCATCATTATCATCATCGCCAGCAACAACAATGATCAAACCTTAATTCATTAATAAGATCATCATCAAATGGCCATTAAAAAACAACAAACAACATGAAAACGATTAAAAAAAGAAGAGAAATGAAGATGACGTTATTTCCTCTGTAAATAACCTAGCCCAATGTAGAGTCACAAATCTTGAGATGAGAAGACGAAAGCTGATTATAAAGTAGAAATACGTTCGAAAGTTAAGAAGATAAAACAAGTTTTACTCTCTCTTTCTCTTTCTTTCTCTCTCATCATCATCTCACTTTCTTCTCTCTCTCTCACTTCCCTGTTTCCATACTTTTACTTTCATTTTTTCAATGTTTACCATTTCGTCAAGATTCAATTTCATTCGCTCAGCTTATAATCACTGTTGCTGCTGCGATTTCAGCTTTTAAGTTTGCATTTTTTTCTCTCATTTGTGAATCGATTACGTTGTTTTTTTGAAACTAATTTCTAATCAACAATCAATTGTTTGACACCGCAAAGCAATCATACTTATCATTTATCACTTGTTTGCACTTTGTCCTTACCCAGTTCACCAATGATTTTTGATAATTAATCCACACCGTAATTAATCGTCTCCTCCTTTCCCTCTCATAACAAACAGTCTCATCCAATCTACTCATTTACTTGCATTACATTGTGAGTTGACCGTTTTTTAATTGTTTGAATGTTTAAATTTAAAAATGTTCACCATTGGCAACGAGTTAAATCGTCTTCTCAGTTGATTGTGCACACATTGAGGATATTATGATCTCCATTGGATCCCGTTGCCTTGCTTGTCAATATTTGTGTCAATTTTTGTATTAAAGTGCCAAGTGATTGTCAAATGGACATTCCAAGTTAAACAATAATGGAATAATTGTGACCACATCTTGGATTTCCAAGGCCTTTGATTGCTGTTCATCCAAATGATTGTATAGTTGCTTGATTCCTCCAACTTGACTCCTTTTTTTATACCATATTTAATTACACACCGTCCAATCCGGAATAATTGCCGTTGAAGCCTTGCTTCTGTTTAACCATCGCCATGTCTAGTTTAAGTTATCGTAAATCATATCAAGTTAATGATAAAGGTTTTGATTGTCACCAATATTGTATGTCCTTGCCTGACTTACGCTACAATGGTAAACGCAAGCGAAAATCTCTCTCATTCATGTTCCGTAATTTGATCAGCTCATCGCGAAGACAACTGTCAACCTCTGGCCACATTTACAGGCAAATTGAATGGAAAGTATTTGTGTTTACAGTTATCCTGCCAAATGGATCCAAACAAAAGGTAAATCCATTGAAAATTAACAGCCATCTGATAAAAAAAATCAAAGGAAAACAATCAATATGCAATTTTTCCATTTCTAATTATTTATCGGTAATCATTATTGCCGATTTAGCAAATGCTGGGAAACAGTAAAAAGCTTCATCAATATCTACCTTTACCATCATAATTAATATGAAACGTGAATTAGTGGAAACTATTAGACTTTATCAAAACACTAATCAATTTATTTTTACATTGATTTGTGTTTACATTTTCCAACAGTTTTCCCAAATTGGGTTGATTGTGATGATGTCAAGTCAGTTATAACCATAATATCATAATTGAACACCAATTCAATCCAATGATATTTTCTCGTTAGAAATTTTTCTAGTACCTCAAAGTGATTAACCTAAATTTCAATTGTGATCGATTTGATTGTGGAGATTAAAAATTGTTTTTCTTCTCCCTTCATCAATGGTAAATTAGATTTGGTTAGATGTTGCTGGTTATTGTGGAAGTTGTTAATGATGATTGTGATGGGTTTGATGTGGTTTAATGTACAAGGATTTTTTCATTTTTAAGATTGATGGATTAGAAAATCATTGAAAAGTCTATGTTCAGAAATAATATTATCATTTACCTTCTTCTACCTTTATTTTGCACTCACAAAGTAAGTGGCTAACATTAACTTGAAGTGCAAAAAAAAAGTAAAATTAACCTACTCTTAAAACCACTTCTGGTTCCATTTCTTGTGACTCATCATTCTGACCCAAGTAAAGGTCAAGAGTCCCGTTGCCCTAATTACTGGTTATACTGGATATTACAAATGCATTGGTTTTTTAGCTTGAAGCAGAGAAAATAAGATGAAGATGGAAAAGGTAATAAATGAGATGAGGAAAAAGTCGATCATGATAAATGTAATTGAAAACTTTTCCAAGTAATATTATCGATGATAGATAGATGGATAGACGATTTACTAGTTTTGACCTTGGGTCAGCCCGAAGACCACATACTATTTGAAAGATGATAATCTTTAAGCTTTGGGTTTAAAGCAATGTTACACAGACTTGGATAATGCTTGATACATTAGATAATGTTAAGTCTTTAAGAAATTTTTTAAAGGTAAAAGATTTTCATTTACCTTTCTCCAATGTTACACCTTTACACATTTTTTCTTGTATTTCAAATCTAATGTAACTATTCAATGTGATGTCAATTCAAAATCAATGTTAACTCAACTTTTTTTATAAAGCATAATCATTTCGTTGTGAGTTTTGTTTCAATTGATTTTCATTCTTTTTTGTAGCTTCATTTGATTGAATAGTTGATCAAGGTTATTAATTGTACACTTCATCCCTAAGCTTGCTATTATTGCTTTACATCAAATTTATGTGTTGATGATTTCATAAATAATTTATCGAATCACAATCCAATTGGTAATGATAAGATTTAACTAACCTTTTTCGTTTCCATCGAATGCCTTTTTTCACCTTTCCTCCTTCTTTAAATCGCTCGATCAAGTCTCAATTAAAATGCCTTAATCGACTATTGATGATAAGACGATTAAACGCAAATTGACCATCAATTAGAATAGAAGAATTATTCTCCTTAGAAAGTTTCAAATCAAATGTTAAATCGAAATATGTTAAAGGTATGATTAAAGCCATTAAGTCAATAGTATTCGTCATGATAACTCAGCTAATAATAGCTAAATGACGAGAAAGGATTTTTTGTTAATATTGAGAATTTGTTTTGAAGATCTGTAGGTGTAGATAATAACTTTCACTGTAAAAAAATCACAATAGGACAATGATATTACAATATCATTAGCATTTATATTACATAGAAAAAGAAACAATCCAACAACAAATTCATGAAGACAATGAAGAGATACTGTTGTCGTGAAATTTTCTTCAACATATATCGTGACAAATTCACAAGGAAATAAAAATAGAGAACAAGATGATGACAATAATGAGGCTGGTGATGATTATGTTGATAACTTTGATGGTATCAGTGACAATAGATACATGGAGTTTGGTATTGTGTCAGTAAAAGTATCATGAGTTGACTGTCCCACAAAGAATACAAAATGTTGAACAAAGTAAAAACATTGCAGTAATAAAATAGAGAAAGTTGAATCAACTGTTGCTATAATTTTTTAAACATAAGCGAAAAAAAGGAAAAAAAAGATTTACTTAACATAATCTCAGGAGAAATCTTAGGAGACAGAAAAAAATATGAAATTAATATGAAAAGCACATGAGACAGAAAAAAGTAAAACTCAGACGATAATGACGACATGAAGATAAAATGAAGAGTGGAAAAGGTCATTAGATTGAAAAGATTTGTCAAATGTCATCTCAACGTTAACCAGAAGCCAAAAATAATCCTTGGTTTTAACCAGAAAAACTCTGACACATTTTGTTAAACCAAAAAAAGCGGTAAACAGAAGCCAAGATGTCTGCTTAGATAATTTTCACTTTCAAATCTCTTTGTTCTTAATTCTTTGCTCTTCCTTTTGCTCCTTTGTTTCTCCATATGAGTAACCTTTATTCTTGCAATGTAGCCATTTTAATTTTCATTATTAAATCAATCAAAATAATTAAACATATCGACATTCAGTCTTTTTGCGACTCAAAATTAGTGAAAATATTAGCTGTTTGAAAAATGTATCCCTACAAGTAAACAACTAATGATGCCTGATGGTAAGTAAATAATTATTTCTGATTTCTTTCCTTTTTTCCCGATAAAAATTTCTTTATACATTACATTTATTCCGATTGATGGTATCATTTGAAAGGAGTCCGTTCAAGACATTTTTCCAAATCAGTTTACAAAATAACGAACATTTTTCCAAACTTGATTACTTGCTAAGAGAAAACGTTAGATAATTGCCCTGCAGGTTTATTTATTTCACTATCTAGTCCAATACATATATTAATAAGTGTAGTTAACCAAATGGAAAGTTGGACATTTTTTGATTCCTACTTTTTTGCCTTCATGTACCACTCGTTCAACCTGATGCTTTCCTTGATTAGTTGATTAATTTCAACTTTTAGCTCTTTCACTTGCTCGCTTCACCTCTCAATCAACCATCTTTCATTACCTTTTTTTTGACTCCATTACGTTAAATTACCATTGATTTAATATTTACCTTGTTTGACTCTTACAGGACTCATATAAATATAACTTGATTACTTTTCCCTGTTATTTCCACATATTTCAACTCTACCATTCAATATCTCACACGTTGCACCCTGGTTTCTGGGATCGTGTCCACCTCATCTCTATCTCATCTTTATCACATTTCTTTACACCCAGTCTCACAGATTAGCTAATAATCCAAGGAAAATTATGATTGGGTGCAGATCTTTCATAATAAGATTATAAACGATTCAAGTACTGTGACAGTGATGATCGAAAGTGCCTTTCTCACCCCAAAAAAAGGAAAACTTGATAATTAGACTTGAACTAAAATCCTTGAAAGAATCAAGTTTCTTGGTGTTATGCATGTTTTATTCAATTCGTTTTGTTAATATTGTTTAGTTGTTGGTTGTGCATAGCGTAAATAAATAGCAAAAACGCAAACAACAAATCCAAATAACATCAGTTGGCAGAAAGCAAGAAAAAAATGAAAACACAAATTCAAATATCCAATTGTTTGTGTTAAACAATGGCAAGCAAGCAGATCTTGCAAATTGTACAATACAAATTAACCTGATACTTTTTTTGGGTTTCTATTGATTGTTCAATTTGTGTATTAATGATAAATTAAACCTTTCTTGTATTTTTACATAATTTAGGGGTTAAGAAGCAACACCAGCCAAACATTGAAACACACATCAATCCAATCATGTCAATCAAATCCTTTGAACATTTATACTTTGCTTACTCTAGTATGCATTATTTTATGTAAAAAGTGTAAACGTTTGTCAATCAAAATCAACAGTATTGTTCAATTGTCAATGGATACCTTTTTTTTCATTACCAAATGAAAATGGTATCCCATTAATGTAAATATACAATTAGCTGAATGTTTGAATATCCAGTTGATTATCCTTTTCTGTTTGAATGTAAATAATTTGTTGAGTAAATTCAACATATTCAAGGTTTATTGTTAAATTTTGCAATATAAAATATCCTTTGATTGTATGATCAATTTTCAATTCCTGTTCAATTAGAGTTACATAGAAATGAGATTCAGTGAAACTTGTTTTCTTTTTCTTGAGAAAGTTGAAACTGCCGGTTTCAGGTAACATTACGTGAATATTTAAATTTTGTGGTCAACAAAATTTGATAATCTGAGCCATATTATTATTGCATCTAATTTCATTGAAGGTTGTTGTTTAAAATTATGAGAAAAGGCTATTTTCACCATTTTAATGTGATGTCTGAATTTACGAAATGCTGCCCATTGACTTTCAAAGCTTTTACCTAAACCCTAGTAACAAAAGAGTTTCAAATGAACCTAATAATCATAATATCTTTATCAAATGTTGATAAAGATATTGATTGTTCAAGGTTTTTCAGTTAATTTCAATCCAATTGTTGATTCCTAATTCCATTTCTGGATTCATCTAATTGTAACCTTTTTTTCAGCCAAATCAACTGTTAATGGTTAACAAAATAGTCAACAAAAATGGTTACTTTCATCTCATCAGAGATCATTGCCTTTAGTGGCTCAAGTTTCAATCAAATTATGTGATTACTAAATTGTTTCAATTGCAGCAACTAATCAACATTAAAAGTCAGTTTAGAGGTTTTTCATGTTTTTTTCATCTCTTTTTGATCTCTTTAAAGATCACAAATAAACACTCATCTTGATCTTTCAACTTGATGATACAGATGCTGATTTAAATGTCATTAAATCAGGTTTAATCTGGACTTTGAAAAAGCCAATCAAGGCGAAAATAGGGAATTTCATGATATTTTTAGAGATATTAGATGAAATATGAAATTGGTCATAAAAAAGGCATTTAAAGCTTTCAGCTATTCCAATGTAATCTTCAACTCTTTCAACTTGATTTATATCAAAATTTTAATCACTTATCAATGGTGTATGAACTTCAAAACGATATAAATTGTTAACGAATTCATTATAATTTGAAAAAAATCAACTCTTAATGCCATTGACCATCAAATTTACACCTAAGAAAAGAGATGAGAAAAGATCTGATTTTTCCTTCAAAGGCGTAATTTAATTAAAAGGTATTTCCACTTTGAGTTATAAATACTTTCCAATAATGATAGATTATACAAATTGTTCAATTGAATATTATCCATTAAATAAGCTGTAAAATAATAATCCTTAATATAATGATTATCCAATGAAAATATTCATATTATCCGTTTTAAAGGTTAAAAGTGTTTATTATTCAGTCTCATTGCAATTCACTTTCAATTGACTGAACATTTTTTAACCACAAACTCATTATTTTTACTTTTTCTGACCGGAAACTTGATTCTCATTTAATCTGTATAAACTCAGCATGATGAATTTATCGTCAAAAGTAGACAAAAACAAATTTCGTATCATGTAAGTGAAAAAATGTGAACAAAAAGTTGAAACAAAAACCAAAAAAATGAGTTCTGTGAAAATCCAGATCAAAATACAATCAATAACCAGTTAAATCAACTGATTGTTTCAACAGAGAAAAAACATGATTTTTTGTATTAACTGGACAATTTAGCGACACAAAAGGTTAATCAACTAAAATTGAGTTCAGAAATTGATTAATACGGTCAATTCAAACAACTTTGCTCAACAATCAACCAACGTTTAATCAAAATCTTTTTCTTGAAATTATCTGAAAACGAAATCGAAAAGTCGATTTTATTTCAAATTGTTCTTGAAAGATGTTCTAGTTGATCAACTCTCGTCTAATTGTAACCCAATAGTCAGAGTCAATGAGTTTTCATTGAATGCAATGGAAAACAATTTGAACCAGTTTCTTGGAGATTTTTGGTTAAATTTAAATTTCAATCTTACTCTGAATGTCAGGAAATTGCTTATGAGCGTGAAAAGGAAATCACAATTTAAGTGAATTTATCAACAAGTTGATGATTCAGATGAATGCCTTTCATGACATTGATTCAATTTAATGATAGTCGATGAAACAATGTTATTAAACCAATTATTAAAACAATAATCTGCCTCCTTATTACCATTAAAAATGATTCAGATCATTATAAAGGTAAAAATGTAAAAAAAGATTGAATAATTTGAAAGGTAAAATGATAATTTAAAAATCCTGGAACAATTTAATTGATGAAAAAAAGGTAAATCATGAAAGTAAAAACAGAAAAGTAAATCAAGTCTTTTCCTTTGATTAGCCTTGATTAACCAACAATTGACTTAACCGTTTATTAACCTCAATATAACCCAATATTCAGTGTTAAAGTTGTCCTTTCAATTTACATTTTCTTACATAATTACAAGCAATTTAACCAAACTGTCAACAATTTAGCAAACAATTAAACCCATGTTTAAATCTTCATCTATTGTTGCTGTTAAAGTGATTGATTAGAGACAATTAATTATCTTTGATTAACCTTAAAAATTAGTAAATTATTTGTTTTATTCAACATTAATACACTTTCCCTTAAAAGCTTTCAATTTAGTCTTTAATTGTTTCTTCTTATTGTAATTAACTTGAATCAATTGTCACGGTTTTTACCTTTTCCATTCATTTACTAATTGCAATCTTGTTAATCATTTTGGTGTAATTGTTTCAAAGTTTAACTCAATATTGTGAACAATTTCAAGATCAAGCGCGATTTTACCTTAAATTGAAAAACCCTTGAAAATTGAAGCAACAATTAAATTACCAATAACTTGTAATTAATCAGTATTAACTTACACTCTTAACTCAACCTTTAATCAATAAGCTAATTAATCAACATTGAGATTGTGAAGAAGCCACAATTAAAGGTTAACCAATTGAAGGATTTACCATTATTCAAGGTTTTCATCATTTAGATTGAAACAAAACGCAAATGATGAACACGAGTAACAATCAAGAATCAAACGTCACTTTCAATTGTTAATCAACCTGAATGATTGTAATGAAGGTAAAAGTGAGAGGAAGATAATGAACAAATCGTCAACTTGATTCACCAACACAATTTTTGGGTTTCAATGTTTATTTAAACTTAATTTAGTAATGATTACATCTTCTGATGGTGTTGATGATATTGCGTTCCCATTAAGAAGCTCAACTTGAATTATCATTTAAATTCAGTTTTTTTCAGTGAAAAGTCACCAATTGTGCAAAAATGTAGATCCAAGGTTGACACAATTGTGTGAGTGTCTGTTTGCTTGGAAATCACTTTAAATCAATTGTCTTTCATGTTGACAAAACTGTTAACCATTGTTGACTTTTGATGTGAAAAATTGTGATTTACTATTAAATTAATTGTCTCTCATTTGAACCCAAAAAATGAGTGAAAACAAATAGTGAAAATTTAATGTTGATTGTGTACCAAAAAAGACCAGAAAAACCAACAACAATACAAGACAATTTAGGTTTGTTTTGCTTTTCTCGTTACCTTGTTCATAGCACACTTGACCTTGCAATTGTAATTGTAATTTCACTGTTGTTGGTCCATTTTACAATCAACATTGTATTTACATTGTAAACTGTTGTAAAGTGAGGTAAGAAAAAAATAGAATCTGTTTAATCAGTTCCAAAAAAAGGAACCGGATAAAACAGTTTAAGGCACTTTCATTTTGAGCGATCACAATTGATAATTTTCAATGTTAGATGTATGCTTGGTTAATCAATTGGTTAATGGTCAAATCTTTCCATAGAGACTGAAACTGGAAAATTGAGACAAATGGAAAGACCAGAGAAAACGTTTTCAACCCAATAAGGGAAACCCTTTTGTCTCTCCACTTTTTACCTGAAATTATCCAGAAATTTGTTCATGTTGCAGCTAATAATTCAGCTTCTTTAAGATTGTATTTTAATACAAGATTGAATCCAGGTTTGTGAGCAACATTACAAATTGAAATGAAAAAATTCTTGATCAGTCAATTTTTGTCGACCTTTCTTCTAGTTGCTCTTCGCTTCATCAAATTGGCCACTTCTGACCATTCAATTGAAAGTAACATGAAACTAGATAAAATTGAAAAGGTTTAGTTATCTGCATTTCGTCCAACATAAAAAATTATGGGCATTTTACAGATGTAACAAGCTGAGTCTTTGCCTCTTTGCTTCAAAAATTTCTGAGCGTACTCGGTTCAAAGCTAACGGCAGAAGTATCTCTTGATCTTAAGAATTCCTTGATCAATCGAATTAGTTTGCATGAGTTTACGATGGATTTTATTAAAAATGGATGTTTTTCATGTTTTTCATCAAAGCAAATTGGTTTTATAGCAATAGAAGTGAGTTGAAACTGTCTTTGATATTTGTTTGAATGAAATGGCAAATCTATGAAATTCAACTCAACGAAAAATGTTGAAACAATTTACAGAAATTATAATTCAAAGTATGATTTGGAGCAAAAATATCTCTCTTAAGCCTAGTTTTCATGGGAAATAAATTTCTACCAAAATGTTGTTCGATGCGTCCCAGAAATGATATTTTTCCAGAGAAAAATTATTCTGAACAACTTTTATTCTCAGTTGATATTTTATTTCAATCAATCCTGTTCACTTTTCTTTTCTATTCTGATCATGTTCAAAATTGAATTCCATAGTTTCTGTCTTCTCACCTAACATGAAAATTTTCATCATCAATTGTTCAAAGACTGTTGCCTTAATTGATTGCTGTTTCATGTTAACACTAATCACGACCTTTATTCCGATGTAATGTGATTAATGGATCTTTTTTTCCCAACCAAATATGATTGTAATGATGAACATTTGTTTTTATCAACAGAGAAAATCTAATCAATATCATTATCCTTTCTCAATTTCTTGATATTCAGTTTTTACCCTTAACCCTTTCCAAGCGTATATTTACCCATTGAAAGCTTCCAGGCAAACTGGTGATCAACATCATGAAGAAAGAAATTATTAGCAGAAAAAAAGATATTTTTGATTCGTGATTAAATTAAAAAAGTTGAAGATCATCAAAAAACTGATCAGCAAACAGCCTTGTAATAATTTTAATAATGTATAAACAATCACTCATTAAACCATCATCATTATCATCACCGGCCAGAAACACTTGTTGATTGACGTTTCACTGAACAACATCAAAAAAATATGGAAACTCACCATTTGAAGCTCTTTTTGCTTTCAATCTTTCACTTTTTGATTATTGTTCATGCCATTTGTATAATAGTTTGAACAAAAATCATTATACTATTTAGTGAATACAAGAAGATATTACCAAATGGCGATGAACCCTTTCCAATTGTTAGACTCACCTAAACTCACAGGTGAACACAATTGAAATTTTGGGTAAAGATTATTTTCTTTGATTGCAAGTTGCAAATAAAAAAGGCTTTTAAATGGCAACAATACAAGTCTAAATAGTGTAAACAGTGCAAGTGAAAGAAGACAAAAAATGGCTTAAAGTGAATGATGAGAATCCATTGATTATGAATCAGATTATAGTTGATATACAGTACACTTGAAGGTAAAAGGTTAATGAATTTTGAGTAATCTCTCAAAGGGTTGGAATAGGTGTTTGTGCATATTGATTGTTATCCAACTGTTGTTTACCTAAACTAATCTTTTCTCTTCCTTCATCTTCTTCCTTCTTCCTCTCCATCCTTACGGTATCATACGGGCATCGGTCAACCTAGCTGGTGGGTCAATGTGATGAAACAATTCGTGATCTTGTAACACCATTGATTGATAAATCTGGTGTTAATCAACCTTGCCTTAGATGGATCAAGAATGATGCTTTAATTGACATTGATGCAAAAGCCTATCATTTGGAAAATGAAGAGATCAAATTGAGTGAAGCTTTGATTAACAAAACTTTAGGTGAGTTAACCAGATAATGTATCATTGAATAATCTCTAACATCTAAATGTATTTTACCTTCTTGTGATTCATTCTTTTGCTGTTGTTCAGGTCAAGATACTCGATACGGAATTTTGGAGGAAATTTATTTAACTGAAGTTGATTATCAAATTACTTTACAGAGTCTTAAACAAGTTTATGTTCAACCTTTAAGGTAAAGTTAACATTGAGAGGAAAAAGCTCAAGTGTTCAATCCTTTCTTCAGTCACATCATTGTTTAATGTTAACAATTAATCAACCTTTTTACACCCAAAATGTTAACCATTTTTGATAATTTACTTTGCAGAGATTCAACTTACCTCAATGATAATGATTTAAAGATACTTTTCAATTGGATTGAACCAATATTATCATTAAGCAGGCAACTTCAATCTGAAGTAAGTCTTTTTTCACCTTTTATTGTATCATTTCATTGGCAATACAATGGTTTTGTTGTTGTTTAATTGTGACAAAATCTTTTCAAGTATTTTGGGTTAATTTGGTTGTCAACATTGAATTTAAATTGCAAATTGCAAGCTTACTGTTAATTGATTGTCAATGAATATTAATAATGTTTATTTAAGATCATTAAATGATCCTTTTTGCTGATTATTTTGTTTCAGATTCAACTGATAAATGTCAATGTTAATGATTACAGGTTCAACAATTGAGAGTTAATTGTTTATTCCAATTTTATCAATTTACCAGTTTTCAAATTCAATTTAAACGCCCAGTTGAAACTTGTTAATTAATGATAATTTAGTTGATAATGTGTTCACTTTTGTCTACATCAGATAGGTGGGTCATGAGTTGGGTTGAGAGATGAATTGAGCAAAAATTCATTATCAAATTGAATCTCAATTTTTCCAGTAAATAAATTGCTTAGAGACTTTTCAATCAAATTGAAACCTTTCTTGGTCTTGTTATTAAACCTGAAAAAGGTCAACATCTAAGCCGATCTGGACAATATTGAAATGGATGTTTCATCTATCAATTTAACCCAAAAGGATATTTTCTGGTAAATAAAGCTTCGTTTTTGGTCAAAAAATGACTTTTAGCACTGAGCTTTCTTATATCATTGTCTTTCAATTATTTAATATTTTACATGGAATGAGTTGTGAGTAAATTTTGCTTCAGTTTCACAGCTAGTTAAGGATATCGTTTCAATTTTACCTTAACTTTACATTTATTACTTTGTATTTCGAGGTTTCAGCCGATTTAGATTATGTTCCGATAACTGTTTTTGATAAACAATTTATATTGAGTCAAAGCTGATTTGATTAAATATTTTCATGTGAATAACTTTTGTGTTGTAATAATTTTATCCAAACTGATATAAACGTTCAACAAGTTAAAAAATGATTTTTAATTGCGTTAAACTGCGGTCAAATTGAAGAATGACCTTAATGATAACGATTCTCCAATAATAAGACACTTGATAATTTTCCTTATTGTACAAAGTATCAATTTTTTTGGTACCAAAAGCTTAAGGGTCGTACTGAGAAAAGCATCTTGAGAAATGTTCCTATGAAATGAAATTAAGTTTCAATTTTACCCAAATCTCTACATTTTTAGTACCTCTAGCAAAAGGACAGTTTTAACTTGCAACCAAACAGGGAAAAAAATTTTAATTCCAATCTCGATTATTGTTTAAACGCAGATTCATCAAAATCACGACTTATTCCAACTTAGATGAGGTGTGATTAGAGCAAGCAAATTAATAGCTATTGATAATTTGAACGATTGAACAAGCATTTATGATGAGTGGCCATGAGTTGTGCTTGAAATGATTTCCATTTTAATTCTGGTTTGATTTTCGATAAAAGATCAATGGAATAAAGGTTTTCATGATTAGTTTTCAATTGATTTGGACTAACCATAGGTTTAGAAATGTCTGAGTCTAAAAAATGCAAAATTTGATTGAGAAGCAAAGCAAAATTGTATCGATTGAGGTTGACTTTGGTTGACAAGAGATGAACCCAGTCCAGTGAAAACTAGAAGTGTTGACATTTTATGTGAACACCTGAAATAGTGAGTTACACCTAAATTGATTTACCCTAAGACTTGCTTTATATCTATGAATCTTGTGTTTTGGGTTCAATGTTTTGGTTGAACATTATCGAGTTTAATGAATTTTCTTTTTTCTTTTTTTCTTGTTTAAACTGTTAATTTAACAATTTTGATACCTGTTAATTGTCTACACAAATAATTTAATTTTTCATGATTACCCGTTTTCATGATATCAAGTGAAAGTGTTCATGTTTTCCTTTCAGTTTCATTCTTGACTTTGTGCTTTTTCTTGTTGACTTTCTCTTACCTTCCTGCCGTCTCCATCATCATGTCAATGTTTTCATTGCTCCGTCAAGTCTCAATTAAACAATCTTCAAAAATTGTGTGTGTGGGTTGTTTATCATCATCATCATCATTCTCATCATCAACAACAAAATACTCTGAAGATAAAGGGGAAAATGTTGAGAGATGAATGATGTTGGAAGCTGGCGAGTGTAGAAACCACGCAAATGATTCATGTCGATCTGTCATGATGACTAGATGACTGTCTTCATCACCAAACTGATTATTCAAATGATGATCAACAACAACAACAACAAGCAATCTTTCAAAATTCTCAGCCTTTCAATCATTTCTTTGAACACAAAAAATAATTTCCAATCGTGATTATTTTAATTATTGGATCAACAGCATCAACAGCAAATGTTTCAAACCCAAAACCAATAGGACATAACATGAGATTAAAATCAGGAAATATCAATATCAATTATTGCCTTGGACTGTATCATGTTATTAATAATTACCATTAATTGACATCAACTGTTGATACAGATCACTGGCAATCAATAAACCAATACATTTCCATCTGATTTAACCTCAAGTTGACCCAATAGTCCAAACTGTAACAGTCCAATGAACCATTTTTCAATATTATTTTTTCCCAAAATTGACAATTTCCATCTTACAATCAAACCAAAATTGTGTCAGAAACCCAAAATAAAACCAATTGACCGAAAGACCAGAATTGTTGTTTAAAAAAATTGAAACCAATTGAAACATTAAACCAGCTTTCTGGTTTATCCTGAAAAGATCCTTGAAGCTTGTTATTCAATATTTTAATTACACTTGAAACAATAATTCACCTTTTTTGAATAATAATCAAGTCTAATGATAATTAAAATGTAAGCAGCAAAAGGCACCTAATTGTTGAAAGTTACCCTTCAATTTTGTACGTTTAAAAAAATGGTTAACACTTTCATTGTTAACCAAACCAGTTGACATTGATTAAATCCTCCGCTGGTTAAAGACTATTTACTAATTTAGTTTAGCCTAATTTGTCAATTAATTAACTGTTTCATGATTAGCTGAAAGTGATCCGTCAATGGATAGCAATAAAACCAATCAATGTATCAATAAAGTTGATAAACCAACCTTTAACCTGAAAACGTTATATTTTTACGCGGCTGCAATTTAAATGTAAATTTTTGCTTCACGGAAACGTTGATAACAATTTATTAAAATAATTAAATTGAACTCCGGATGTTTTGTTGCTGGTTGACCATTAAATTGTAACAATTTGTTGATGAAAAGTGTTGAAGAGAGACATTCATTTAAATGTGGAAAGGTTGAGGAGAAAACAAAAAAAAAGGTTAACATTAAGGTTACAATATCTTCACCATTATCCTCATTATCATCATTATTAACATCAAACATCATTTCCATTATTTTAATTTCAAGACTTTTATTAAATGGTGTCAATTGAGTGTTAAATTGTTGGTTAACTAAATTGCAATCAAATCTTGTATCCATATATGAAGTTGAAACAATCAATGATTTTGATCTTGAAATGTTTCCCAAAGTGAAGCTTCTCATTTTCACCTTTACAACCAATTAACTAATCACAGTTTTTTTCACCCAAAAATACAGACAAATTACAGAAATAAAGGTTTAATTAGCAAATCAATTAAGTGTTTAATAAATTAAGTGTTAAACAACAACAAAAATCGGAAGCTTTTCTCAATATTTCAAGGAGTGTCCAGTGCTTTTATATTGTTATTCATGTTAATCAATGGCCAAGTATTAGATTTTTGTCTCTCATTAGTTTAACCCAATTATTTTAAATAAGGTAAACATTTATAGCAAATTATTGTTTCCATTAGTTGATCATTCCTTAATGATAACCATTTGTTCATTGAAAAGCTTTAATGATAATCTTCCATCAACACGTTCAACATTGATTCAGGATTTAAATATTTAATGAAAATACCCAAAAAATGGAAAAACATTTTAGACTTGATTCTGGTTAAATGAGGAAAATTGAATTTGTTAATATGAGGATAACCATGATTTTTTGGGTTCCAAAACAAAGGTTAGGTTTTGGGTTAAAGATGAGTCGCTTTCTGTTTTTGTAAACATGATTAACTTGATTGTAACTCAATTGTAAATCATGTTTACCAGCAACTTGTTGTTCAATGTTGAACAATATTTACCAACATTAATGGCAACCTCGGTGATGAATTAACTCAACAATCAGGTCAAGCAATGGCCAAGTCTACACAATTAACAATCAATATTAACCTTCTTCCCTTTGATGAGATGAAATCATCAAAAAAATGATCATTTTTTAGCACCAAAACAAATCATTTTATCCTTTTTTTTGTTCAATCACTTACAATTAACTCATGAATGAACATTAAAAGGTAAAAAAATGAATACAAAAAACAGTAAATTTCCTTCTATTCACCTTTAATCAGTTAATAAAACGTTAAATTGTAAGCTTGAACAATAATAAATGCAGTGATAATCAAAGTTGATATTTAGTCTTATGAAGAGTAGACTAGCTTTACATAATAAATGTAGTCGCACTGAGTCTTGAAGCAAAATTAATTGCTAGGAAAAGGCAGAGTAACTACTAATAATTACTCGACTAATTAAACTCAATTTTCACCTTTACATGCAAATTAAAAGCTGATTTCAAATGGTAACACAGAGAAGGAATGTGAATCCTGAAAATTTTTAAATGTTTAAATATTATCCATAAGAAGGTCTGACCTTGTCTTATATCATTATGAAAACCTTTTTGCCATTTCATGTCCAAATGAGAAACGACTTAACGTTTAGTTGTTTCATTATCATATTAAATCAATTTTCATGCTAATTTTGCCTTATTTTTCAAACGGAAAAACGTTTACTTATAATTGAAAGTTATCTGTTGAGCTGAAAAACAAAAGTGAAAAGGTAAATCAATTGACTGTTGGTCTTTGAAAGGACTGAAAATCGACTAAACGCAAAGCTTGTCAAGTCAAAGTCAGGTTTACAAATTTAAATTTGGATTCTGTAATAATTTCACAAACCAAAGAAACGAAGAAATTCATTGAACTCCCAGAAT